AGTTTCCCCACACTGCACCATGAACAAAGGGCTAGAGTGGCCACATTTGGGGAGGGGGAGGGGAAGGGTGCTAGAAAGTCGGATATGCCTGGTTGGACTCAGTCACCTGGTGCAGTGTAGACACTACAGCCCCAGGTTCAACAATTCCTAATGTGAGCTAATGATTGTAGATGCTCAAGCCGTAGGTTAAAACCATGGACTTCTAACTTGAGTTCTACTAATCCTGGGCTTACATCGCACTGTAGACATATCCTTAGACTCTGCTGTTTTCTCTGTCAGACCACAACTGGGGATGGAGGTTCAGTTGTGTTGTACACAGACACACCCTTGCCCTTTGCTTCTTCAGCTCCCAGCTCTGACAGGAGAGGTTTGTGGCTCCACTTTTCACTTGGGAGCATCAAGCAATCCTTGCCTCCAGCATTCTTGGTGATGCCAGAACAACAGGCGGAGGTCCTGGCTCCTTGGTGGTTATCATACAAACGTAGGGCTGGAAAGGTCATCTAGCCCAGCCCCCTGTGCTGAGGAAGGGTTATGAAAGTTTACATAGTCCTTCTCAGGGAAAATAGGGAATGTTGCCTGACCAAAGCGTTCATGTACCCAAGTTCCCCCTGTGATGTTCAATTCTGCATTTCCACTACAAACTAGGTCACTATCCAGTTTTGCTACTGTGGCAGGACTGCTGTGCTGCAACTCCCAGAGGCTAAGGCAGAAGTGATTGCAGTACAATCTGTGAAGCACTTTGAGATATTTATGGATAAATGGGAACCATTAAATGCTCACTATTAAGCGTTTCTATTTCAGCAGCCAGTTATTCTCTGTAGTTACAATGTGCAGGGCTAATAGGGCATTTAGATACTTAAGTAACCAGCTGAGAATAGACCCCCCCCCCCCCCAAAAATGGTAAATATAACCACTCCACAGTGTATAATCTCACCAGGGTGCCTGGTAGAGAAATACATTAGAGTCCATACACAAAAAGGCAACACAAGCTTTTGGAATAAGAAGGAACCCCTTAGTAAAACACAAAAAGAGGTTTTTGATGGACTTTGAAACAGAATTTTAATATAAAAATACAAATGAAACAAAAAACTGGCCAGCTCAATGTTCAAGTCATTTAAAACCTCCAGCCATTCTGTCAATTAACTGGAGCCCTTCATTCTTATGGAGGTCAGACAGACGTCTAAGCAAGTTGAACGCTCTCCCCTAAAACAGAGATGTTCAGATGCAACAACTTTTCAAAGCAAATGAAAGCAAAGTGTGTGAGAAAACATTAAGGAAAAAATACTTCAGCTACGTCCATAAAAGGAAAAAAATGAACCAGAACCACTGGTCACTTGCTGGCCAGATTTCAGAGGAACAGCCGTGTTAGTCTGTATTCGCAAAAAGAAAAGGAGTACTTGTGGCACCTTAGAGACTAACCAATTTATTTGAGCATGAGCTTTCGTGAGCTACAGCTCACTTCATCAGATGTATACCGTGGAAACTGCAGCAGACTTTATATACACACAGAGAATATGAAACAATACCTCCTCCCACCCCACTGTCCTGCTGGTAATAGCTTATCTAAAGTGATCAACAGGTGGGCCATTTCCAGCACAAATCCAGGTTTTCTCACCCTCCACCCCCCCACACAAATTCACTCTCCTGCTGGTGCTAGCCCATCCAAAGTGACAACTCTTTACATAATCAAGTCGGGCTATTTCCTGCATAGATCCAGGTTTTCTCACATCCCCCCCACCCCCATACACACACAAACTCACTCTCCTGCTGGTAATAGCTCATCTAAACTGACCACTCTCCAAGTTTAAATCCAAGTTAAACCAGAACATTTTGGGGGGGAGGGGGGTAGGAAAAAACAAGAGGAAACAGGCTACCTTGCATAATGACTTAGCCACTCCCAGTCTCTATTTAAGCCTAAATTAATAGTATCCAATTTGCAAATGAATTCCAATTCAGCAGTTTCTCGCTGGAGTCTGGATTTGAAGTTTTTTTGTTTTAAGATAGCGACCTTCATGTCTGTGATTGCGTGACCAGAGAGATTGAAGTGTTCTCCGACTGGTTTATGAATGTTATAATTCTTGACATCTGATTTGTGTCCATTTATTCTTTTACGTAGAGACTGTCCAGTTTGACCAATGTACATGGCAGAGGGGCATTGCTGGCACATGATGGCATAGATCACATTGGTGGATGTGCAGGTGAACGAGCCTCTGATAGTGTGGCTGATGTTATTAGGCCCTGTGATGGTGTCCCCTGAATAGATATGTGGGCACAATTGGCAACGGGCTTTGTTGCAAGGATAAGTTCCTGGGTTAGTGGTTCTGTTGTGTGGTATGTGGTTGTTGGTGAGTATTTGCTTCAGGTTGCGGGGCTGTCTGTAGGCAAGGACTGGCCTGTCTCCCAAGACTTGTGAGAGTGTTGGGTCATCCTTTAGGATAGGTTGTAGATCCTTAATAATGCGTTGGAGGGGTTTTAGTTGGGAGCTGAAGGTGACCGCTAGTGGCGTTCTGTTATTTTCTTTGTTAGGCCTGTCCTGTAGTAGGTAACTTCTGGGAACTCTTCTGGCTCTATCAATCTGTTTCTTTACTTCATTTGCAAATTGGATACTATTAATTTAGGCTTAAATAGAGACTGGGAGTGGCTAAGTCATTATGCAAGGTAGCCTGTTTCCTCTTGTTTTTTCCCCCCCCCCCCCCAGATGTTCTGGTTTAACTTGGATTTAAACTTGGAGAGTGGTCAGTTTAGATGAGCTATTACCAGCAGGAGAGTGAGTTTGTGTGTGTATGGGGGTGGGGGGATGGTGAGAAAACCTGGATCTATGCAGGAAATAGCCCGACTTGATTATGTAAAGAGTTGTCACTTTGGATGGGCTAGCACCAGCAGGAGAGTGAATTTGTGTGGGGGGGTGGAGGGTGAGAAAACCTGGATTTGTGCTGGAAATGGCCCACCTGTTGATCACTTTAGATAAGCTATTACCAGCAGGACAGTGGGGTGGGAGGAGGTATTGTTTCATATTCTCTGTGTGTATATAAAGTCTGCTGCAGTTTCCACGGTACACATCTGATGAAGTGAGCTGTGGCTCACGAAAGCTCATGCTCAAATAAATTGGTTAGTCTCTAAGGTGCCACAAGTACTCCTTTTCTTTTTACTGGCCAGAGTAGCACCAATTCTTTCCAACTGCAATGCCAGTATCTTGGGCATCTTTAAACTGTTGGGGTAAAGCTCTTAGTTACATCATTTGTTTGGGACCAAGGAGAAGGATGCACGTCTCTAGTCACAGTTACTGGCTTTGGAAGAGATTAAAGGGATCCCTATAGCCAGTCCTCTTAGGTCAGATTACTGACAAGTAAATCTTTTGACCTGGTTAAATAGATGAAGGTTGTCCAGACACACGGCATCCCTAATAGGTAGCTGTACTGAGGGTTTCCCCTCAAAAGCCCAATCTGAAGTGGAGGGTGTTAAGGAGCTAGGACCTGGATGGTCTGTATCCTGCACATGGACCAGATGTCAGCCCTCCTGTTGGAAGAGAGGCGGCCCCAAAGTGCTACATGACATGATGAGGCATCAATTAGGAGACGCGATGGGGGGGTAGGGGGGAGGGAAATCGGTCCTTAAACAGGAGTGTGTGTTGTTTCCTCTTAGAAATCACCTGGGGCATCAGGCCTGAGGTCCTATGTCAAGGAGCTCTGGAAACTACCAACTACATCAGTCAGAGCAGCCCCAAGGCTTCAAACCCAGATAAGGGATTATTCCATGCATTTGCTCACCAAGTCTTTAAAGATGGCAGCTCCCTCCAGAGAGGTAAGTGTCTTAAAGCAGGATGGGAAACGGATGCATCACCCAGCACAGCACATGCACTAAAAGCAAAATGTCTACGTGGGTAGGTAAGATATGTGCATTCACTTCAAAGGAGGAGAGATCTGTTGACACCATCAGGCAAAGGTGTTTAAAGGACCCTCTTCTATGCTATGTAAAAATGCAAATATAGAGACAATAGCTCTAGTGAGAGGGCTCTGTTGACACAAATCTAAGCATGTTTTGATCATTCCCACCCACACATTTTACCAAGGTGAGCTGCCATTTTATTTTCGATATCGAGACCGAGCTGCTATGCAAGGACTATTATTCACTGGTTTCATCCCACGTGCAATACTTCAGCTCCCATAGGATCCCTTGTGGTGGTGAGACCCCTAAATCCACTAAGTCCATCTCCTGGCAAGGGCAAGATAGTCTCCAGAGAGAATTCAAACTACTTAGACTGATAATAGTCTTGCAGAATACTAGCCATGATACCAAGAGATGACTTTTGCCAACTCAGAGTGTTGCGACAGCATACAATGCTCACTCTCCTGATATGGATTCTGGCTACTGACAGCATCATCACCTGTCCAAAATTGGAAGAGTCCAGTTCTTTCTTAAACCTGGCTGTCCAATATAGTAGCACATTAAGGGCCAGATTATCAAGCCCATTCACTCCAATGGGAGTGCTCACATGTGAAAGGGCCACACACAACCTTGCTCTAATTTAGATGTTAAAACTACTGTGCTCACCCAAAATTAAACTCATTGAGCAAGCAGCCTGCTGTCATTATTTTCCTCCCCTTTCACCAAGAGGGAACATGAAAACTTTTTACCTCTTAAGGTATGTCAACACTGCAGCTGGGAGGTGTGATTACGGCACATGTAGACAGACCCCAGCTAGTTTTGACTGGATCAAATCTAGTTCAAGAGCAGTGAAGCCTGGATAGTACATATGGCAGCCTCTCAAGTAGGTACTCGGGGTCCTTGGTGGGCCCCCATGTTGCATTTACATCTCCAAACTGCAGGGCAGACATACCCCGAGATTAGGGATTAACCCAATTATTGGCGGGGGCGTGGGGGGAGTTTTTCAGCCATCTTGCCTAAATTATGCCAATGCCTCTGTACACACACAACGTTTACTGGCTATAATTTGATGAGATTCTTGTCAAATGCATATAAAGAATGTAAAGAGTAGTAAGTATATTTCAATTACTTTATTGGGACTGCTATCTACATACAGTTCAGTTTTCCAAGTAGTCAAGGCAGTTACTTTTAAATAGCTTAACATGTCAATCATATAAAACACAGCTGGAACCAAGGTACAATAGAAATATATACATATTATGGTACATTGAGTGCTTCTGAATGTGGTTAGTCTCATCTCTGGTAATTAAGGGTCTCATTCTGCTATGCTTTTAGACACATTGAGAAGCATCTTACTATGCACGTAGCACCATTGGTCTCATATGGGGCTACTTATATAGCAAGGTGATACTCCTTGTGAACAAGGGTGGCAGAATCCAGCCCCAGGCAATTAAAAGAAGTTGTGCTATACAGATACTGTAACACAAAAATGAGGGGTCACTTCTTGAATTAGACAAGATTAACACATTTGCCTGAACGCCTAGATTTATACAACAGCTAATGCAGCCTCTGAGAAAGTACTGCTTCATGATTACAATTGTAGTTGATGATTTACTCTATGTACATACACCCGTGTTACAGAACTAAGAGAAACCATTGCACTAAACAGAGCCATAATACTGCGAGAGTTACATTCCCCTGCACTGATACTTCAGGGACCCTGATGGGGCTCAGCTACAGTCAGACACCAGCATCTCACCAGCCCAGTTTTAGCCCTGACAGGAGGAGTTTTCAGATGTGAAATGCTGTCTTTTGTGCACACAAATACTGCTTGTTGCTTTCCTTTAGAGGAACTCAGTTTTGTAGCAGGTGAAATGCTAGGATCGTTCTTGTCCTAATAGAGATCACCTGTAAGGAGCTGCCAATTCCATTCCTGTCGCTGACACTTCCTTCCTGCTGCACACTATATAGCTAGGTGTATATAACTTGAACTTTGCCCCATTTGAATAAGATCATCAAGTACTTCAAATCTGCAAAACCTTCAAGATCATAGTTCATATCGGTGCCCCTTTATTTTCCAAGGCCAGCACTATATGTTATCAGCCTCGGTCAGACCAGGACAAGTAATTTACTGGCTGAGTGCTACCACTAATGTCACGGGAGAGATCCTGAGCCGATGTCAATTGGCATAACTCCACTGACTTCAGAAAAAACTATGCCAGTTTGTACCTGCGGAGGATCTGGCCCGGAATTCAAGGGACATTTTCAGGTTTCAAATAGTACTACTGCAAATCAGCTGCCCAAAGTACACACTTTTAAAAAAAGTCAGTTCTACATCGGTCTCTTTTTGTGCAGTGCTGAAGGTCTCAGTCTGTGGATCCCAATACTGCAGAGTACTGACCCTATGTTACATCAGAACCATAGTTAGCAGAGATACTAATAATCAGCAGCTTAAGTAGAGGCATAGGCAAAAACCATACATCACTCTACAGAGTAACTATTCTTTGTATCAGAATGAGGATGCTGTGGAGTGTAAGGACTGTAGCAGAGAGCAGAAACCTGAATGTTACCCATGTTCAGATTTGGTCTGTTACTCTGTTAACAAAAGTGAGAAAATCCACTTAATAGGGTCAATTGGGCGCTCAGCGTGGGTAAGAGAAGAGTGTATAAATTAGCTTTACTGGGTAAGTTGGAGAAGAGCGAAATAAAAGGTGAAACTTGTGCAAACTTGTAATATAGACTTGGGGCAGCCATACAAGTCAGTGTCATGGGCTCTTTATTTTGGGGAAGATGTGTAATAATGCTTCCTCCTAGAGCTAGAAAAACCTACATACAATAGGAATGAAAACATGGCTGAGTTGCATTCTTAGTTAAAAGCAGTAATTCCATGATACTTGGTAAGTCACTTGACCTTGTATAAAGCTAACTTAATTGTCAAACTGGGCAAAAAGCACAACCCCACTGAAAGCCAGCTATATCCAGGTAAGCATGATGTAAGTTAGAACACTAGAGGTAAGAAATTGCATGAACATGCAACAGCTGCACCTCAGACATCAGTGTTTGACTCACTGGATTTATGGGATTCTGATGTAGGGAGACATGCAGTATTGTTGCTTTCAGCCATCCTTGGAGTGCACTGTAACTGCAAACTAGTTCAGATGACTAGCGGATCCAGAAACATGAACAACCACGCTTACAAAGGGAATGGGACTTCTCCAGCTTAAACCCAAGTTAGACTCCTCTCCTTCCTCTTTCTACAGTAGGATCAACCAAATATAAGAATCTAACGGAGTTTTTTGCTTGACAGGACAAGAACGCTACAGCAGCGTCACTTCACAGTAGCTTAGCACCAAGCTGCATTTTTATAGGAACAACCTGGATCAGGTGACCACTGCTGAAATTGCTTTATTCACCCTCTCTAACCTCTATGCTTGGGTAGATGAATTACCATTACCCTAGAAAGAGAAATGTTGGGTGGAGGGAAATGCACAGCTGAGACTCAGTTACTGCAGTGAACCTAGTATCAGTGACAGCAGATGATGGTCCTGAATACGTGTGCCGTCTCCAATGCCACGTTTAATTTTAGCTGTTGCCTATGTCCTACAAAGTAAGTTCCAAGGATAATGGAACCTGCCTCTAACATACATACAATACCCTCATTTTTACTGGCCTTTATTGTATTGAAGCTAAAATAAGTAAACTCTTGTCACGTCTACAAAAAAAAACAAGTAAAATGAATAAAAATGAAAAGTGCTTATTTTCAAGTTGTGGCAATCCACAGACCCCCGCACATCATACTAAACACACCCACTAATTCAGTTTCCACAGAGCACCAAAAAAACTGAACATTCATTTCAATGCTGCAGAAGCAAATATTGTTTAGAAGGGTTTTCAATCTGGTTTATATGTATTAAATGTCACTGAGGTCTGGATGTGGAATCTTGTCTTAAGAATGTAAGAAAAATATTGTGCTGGCAAGACTTTTTACTCTGAAGGAATGTGATAGTCAAAGTTGTATGGGAACAAAATGAAATGATTGGAATTTATCTTCAAAGGACATTAGTATCATTAAAAAGGAAGCTACCACTAAGGCAGCATGATTCATAATGCAAGACAAGGCAGTGTTGCACAGAAGTCCCTCTTGAAAGGGATAAGAGAGATCTGTAGTTTAATAAGTTTGCTTCTGGGGCTTTGGGAATGTCTGGTTTATGTTCCTATTGTTTTCAGTTTTTGCAGTGTTCGACTGCTCCATTTCTGTGTGAGGCTGCTGAAAACTAAATTATGACATGCAGGGCAAATTGCACTTTACTGCAATGAACTTAGCTGCATAAAAGATCAGTACAAATAAAAGGACAATGTAATCATCATAGCTGGCTAAAACACACACAAATATTGTTTACAGAGCCTGTAAGAACAGAACTTGTAAAGTGCATAACAGGACAAGTTATTCACTCTGATTCTTACAAGGTCTGCTTCAGACCACTGCAGCAGTAATGAATGTTGTGGATATGGATTGACTTAGATTTTCCATGAACAGGGTGCTTATTTCAAAGCTTTCTATGTCCCTTGCACGATCACACTAGACACTGATGCAAATCACACTCATCAACTCTATAAATTCAAACTCACATTAGCCACCATACAAGTTGTGTAATACTTGCAGAGCTCACCTACTTCTCCACAAAGTGATCCATCATAAACCGGCCAGCACCTGGTTTCAGTGCTCTGATATGTGGGACAGTGTACAAAAATCTGTATTGGATACAGTCCTCTTTCTTGTGGCTGAGCTAATAAATCACCCCATTCTCAATCTTCTTGAGAAATAGGTTCCAACTCTGATCCCTACAACAGCTTGTATCTGCCAGCCTTATCTGTAATCCTCATGTCAGAAACTGAAGTGCAGGTAAGATGCAGATTTTACACTTCAGATGCATGTGGCCTGTTAGACAGACGCAGGTTTGCAATCCTTTTGCCTACTGCTGAGGAGCTGGAATGGCAATATAAAGTCCAGGGTGTGTGTGTCCTCTTCTATCAGGGAATTTTTTCATTCACTGTGCTTCCCCGCCCATCACAACATGTGCTTTAGCTCAGCAGTTCAGACCCAACCCTGTCCAATGATCCGGCACCATCAAGAAATACTTGTCCATTGCTTCACAAAATCTGCTCCGGTACAGTTCTGGAGAGACCACAGTTGGCATTTTACCTAGTGTTTAAAAGACAATAATGCCACAGTTTGAGATGGACCAGAGATCACACAGGAAAAATCAGGTTTGTATTACTGTAGTGCCTAGAGCCTGTAACTGAGATTGGGGCTCCATAGCACGGAATGCTGCACACACACAGCGCAAGAGTCTCTCAGAAAACAAGACAAAGGAAGCAGTAGACCCATTTTACAGATGGGCTCTGAGGCAGAAGTGAAGTGACTTGTCCAACACAGGCAGGGCAGAGCTGAGAACTGAACACAGACTCCAGCGTCCCAGTCAAGTGCCTCAGCCACAAGACAATTCTTCCTCTTGAGCTGCTGACAGCTCATTTGTAAGCATTTCCCTTTTGAGCTCCCCACAACTGGCACAGTGCAAATGATACTAGAAAGTCATATGGTCAAGCACTTGTTCTGTGGGGAACTTTGACATCACAGTGAGTAGCTTGAGCTACTTCAGCATGGTTTGGGAAGGCAGTGGTTATAAAGAGACTGTGATATCCCAGAGGAAGGGACACAAGCAAAGGAGAGGAATCAGATCTTCTGAGCACACAAGGTGCGGGGAGTTTTCACAGAAGAGATTTCATTCCCCAAAACCAAGAAATCAGGCATTTCTGAATCTGCTTTTAAAAGATTAGTTACCCCTGCAAATAAACCAACAATACAGAGATACCGTTACTCTAAGACAATAGAGCAGCAAGATATGTAGGTGACCCTGCCCTACAAAAAGTAATATGCCAATTAACAGTACCACCCATGCAGCTGCATTCTGAGAACACAAGACTCTTACACTGTGCACAGCCTTGGGAATAAGGGAGAAGAGTTGAAACAATAAATTTGTACGAGAGAAAGTGTGGTGGGGGTGCAGGGGGGAGAAAACAGCACTGCCTGAAGTCTGTCAATAGCAGTGCTGATAGAGTGGGTTATCAGAATTAATACTGGGTGTGTCTTGGACTCACCTTGTCCTCCCAGGATGCCCGTTGACTTCACCACCATTTCAAGCTTTTTGTCCCAGGTAAAGGTGCGAATGTAATCTGTTACAGGTACAGAAAGATGTGTCAGGAAGTTCATATTCCAAATACAGATATTCCTGGGTAATTAGAAACACATTTCCTGGTATATAGCAAAGAAACTCAAGCTGCAAGCATTTGTTGCCAACGTAACAATTTCCCATTCTTAGCCAGCTGTCTCTCTCACTGGCAGGGGAAATCGCTCAGTAGCAATGAGAACACACCAGCTCTTCACTATATTCACAAAGATATTGCTCAGATAGCCTTGCCTTGACTCACACTAGTGAGCATTCCAAGCACCTAGTTATGAACTTTCCTTCATCCAGCTGACCCCAACCCTACATGTGCAAGGAGTCGCCCCACATTGGTCCTACAGTTCATAAGGTGGTTGATGATCAAGGGTGCCCTGCGGTGGCTTAAGATCTAGCAACCTCATTCATTTTAAGCTAGTATTATTCCCCTTTATTAAAGTCTCTTTTGCCCACAAACAGCAGCTGGTGCTGCTCTCAGAGCACCTCCCAGCTTTCCTTTATGGAAAGAAGGGCTGGGAATGCCAGAAGTGACCCTGAACAAAAGGAAAGGAGGACAGCATAGCTTGGGCAGGAAAGTCCCAAGGTTGCTTCTAAACCTCTCTCCTTGGCACGTGAACTAAAAAGTCAATACAGCTTCTCAGGCTTATGAGAAAAACATCATCATTTTTAAAAAATTCTTCATTAGGTGATCCTGTTTCTCTTACTGCTCTCCCACACATTGTGCAGAGTCCCTGGAAGCAACATCAGTTAGTCTTTATCCTAGCACTTATTCACTGCAGTTGCCCAGCCTTATATTCAAGGCTTGTTATTGTTTGTGGACGGTGTTATTTTTAAGTGAACGTTGTTGCTTTCACCAAGACCTGCCGATTACAGATTCTTCATCACTGCACATCAAATATTTTCCAATATTTACTGAAATCCCTTCAATAGCCCACGCATTGTGGCGAGTTATGCACAAGCAGGGTAGCATAAGAGTATTTACTGAACAAAATGCAAACAACGATGGCCCTAGCATCAGCCCTGTGTAGAGCAATTCAAATGGCAATGACCCCAGGCATAAATTCGCCTCTTTTTATTTAACACACCAAAACAGAACAAAGTGGGAACACTGACACAGCCTGTTTTTGGATAAAAGTGGCATCTTTGTAAGCACAAAGAATAGAACGCAAGAGGATAAAAAAATATTCCCATCGGTTCTTCAGGGAATACTGAATGATTTTTCTCTTCTCAACTCAATCCAGCAATACTCAAGGCATGTTTCCCTGAGGAATTCAGGTTAAAAACAGAAGTGATTTCCAAAATATTTTTTAATATAATATTAGAGAGAGTGTGTGTATATATGTAAATAGATGAACTACAACCAACTTTCACTTGAAAAGTTAAAAGCACAGTCTGTATAAATGGACATTGGTAAGCAAAAGAATAAATGATACAATCTAAAGCTTTGCATTAAGACCAGACTTAGTTCTGTAGATCTTTAATCTGAATGTACTCAGAGTCACCTTAGTATGACAGGTACCAGCGGAAGTGATGGAGAAATCGCGTGGCATGTAGTCTGAGAGATCCATATGCTTACTTCTCTGATATGATTATTCTATTATCATCATCCAGCAGAGGCAAATAAGCCTTCCATAATGCCTACAATTTTCTACTATCACCATCTGTTTCAGGGTACATGCTAGAACACCCAATCATCTGATGTAAAATGCTACCCAAATAACTAACAAATGCAGGTAGTGGTTATTCATAGGAAAATAACAGAGCCTGCGGTTAGCAGACAATAGAAATAGACGAAATGCCCATTTTTCCACTAAGTTTGCTTACAGTGCTCTTGGTACCATAGAGGCAGCTCATCCTATGAAGAAATTCACTACTTAGAAAGTTGGCTGACCCTGCTTAAGCGACTGTGGGAATGAAAATGCAAAATAGTGAAATATTCATCAGCGCTTTTAGTTTAGAGGGAGAGCTACAATTTCATGCTTCAGGGTAGCAGCCGTGTTAGTCCGTATTCGCAAAAAGAAAAGGAGTATTTATAGCACCTTAGAGACTAACCAATTTATTTGAGCATAAGCTTTCGTGAGCTACAGCTCACTTCATCGGATGCATTCAGTGGAAAATACAGTGAGGAGATTTATATACACACAGAACATGAAAAAATGGGTGTTATCATACACACTGTAAGGAGAGTGATCACTTAAGATAAGCTATTACCAGCAGGAGAGCCCGGGGGAGAAAACCTTTTGTAGTGATAATCAAGGTGGGCCATTTCCAGCAGTTAACAGGAACGTCCGAGGAGCTGTGGGTGGTGGGGGAAATAAACGTGGGGAAATAACCTACTCCAGGACAGGCCCAACAAAGATAACAACAGAACGCCACTAGCCATCACCTTCAGCCCCCAACTAAAACCTCTTCAGCGCATCATCAAGGATCTACAACCTATCCTGAAGGATGACCCATCACTCTCACAAATCTTGGGAGACAGGCCAGTCCTTGCTTACAGACAGCCCCCAACCTGAAGTAAATACTCACCAGCAACCGCACACCACACAACAGAACCACTAACCCAGGAACCTATCCTTGCAACAAAGCCCGTTGCCAACTGTGTCCACATATCTATTCAGGGGACACCATCACAGGGCCTAATCACATCAGCCACACTATCAGAGGCTCGTTCACCTGCACATCTACCAATGTGATCTATGCCATCATGTGCCAGCAATGCCCCTCTGCCATGTACATTGGTCAAACTGGACAGTCTCTACGTAAAAGAATAAATGGACACAAATCAGACGTCAAGAATTAGAACATTCAAAAACCAGTCGGAGAACACTTCAATCTCTCTGGTCACTTGATTACAGACCTAAAAGTCGCAATATTACAACAAAAAGACTTCAAAAACAGACTCCAATGAGAGACTGCTGAATTGGAATTAATTTGCAAACTGGATATAATTAACTTAGGCTTGAATAGAGACTGGGAGTGGATGGGTCATTACACAAAGTAAAACGATTTCCCCAAGTTTGCTGTTTTCATTATATAGTAACTCCTTGCTTAACGCTGTAGTTATGTTCCTGAAAAATGCTACTTTAAGTGAAACAATGTTAAGCAAATCCAATTTCCCCATAAAAATTAATATGGGGGGTGCGGTTTCCAGCGAAGTTATATATACACATATATACAGTATAAGTTTTAAACAAACAATTTAATACCGTACACAGCAATGACAATTGTGAAGCTTGGCTGAGATAGTGGAGTCAGAGGGGGGGATATGCTGCTAAATGATGAACTAGCACTCGGCTGAGCCCTCGAGGGTTAACACACTGTCCTTAATGTAGCCTCACACTCTACAAGGCAGCACAAATGGAGGGAGGAGACACACCGTGTGAGTGTGTGAGAGAGAGAGACGGACACGCATTGCCCCTTTAAGTGCGCTGACCCCACTCTAAGTACACTGCTTTTTTAAGTAGATGGGCAAGTTGAGACAGCAGCTGCTGCCAGCAAGCTCCCTCATCCTGAGCCCTGTCGTGTTCCCGCCCCCCTGCACCGCTCTGTGGAGATGTGGGTACAGGAGCATGGGGCAGGAGTGGGGGGAGGGGGACACCCTGACATTAGCACCGCTCTTCTTTCCGCCCCCGCACCCCGGGGAACGGCAAGCAGGAGGCTCCAGGGAGCAGCTCCAAGGCAGAGGGAAGGAGCAGCACATGGCAGTGGGGGGAGGGACAGCTGAACTGCCGGCAGTTGATAGCCTGCTGGGCGGCTGCCCCACAGGGAACTTAGGGGAACTGATAGGGGGGCTGCCGGTCCACCCTGGTTCCAAACCCCCACCAGCTAGCTCCAATGGGCTACTCCTCCTGCAAGCAGTCGGCAAAGCAGGCGGCTTCCAAACAACATTATAAGGGAGCACTCCACAACTTTAAACAAGTAGGTTCTCTAACTGATCAGCAATGTAACAACGTTAACCAGGACGACATTAAGTGAGGAGTTACTGAATAAATTAGGAAACATCCCAGTATTGGTAGGGTTTTTTCCCCCTTTGCTCTCCCAAAACTGATTTGTTTTTAAATAAAGTTTGAAATTGCACAAACCTAACAAAAAAAACTTTTTGAAAGTAAAATTCCTTGACAACAGTTATGGAGACCAACTAGGCCATCTAAATCCTTCCCAGGCCAACGCAAGAGATTGCTCCCTCCATGACATTTACAGTTCTTTCAACTCTTAAACACCGAAAGCCATTCTGATAGCTCAATAGGAAGCACAGAAAATTCCCTAGCTCCAATCTTAAGAGACCTCAGTTTGAAAACGTCCTTTGGGATGAGTTGGCATCTTTATTTTGAAAACCTATTTTCCCCTCAGGGGTTTGAAATATGGAACAAATTTACTAAGGGATGTGGTGAATTCACCAGCCAAAAGTCTTTTATTCAAGATGGGCTGTCTAAGGAGTGTTCTAGTTCAACCGCAAGTTATTAGGTGTGCTACAGGAACAATTAGGTGAAATTCTACAGCCTGTACAATGCAGGAAGTCAGCCTAGATGACCACAAGGTCCCTTCTAGCCTTAAAAAAAAAAATCAAATCAATCTATACATTATTTCTTGGCCCCTCTCTGTAAGTAAATTGACTTACATTGCCATTCAGCTTACACAGGAAAGGCAGTGAGGAGAAGTATGTAAGGTAGCATAAATAATCCACTCTCCATTTAACATGGACTTGGACTCCAAGGCATGCACATTATATACCAACTTGACTTTCCTTTAAAATGACTGCAAAAAGTGCTCAGCATGCATGTGAGCGTTTGCACAGCTAGGGATACGAGCCAACAGGCAGGCCAGAAAGAAAGGAGTGAGAAATCCTTAAGCTTTCACAGTCAGCGTGATCTTACTTCAGCAAGGTGAAAGGCAAGTGCTCATGACATGTGCCTTTGTTGAGTTGGGTGGATCTAGTGAATGTTGGGATGGGGTCATTCATCCACCTAATTCTTCAAATATATTAGACACAGATATGGCTCTGACTCCAAGGGAGGCTTCAGAAAGGTTCACTGTGAACTGCCTCACCCCCAATACACAGCTTAATTCAAAGGAAGAAGCAGAAGTCATGAATAACCACAGATATGGTACTGAGGTGATGAGAAACACAGTCCATGAAGTTAAAGTTAAGTACTTGAAAGAGCAAGAGCAAAGGTTACATACCAATGATCCCAACCACCAGCTGATTGCTAGTATCGTCGCGGCCAACCAGCAGGGAATAGTCAATGATGAGGTGGCTGGAAAGAAAGTGGGAATCGCTGTGGATGGAAGCCCTCAGCACAGCCTTGCAGTGGGAGCGGATATACAGAGGGTTGTCCCGTACCATCTTCAAGAGATTTTCATCGAGCAGGACAACATCGCAACTTTCCTTCCCGGTATCTGTTTTCACATTTCTGTTCCGCAGGGAGCCCTTCAGGTCAAACACCTGGCAGGGGAGGACAAGAATACTTCATTTCATTGGAAGAAAATCTGTTTTACCCACTTTCCACTCTGTTAGAGAGACCAGTGTCTCAAAGACTCCAAACAGTTTTACTACAAGATCATGGAATGTCAAATATCTCACCCTCAAATCAATTATTCCCAAGTTGTGTATATGGGATTGAGTGGTAACTGATCAATGGACCTTGATGAAGATGTCAGCACACTGCTTACAGCTTTGATTATATGATGATTTGGACTTTAAAAGGTGACCTGATGTGATATTTTCTTCTAAAAGTGCTGAATATAAAAGAAAGCTGATGCTGCCACTTTTTGGTGTTTGCATTCTGCCTACTGGGAACCCCACAGGTCAGTCGTAAGGAGAAGACATTCAGGAGAGAGTGAATCTTGCATGAAAACAGGCCATGGTGAGGCTGGGAAGGTAAGTGGATTAATTGTAGAATTGTATCCACTTGTGATTGCTGCAACCACAGTACAAGACAGGCCACACAAACCTGTTGATCTGGCCTAGAAACCTGGTCCCTTCAGCTACCACACAGCTGTGCTCCACCAATCTAGCAAGAAGTTAAGCTCAAATATATAATGTCTCTGAGGCAGCAAGCCACCATAGGACAAGCAGATCTCATATACATTAAAACCATTACAATTAGATACAGTAGACACTATAATATGCTTAAACCACCACTCAAATAGTAATTTAGGCATAGGGTCAAGATTTAATCACCTGGAAAGGATAGAGGGTCAGCAATAAGCCTTTTTGAACTAAAAAGATGAAGTTAAATTTTAAGGTGTGTGTGATTTTGGCTAATTTTCTTCTAACATTCAAAAAAATTCTTAGTCTCCAGTGTAAACCCTGCAGTTCAGGGCAAGCCACCGTGGATAGCCAAGGACAAATATAGGACATCTAATGGAAAAAAGGTTGTAATCTTAACTATGGCAACAGAAGCCATTCGAAGATGACACTTTACATAAAAGGCCTTGTCTACACTACAGGGGGATATCAATCTAAGTTATGCAACTTCAGCTACGTGAATAATGTAGCTGAAGTTGACGAACTGAGATCTACTTACCGCGGGGTCCACACTATGCGAGACACTCTCCCATCAACTCTTTTTGTGCTTCTCATTCAGGTGGAACACAGGAGTAGAGAGGAGAGAGATCTGTAGTCGATTTAGCGGGTCTTCACTAGACCCGCTAAATCGACCACTGATGCATCGATCACCACGTGTCACACCCCCGATAAGGGTAGATAAGGCCTGAGTCAACATCTTCAGGGTGAAGATGCCCCAGTAGTGTCAGCCCTGTTCCTACTCTTTGTGTTGGGAAAAGCACTGTGGAAGAGAAAGATGCATCACATACTTATTCCTCACCTGAGCCATTTTTCTGCCATAGAAAAGGTTTTCCATGACAAGCAGATCCAGCTTCTTCTCAGTGTTGTTCTGAGAGTTCTTGTATCCAATCCGATACACTCCAAGTATTTTGGCCAGTGCTGTTGGTTTCTGATCGAGAAAACAGAGGATAACATTCCAATAGTTATGGTAGAAAGCATTACTTTCCTGTGCGCCAGAACTTTCATTTTTCATCCCAATACATTTGATTTTGAAGCCTTGGTGAAATTTCTGCATTTTAAAAATTTAAAAAAAAAAAAACATCCTTTCTATCAGACTGCCAATATATACCTAACTCCTCATTATATCTGTTAGTCCCCCTCATTTTAATACTACTGGCTTGAAAACAACTATTTAAATAAAAAGACAAGTTCCAAAAACCAGCCTGTACAAGCCTCCTACCTTTTGCTGAACAGCATTAGTGATGTAAGTGAAGTAGTGTGGGGCAAAGTCAAGGAAGGACTGGACCTCCAGACGGGGCATCTGCTTCAAAATGAATCTGTCATCTGTTTCAACATTAGAGAAAGGCTATGTAATTCCAGATGTAGGAAAACATTTACTGTAAATATCCAGAAAGACACCCCCAAATCCTTCAAGAATCTAACTTCAAGCATGTACCTTATTAACTGTAATTTTCTCTTTAAACGTTAGCAGCAGAAATTTGTGTCCATAGGCTTTACAGTTCTAGATGTTAGCTCATTTGAAGGAATTTTTTAAAAAGTCTGATTTGCCTTAACAGTGAACGCCAAAAGATTGAAAGAAAACTGTAAATCATTCAATTATATTAAAATCTGGCATCCCTTGAAGCTGTGAGAAAGTAGGAGTTTTATACTTAACCTCCTTGGCCAGCTATTTTCAGCACTGCTGAAGAGTATGCTTTATGAAAGCCTGTCCTCCAGTTGTGCCTTGGGTTTAGTTCTCCAACCCCCACAAGTGCCGCACTAAAGGTACAGAAAACACCCCTCCCACAAGAAATGGTTAAGAAGCTTTTTGCTACGAAAGGGGAAGAAATAAGCAAGCCAGTTTTACCTTCCGTCACATAGAACACAGCTCCTGACTTGCCTCCACGGGCCTGCCAGGGCAGAGAGTGAGACAGGGAGCGAATGAAGTCCTCCTCACGGCTCCCGAGTATCACATCACGCATCTTATGGAACTCCCCGGCATAATAAATCCGGCAATAGAACTTGGCATTAGCATCTGAAAACTCTGCAGAGAGACATGGAGAGGGAAGGTCCTTCGTTAATTAGAAAAAGCAAGGCTTGTTTTCCCAAGAGAGTTGACCAGTCAGTAATATTTTTCAGGAGCTTTTAAGATCTCTTGCCCTCACTACAAAAGTTATTTTTAAGTTACAGTTACTCTTATCCACCCCTATGTTTTAAAGTGCTTAGAAAACTGGCTAAGTAGTAATTAAAAAAGAAAAGGTTGTTTTCTGTTTTTATTTTAATACCCCCACAAAATTAGCCCATGTTACATGCCAATTGAAGGTGCTTCAAAACAAGATGTGATGGAAATTTAGACTTTGTAGGCTGTTTTTTGTAATTAACACCTCTGCTACTTTTTCAGAACACCTGGACTTGTTAGTAAGAATGCCATTGCTCTGCAATCTGACATTTTCCTGCCCAAGATGAACTGTCAACTCATCAACTCCAAGTTTTATTAGGGAGGTAGTTCTGTGTTTGTGAAGAGGGCAGTATGCCACCATGTGATTCTTAATTAAGAGCCCCAAATTATTTCCTACTCACGAAGTTCCACATGGGGATTTGCTAGCTGTTTCTTTTGTGCATCTCCTCCATCTGCTTCATCTGAAAACGGCAAGGGGAAGATTAAGTCAGGCATGTATGTTTAGCACCATAAGCCAAGTTCTATAACAAGGTATGCTTAGCACTGAATAGAATTCACATTAAAAGAAGATCTTTGGGGTTTGCCAAAATGTTTATTTTTATTAGCAGCAGTAGTTCTAAAGCACCCCTTGAGAAGATGACTAGATACTGCATGAACAGTTAAAGAGTCACAAATCATACACAAATCATTTATTTCACTAACTGAATTAGCCTCATTTCCACTATTCAAGGTCAAATCGGGCTTCAAATTATAAAAAGTTAGAAATAAGATTCAAACTCAGTGCACTATAAAAATTGATGGTCACTGGAAGAGTCCTCAAAACAGATTGTAGGTAGATACTAAAGAAAAACGCATTGTTCATTAAACTTGCTGACTGATAACCCTGAAGTGAAAGATTCATATAACTAATTTCTTAGAAACCGTCTGGGGAGCAATTGTCTTACTCTAGTCCAGGGATTGGCAACCTTTGGCACGCAGTCCGTCAGGGCAATCTGCTGGTGAGCTGGGACAGTTTGTTTACCTGAGTGTCCGCAGGTTTGGCCAATTGCAGCTCCCACTGGCCGCGGTTGGCTGCGGGAAGCGGTGTGGGCCGAGGGATATGCTGGCTGACACTTCCTGCAGCCCCCATTGGCCTGGAACGGCGAACCACAGCCAATGGGAGCTGCGATCAGCCGAAACTGAGGACGCTGCAGGTAACAAACTGTCCTGACCTGCCAGTGGATTTCCCTGATGGGCTGCGTGCCAAAGGTTGCCGATACCTGCTCTAGTCCCTCCAGGCCAAGCTTCCCAATATAACAGCTCTGTGAGAGAGTGTTTCAAGTGATGCTACCACTCATACTACAGAAGCATGACGACAGCACTAAGCTTTTTAGCCTGTGTGAACGCAGTTTCCCCCACCCCCTTCCTTCTGTTTTCTGCTACTCCATGAACTGAAGTGATACAGCAGACCAGGAAGTAAAGATGAGAGATGGACTGAAGCCCACTGGTTCACATTACACCCACCCAACTTGAAGGAATTTGGAAGACCCTGAAACCAAAGATGTATTGTTCTTGATACTATAGGCCTGGAGCCTTAAAAAAGGTCCCTTGTCTAGTAAAGAGGGAAGCTGGGATTTTCAAGAGGAGTCCATTGAATTTCAATGAGATTTGGGCACCTAACACTTACTTTTCTTTGAAAATTCCATCTGGAGTGGGTTTGGGTTTTTTGTCTGTTTGTTTAAATAGACTAGATGTTGGGAGATGCAACAGTCCTAGCTGAAAGATGTAACTGATGAGAGAGCATACCTTGAGTCTCTGCTCCTTGGCTCTCCGGACCCTCCTTGCCCATCTGTCCAACCTGGTAGTAGGCACTATCTGCACCACGTAAGGTCTCTTTCTTCTGGGCAGACAGATCAGGGCTCTTCCCTCCTGTGCCACGGAAGAAGGATAGAACTCCAGAAACTTTTTTTGCTAAAGTGAGTGAGCAAAGGAAAGAGTGGGCACCATTGTTTCTATAGTCACTACAACCCAGAAGCTTTTATCACAGAAATATTCTCAAGTGACTTTTCTAGTAGTAGGGGAAAAGCCCAGTAACCTATTTCCAATCCTCCAACCAATTTAAAGTAACAGGTTAGTTGACCTAGTGTTACAGAATGCTACACCTTAATACTTCAGAAGTCATTGGAGAAACTGCACACGTCAAACTGAGCTGACTGCTTAATTGTTACATTGGAGCGCTAAAGTGCTAATCCTTTTTAAAAAGGGAGGGGGGGAGGGGAAGACAAGCTGAAGAAAGCCTAACACAGGCAATGTTCCCATGCTCACACATCTTAAAAAAACAAAACAAAACCAGGAACCGTCCTGATTGTAAGAATCATTGGCATCTTGGAAACTTTTCCACCGAGAACTACTCATGGCATTTTACAACTTCCCCTCCTCCCCAAATTTCAAAATATTTTTAACCAGTATCTTAAAAACACACCACCACCAAAACCATAAGACAGTACTAAGAACACAACTGGAGTCCAGGTTCTATATGGGGCACAAAAGCCCACATAAGAATACTTAAGTCTGCTACATAAAAAAAGGAGGACTGAGGTCATCTCTGTTACTAGAAGAGAAGAGTACCAGGAGAAAAACACCAGTGTGAGACTTTGATTTTCAAGCCAATATCAGCAGTTCAAAAACTGAATTTACTATACCCAACTTAGAACAAATTGGATTTCATTTCAAGTTGTATTTTCTCTTTTTAAAGTTAGTTTCAATCAAAACCTACACTTAAGCTTATTTGATCTCAGTAATTAAATCAAAGCTGGCCTGTGATGTGGACACTATTTCTCTAAAACAACCTTACGCTGTTCTGCTTCGGCTGTGCGGTTTGCCTGTCCCGCATTAGTCTCAGGCAATCGGACTGGGCTGTTGCTCTTCGGTTTGTTGTCCAACATACTGAAAGGGAAAGACATTCTGAATTATTTATAACCATAGTAAGTTTTCCATGTGAACCAGATAAACTAATTCTTCACCCGGGCACTAGATTATCCCCAATTTTAAATGAATGAAAGAAAGTTAAAGTAAATCTATATGGGGAAGAGGATGTAAAAGAGTCCTATTGTGGGGAGACATTCAACCCCTCGTGGACTTCCAGGCTTCCTTCCAAAATGACTCCTCTACCTCATCTATCCAGGAAAGAGATCACCCACCCTTATCTCAGTGGGGAAGGCCCACTTGCCTGAGTGCAAAAACTGTTTCTCTAAGTCACCAAGCTGAGTGAACAGGACTACGGGCCTCTTCAATAACAGATTGTGCCAAATAGCACAGCTCCAGGATTAGGAGCAACCCAATCACTGCACCCTAGTGTACATGTAACTCAGTGGAGAAGCTGGTTAGGAGGGTACAGTACAAGGGCCCAAAGTCAGATGGGACCTGAGTTACTGTTATAAGACAGCTAATTATATTGAAACTGGGGACGACACCATCTGGACACTGGATGCTGTCAGAAAATTGAAGTACTTGGCAGTTCCATAAGAACACATTGGAGGGGCCCCCAGCTATGATTTTGGCTCCCCTCCACCCCCCATGACCACACTCTGCTCTCTCTAGAACAGGGGTGGGCAAACTTTTTGGCCCAAGGGCCACATCTGGGTGTGGAAATTGTATGGTGGACCATAAATGCCCACGAAATTGGGGTTGGGGTGCAGGAGGGGTTGAGGGCTCCGGCTGGAGGTGCAGGCTCTGGGGTGGGGTTGGGGGATGAGGGGTTTGGGGTGCAGGCTCCGGGCTGTGATTACCTCAAGCGGTTCCTGGAAGCAGCAAAAATGTCCCCCCTCCGGTTCCTACACGATGGCGCTGCCAAGCAGCTCTGCTGCGCGCTGCCCTGTCCACAGGCACTGCCCCTACAGCTCCCATTGTTCGTGGTTCCCAGCCAATGGGAGCTGTGGGGGCGGCACTTGGAGCAGAAGCAACATGCAGAGTGGAGCCCCCTGGCTGCCCCTAGGCATAGGAGCCGGAGGCAGATATACTGCTGCTTCTGGGAGCTTTACAGAGCGGCTGCCGACCCTGCTCTCCAGCTGGAGCGCCGGAATGGGGCAAGCCCCAGACCCCAATCCCCAGCGGGAGTGCGAGGGCCGGATTAAAACAGCTGGCTGGCCAGATGCGGCCCGCGAGCTGCAGTTTGCCCACCCCTGCTCTAGAACATTGTCAAGCCTGTTATGAGCCAGTTGGTCACCTGTTTGGTGGAAGCCCTTCTTCAGAACTGCTCTTCAGAGATGCTTTGGATAACTCATCTAAGGCATTTCTGTATTCCTTGCAACTGAAAGGGAAAGATTAACAGCTTATGTTACAATTCCTACAATACCAATCCATTTGCTTTAATTCAGAGGCAGCAGCAAGTGGAGAGCAATCCCCTGGAGATAGGATACCTACCTGTTAGCTAAAAACAAACCCCACGCAAGGTCCTTGAGAGACTATTTTACTTCGTTCTGTAACAACTAGCTCTGAACTCTAGTTATTTTATCTAAATAAAAGATTTTTCAGAAAGCTGCAGACAGTCTAATTTCCCAATGTAGAAGGGCTGTCACTTCAATTTTGCAAGGAGCTCTCATACAGGGCTAGAAGAAAGTCTCACATTTATAGAAGTAGCGGCTGCAAGGGGTTTATACATGTTCCTTGAACAGAAAAGCCACTGAAGATTTCTTAGACATTTGGGATAAACCCAGTGAAAAGTGAATCAGTTTAAATACCTGAGCGCAAAAGCTATGATGGAGCTTGGTTCCTTTTCACAGACTGCAATGGGTACCCGTTCATGTTCATACATTAGGTAGTGCTTATCTGGGTCACTGTATAAAAACCAGAATAGATTATTTTTTTATGTTAGCAGCTCTGGACAAGTGAAGGAGCAACAGGTGGAGTTTTTGGTGAAAGTTCAAATTTCACCAAATACACCCCAGACAAGTGATTCTGTGACTTGAACGCCTCATATGGACTTGTAAAGGTACTGGCTTCTCCCATCACAAATATTTGTAGATGGCACGTTAGCCACAGGCTAGAGTAATTTAAAATTCCATTATATACTATAGGTGGTGGTGGAGAGTAGAAAGATTAACATGTTAGAGAAAACAGGGCTTGCTTTAGGCAAGCAATATACTGTTGGACGTTATGAACACACTTTTAATCCAGTGATGTTTGTGTGCAGGGAAAGCCAACTTATGACTATTAGTCTCTCTGTTCAGCAAGAGCAGTTGCACAGCTTTCAGTTTCTGTAGCTAAGCCAGAACATCAGTTTGGTATTTAGCACACAACACAACTTTCATGTCCATTGGTAGCACCATATATTACTTACAAGGGGAATGGAATGGGATTATAGCTGTTTCCAGGCAACAAATTTGCCAAAATAGCTTTCATAGTAGATTTCTCCTTCACCTGGCTGTCTGTAGATCCCAACAAGTGTCCATCAAATACATCTAGAATGAGGATATGACTATTAATTGTGGATCATGAAGCATACACTAGAACAGTCAAACTTTACTTGGATTTCCATGTGGGCCGTAATCTTGGGAAATAAAAAATTCCTTGCTCTACCATACATTTCATTGGAGGATCTCAAAGAAATTCACATGGAAAAAGTAAGTATCATTGCCATGTTACAAATTGAGGCTGTGAGGTTAAGGGCCAGATTCTTAAAAGATAGACTGCCACTGAGTCCCTAAATGTAAAAATCTGGCCCTACAGTGACTTGCCTCAAGTTACAGTGAGTCTGAGCCAGAGCCATGAATAGAACCCAGATTGCCTAATTTCTAATCCAAAGGTCCTATCCCCTCAGCCATGCAGCTGAATATATGCACAGTCTCATGCAGCTGATTATAGTACAGCTTGTGAAAGTTTGCACTGTAACTCTGCCCTTTTTTGTAGCCAACCTATTAAAATCTCCCTGGATCAAGACTCTCTCAGAGAAGCGGTTTGGTGGATGTCAGCTCACAATGCAGCAATATTGAGTTCAGTTACATCAGCTGGATGGCCTCGTACCACTGCACCCTTGGGACAGATGTGCATGCCTGAAATAAGTCAAAGATCAGTTCTTGACCTTGGATAAGAGTTCTCCAGGATACTCAGCCCCAGGAGAAAGGAGAGTGCCTCTTATTTCTCTTACAAGGATTCCTTTCTGGCCAAAACTAAGTGTTGAAGAACATGTATCTACTCTTCATTCAAAGAGGGAAGGGTCAGTGATATGGGGAAGAAAGCATAGGGAGAAAGGAGGATACCGATGGCCTTCCCTACCGAGGAGGGCGGTTTATGGCCATTCTTCGTTAGAATGCACTAACAAACCAATAGCCCTTTTGCAGCTGCAGCAGAACCTTTAGCAACAAGCAACCTTGAAAGGAGCACATGTATTTTAGAGACACAGTTAGGTACCATTCAATCATTTGAAAAAGGTTGATGAGATGCCCTGGACCTGATACAGGACACCATTACTATAAGTTTACACCATTTTGGTTCCCACCATTGAAGCCTGTTACAATACTCAAGCACTCTTCAAAATATTTAGTCCACTTTGGTGAGCTTTAGGCACTCAGTCTGCCAGGTGAAGTGTTTGGTTCTCAGCATCATCATTTAGAGAGGCAGTCATACTAATCTAGTAACCAGTAATCTCATATGCTAGCCACTACGTGGTGTGTCACACAACCAAAGGAAGAGGGAAATAAGTGTCATTAATTGTACCTTCTGAGCTGCTGGTGGTGTCTGGTTCAGAGAGTGAATTGGCAAAGGAAGGCCCCCCTGTCAGCTGCTCTGACACAATTTCAGGTGGGGTAGGAAGCTGGAGATGGGTGGAGCTTGTAGAGCTCTGACTTGACAAGGTTGTCAAGAAACGGTCATCTGTTGAACATACAAAAAACAACAAGGACACAGGAAAGCATTTGAGATTACCAACCAAAACGAATACCCGTTTCCATCCCGGACCCTTCACTAAAAATCGACATTCACTTGGGTAACCATTTTTCCTCTCACATATACGATATGTAATATAACAGATCCTTCACTTGGAAAGTGGAGAAGCAGTGCATAATGAGAGCACAAATGCTCGAAGAGTTACAGGAAACTTTCCAAAAGCACTTAAGTTCCGGTTCTGAAAGAGACTTGGGGCTTGTGCTGTAGCGCCATGTAAGTGTAGACATCAGCGCAGATGCTACCTAGGCCGACCGGAAGGGATTCTCCTGTTGGTGTAACTAATCCACCTACCCGAGTAGCTAGGTCAACAGAAGAAGACTTCTGTCAACTTAGTGCTGTCTACATGGGCACTTAGGTTGGCTTAATTACACCACTCGGGATGTAGATTTCTCACACCCTTGAGCAATGTAGTTATGCCAATCAAATTTTCGAGTTTAGACCAGGCCTGAAACTCCAGCTGCTTAGTCTCCTAATGAGATTTATTGCAAGTCAATAGGGTGCCTAAGCATCCAAGTCACTTTCAAAAACAGGACTTCAGTGCTTTTGAAAGTTTTATTCAGAGTGGTTCTAGTGAGAGCTTTTGGAAACTTTAAAAAGTGATGATCAAGTTAAACTTCTATAATATTGTAACTAATAAATCCTTATATTACAATTGAGAACAGAAGAAATCCAGTTTCCTTTTCACCATTTATGCAGCAGATTCATTTACTGCATTCCATTCGCCTCTGACAATAGGTTAGCCCATGTCACTTTGTAGTTCTCACCCACAATGTTTGGGTTGCAGATACTGTAGAGGAACACCCACCAAAACTTTAATGAATTTTTAAGAAACATTTCAATTCATTAGGTTTTAAAACATCAAAATCTAGAGCTCTCAATCTACTCCTCTTGATGGAGTTCCTGTAACTTTTGAAAAACTGAAAACATTGACGCTCCCATATTACTGAGATAATACATAACCTGCCTTGAACAACTACTCAAAAGACTCCATGGGAAAATAGTTACAGTAGCTCACTCTCACTTTTCAGTAATCCTTACCCTTAAGATCCTTCTACTTTGCAAGAACATTTCTGCATTGGAAGTATTATATTCCTATTTGCAACGTATGAGACCCATAACTAGTGTGTCTTGAAATGAAAACGTAATATGTAATTTAGTATAAAAATCTGAACCAGGAGATGATTAAGGTTTTTGGCAATGGAAATCAGATGCAGCTTCTTCCCCTCAGACGTGACTATATTTAGGAGAGGCAGATTAAAACCAATCTTTGACAGGGACTAGCTGTTTTCCAGCATTCCATGCTACGTTCTAACCTAATGTACTGTTAACAGTAAGGATAAATAAAGTAATCAGCAAAATAATTAAGATGACATTTAAAATAGCCTCATTAGGATTTAGAGTTAACAACCCATTAAAAAGAACAGGGCAGTTCTTTTAGATCTATGGTTTCCAAGACTTAATGATCACCACATGAGTTTACATTGATTTCACATTTTGATGGTTCTTTGCAACCTTGAGGCTAGTGGCTTAAATCTCTTAAAAGTGGAGTGTAAGAATTAGAACAATTATGTGCAAATACAATGAGGACAGTTACAAAGGCAATTTTTACACTAATAAGCGCTACAGTATTTCAATCCAATTTATGCTATAATCCTTCCTGTCTGGCAGAATTAAATTAAGGCAATAGTTCCATCATGCATGAATACGGTTCAGTCTTGCAGTATACACTAACCAACTGCACTACTGAGCGCAAGGCAAGGTTAACCCAGACTGGTACCAGATATACAAGATGAGACCAAAATAGATCTTAACCGTTTCAAGAAACTGCCCTACGGCAATCATCATGCTGGGGGAGTGGTTTGTGCCAAACAGCATCCTTATCTATTGATCACCCCAATTTGAAACAAAAGTAGGTCATTTCACAGTAGAGAAACTTAGTGCAGCACCAGGGTCCACATGGACACTTAGTGCATGGCAGACTAGTGCGGGGTAGATTTGCACCCCAGCCTGCCACAAACTAAGCGTTCATTTAGACAAGCCCACAGTTTCAAACTAGTCTCTAGAGCTCAGTGACATGTTGCACCTTTGGGATTTTGCAGCCTTTAAGAGTTTTAAGATTAAAAACCTTAAAGGCCATTAATTCTTCCAGGAAAACTTGTACAAGAATGCTGTGTGGACGTGAAAAGAATTCTGATTCTATACAAGATATATGCTGCCTCTCCATTCTCTCCTCCTTTGTTAGGGATAGTTACATGGAAATGGTATCCGTTATGTCCTAAATGGATACAGGAAAAGATATGTATCTGTATCATAGGGTAGAGTAAGTGTCTCAAAATGGAAAGTTTGAAAACAGACCAACACTGATGTATTTACAGCTTTAATTATTTCAGATGAGACAGGGCTGAGGTGAGCAATTCTATTATGTCCTTACTAGAACACATTATCAAAACAGACCTTTTTCTCCATTCTGTAGGGCTGGAGAAGCGTTGCGGGGAGAGGCATCCATTGCACTGATCTGTGAAAAGATGGACAGAACATGGATTGCTGAGGAAGCAGCCAGTAGTCCCATTCTCTTTTCAGCTATATCCCTTATGATGGGGCAATTACAAAATGAAGAAGCATCACATTTGCAAAAGCAGAGAGCCCTAGCATTTTCAGCTTCTGCAGCACCACCATATATGCCTGATGTGTGGCAGCATGTGCAAGTCATAAGATATGATTCTGCAAGTCTGCTCATGACTGTAAAAAGTAAGAGCTGCACTCTAAAAGAGACAGTAGGATTTAGATTACTGCCATCATGGCCCACCATTCTCTTCATTATCTCTCAAGTTAGAGCCCTGTGCTACGAGTTCTTTGAGTTTATTAATTACTATCTCCCATATCTCACTTAAGTGACATTTTCAGATTTATACCAAAGGAAATATGCCCATTACCTGTACTATTAAGTTTTAAGTGTAGTTTTTAAAAAAATCAAATGCATTTGCAAACTAAAAAAGGAGTTCATTCAAAGGTAAGCCTAGCTTTGGCCACAGAAAGGACAGATGTCTGCATGTAGAATGCTATAAGATTATGAGATTGCAATTTTAACAGAATATCTGTTAAAGTTACACTTGCAACGTTTTACAGTTCTAATATTTAACATATCATAACATAACATTTAAATTTCAGCTCTCTACAATACTCCCATTTCCCACCTCTTTATAATTTCACTTTCTTCGTTTTCATCTGGTACCTTGATTATGCTGTAGTTCCTTCTTGTACATGGACACTGGGTTTATTTTATATGCTAGTGAGTTTAATCACTAGACACAATGTAAAACCCTTTGGAATACAATAATTCCTTTCAACACCTTTCCTATCTCCGCTGGGTCCCTTTATATCAGAATTTTACCCAATATTTCCTACATTCTTGCAACATTTGCTTTACTTTCATTATATTTCATGATTTTTCTCTTCTCAAGTAAGATGAGAGCGAATGATAAAACAATAAGGAGGTAAACTGTTAAACTACCTCTTCTGAACTAAATCGCCAATTACATTGTGATACAAAAGCGAGTGCAGGGGTTCTCAAACTGGTGGTCGGGACTCCTCGGAGGTCATGAGGTATTACATGAGAGGTTGCAAGCTGTCAGCCTCCACCCCAAACCCTGCTTTGCCTCCAGTATTTATAATAGTGTTAAATATGTAAAAAACAAAAAGTGTTTTTAATTTATAAAGGGGGGGGTGGGTCGCACACAAAGGCTAGCTACGTGAAAGGGGTCACCAGTACAAGTTTGAGAATCACTGAGCTAGTGCATAAAAGGTCTTCCAAACTGGAAATAACACCCTCAACATCAGTCTTCATTTTAGATGGACATAACATTGATTGCTTACAAGCACTGAAGAACAACTGTAAGCTTTTGTATTTTTAAAGTTAACATTTTCTGCACTATAACAACTGTACAGAACGCCAGATCACATGCAACATTTTAGAACCCTTCAGAGGTTCAGTAGTTTCATGGTGCAGCATCATCTGATTATAAAAGTGATTTTAACCTTTTTGAAAGATGGGAGAAGCTATTTTAGATTAGTTTGCTTCCAACCAGAATGGCGGTTTCAAAGTAACAGAATGAAATTACCTTGTTTTCTTCACCTTGTCTCAGTCTTCCGGGGCTCGGTGGTACTGAGGGGCGTTTTCTACCTTTCTCCTGCTGGAAGAGATCCTGTAATCTAAAAGAGAAGCAGAGTTATCTTTGGTCCATGACTAGACGCCTAGGTACTATGGTAATACAAATAAATAATAATAGTATATTCAATTAGAACAATTACGTCATGGCTAGTCTACGCTACCGTGCTACATCAGCACAGCTGCACCTGCTATGCTGACAGGAGAGTGAATAATTTCTTTATTTCCATGAGAGGCAGAAGCTATATTGGCGGGAGAGAGTCTGCTGCCGACTTAGTGCTGGTGTCAATAGCACTTAAGTCTATGTAATTTGCGTTGCTCAGGGGGATGGCTTTTTCACACCCCTGAGCAATGTAAGTTACATTGACTTAAGCAATAGTGCAGACAAGCCCTCAGACAAGTGCTATCATTCCGGGGACAATCTCTAAAGATTGTCCATGCTGAGGTTTAGTCAAATGTGTGTCTTTCATAATATTTTCTGGTCGCATCTGGTACTTACTAGATGTTCTGTGTGACTAAATAAGGTTGCAATTAGCCATGAACAGATCATTCTTTTCCTCGCACCTCACAGTAGGAGCCGCAGTGTTGAAGTCAGAACAGTTTTCAAAGTCATGCATGGGCCACGTGAGAGAGTTTAAATAATTGCAAGTGGAATAGAGAAATTATAAGTTGCCTGTGTTTAAAATAAAAAGAAAAGGAGTACTTGTGGCACCTTAGAGACTAACCAATTTATTTGAGCATGAGCTTTCATGAGCTACAGCTCACTTCATCAGAAGTGATGAAGTGAGCTGTAGCTCATGAAAGCTCATGCTCAAATAAATTGGTTAGTCTCTAAGGTGCCACAAGTACTCCTTTTCTTTTTGCGAATACAGACTAACACGGCTGTTCCTCTGAAACCTGTGTTTAAAATGTTTCGCTTCATATTTGCTCAACTGTGAGATTACTTCAAAGTGTTGTGCAGAGGATCAATTGCCTTATATAGGCTCTCTCCTCATTTCTACCTTTATTTCAGCTGTGCCCGGTTTCCCATACAAATTGTGATTCTCCAGTAAGTCTGTGCAATTTCTACAACAGGGCTTGAAACAGATAATCTATAAATGCCACTATTGAAGTCTAGCCATTTACGAGTGGGTCTCTATAAATATAACTCCACTCATTACATTTTCACCTTCAAACACTCATGTGTAAATATGACTAATCATTAGCAAGATATTGCAGTATCTTGTATGCAGTAGTAGCAACAAACTTGATAGAGAGAAAGTGCAGCAGGATCTCCTCCTTAGGTTGCTAGCATCTTTCTTACCTGTTATTCCAGGCCTGCAGCATCTCACAGAGGCTCTGTTTTTTAGCTATCAGAGACTCAAAGACTGACTGCAACTGCTGAGAGGTGTCCAATGAAGGTGAAAGCATCCTTGCTTGGATCTTCTCAATCCAGTTCCGGAACTCTACCTCTTCCATCTGCCAAAGAAAAATTGAGATTTTTCCGTACTCTGCCACCAGCAGTGTTACACTGGTACAGCAATGTTCCATTTTCACCCTGCATTTCTCTGGTGCAGAAGCAGCATGTTACCTCTTTTTGTGCAAAAAGGTCCTCCATCTTCTCTTCCCTTGTTTTGCTGAAAGTATCCGTTTTCAAAGAGGTGAGACGATCATCAACAGCAAGGTACACCTGTGATACCCTGTGGTAAGAGGGGAAAACGTTACCGACACCATTCAGAGTCTCAGAGCCAAAATGTAGTCCAAAGTGGTCTTTAGTAGAACACACACTCAAATCTGATGCTAGAGTTTTGCAACCTATCCCCACCCTGTAACAGCTTGTCCCGTTAAACTTCAATGGGACAACTTGAGTAAGTCTACTCTCATGAACAAGATACAAGACTGGTCCCTTAAAAGGAGCATTCTGTAGACTCTAAAAAGATTGTGAAGAAAGCTTGCTGTTCTGCCCAGATGACTAAACTATGGCACACCCTTTTGAGGCGCACACAGCGTCATTCATCCACGATAGAGTACTTCATTGTGAAGAAAGCAGGGTTAATGTAACAAACAGCTAGAATACATGTACCGCCTTTGTCTACTAAGACTGACAATGCAAACTGAGCACTGTTGTAGCTTCCTGGTTTAAGGATAACTTATGGTTCTGCACTACAATGTAGAAAACCAGAGCTAAGTAGACAAGAGCATCTCTTCTCACTGTTTCTTGAATATTTCAGCACTGAACAGAATAACCTGCTGGAATGATGACAAGTAGCAAATAGGTACTAAAAAAGAGATCAGCAGTATGGGAACCCTGCAATAGGAGCAGTAGCCAGAAGATTGTGATAAATTGTCACTTCTTCCACCCATCTTTTCCACCTTTCCAAACAACCTAAAAGCAGTTTCTTCTGCAGTCTGAGGCAACAAATCAAATTACATTCAATCCGCTCCTGCCCAATTACAGTCCCCTAAAAATAAACATTAGGTGGCAATGAAAAATGTCTGAAATCAAACCAAATTCAATAAAACTGGTCCTGTTCAGGAAACAATTTAAATATTTTCCTTTTAACATTTTATAAATTGAAACCAAAGTTGAGAGCCTCAGAAGGCCAGACAGTTCAAAACAATGCACTGAAGAACCTCGATACTTTTTTTTTTCTTCTTTGTGTCACTTGTGTCTTTTCAAATCAAGCTTCCAAGTACAGCGTCTCCTCCCCATTTTTTGAGCATTGGAGAGTGGCAGCAATATCGCTCCTAGGTGGAGGATTTTCATTGTAGCAGCATGCTTCCAGGGTCAGCTTTCTGACAGCGAAATCCTTTCCAGTGATGATTTAGGAAAGGTCTGTAAGAACGTTTGGCCACTTGAGCTATCTACATAGAAGTCATGGCAATTTTTTTTTTTTTTTAAATTAAAAGAGACATGGGACCAAAACTGTTTAGTCTAGCCACATTAAAAAGTATAATTACACCAGGCATCCGGGGAGGAGATACGCCTACACAGGTGTGTCTTCGGGGTACACCTACACAGCAGCTGGGAGGTATGATTCGCAATTCACATACATGTACAAGCTCTGCTTGAGCTAGTGCAGCAATAGCAGCTGTGTGGGAGTGGCGGCATGGACTGTACTCTGGCATCTAGCCTGAGTCACGACCCATGCCACTGGGGCCACCCTGCTAGCTTCAGTGTAGCACACGCACGTCCACCCAAGCTGGGAACCGCACTTCCCAGCTGCGGTGTAGACATACCCTTAGACAACAGGTGGAGAGGGTCAGAATTAATGTTGGTATAGGAACCATATTTCCTTACTCTTAAGCATTTCAATGAATTGTTTTGCTCTTACATCTGCAGTAGCTTAAAATATATTTAGCAGATGTTTTCTTTAGTTTCTGCAGCAAGGACGGCTTCATGTCCTCCTTAAGGCATAAATAAGAAGAGGCAGCGAAGATAGGTGAAGAAAAACAAAACAAGGACATACTTTTGAGAGAAATCCTTCAGATCCTGCAGAATAGTAACCTTTAACGGAGCTTGACGTTTGATGTAGATTTTGGGGTGTGGGACACATACCTCTAGCAGCCGGATTGGAGAATAGCTAAGAGCAATAAAACGTAACCTTGTGTGAAAATGAAAACAAACACCACCCTGCTCCATTGCATCTCTCCCACCCTTTTGCTGTTGGTGATTCTCCTTCAGTTGGAGCATCAAGTATCAGAAAGAGCCCTGAAGGTTCTTGGCAGTGCCTGAAATACATCAGCCTTCCAGGACACTATCCTGCACGTGCTGTTTAGCTACTATGTAAAATCAGTACACCAGCCATGTTATAAACCAGCAGGCTGAAGTTTGGTAACACAGGATTGATCATTTTCCCTCGATGCAGCCTGCCTATGGACTGCTGGTTCCATCATGTTGAGTCCCCTATTCCTAGAACTACTGCCAACCCCCCTCTCTCCCAGCACTGCACAGAACAGCGTGACTAGATATTGCCAGTTTCTAACCATGCTGTACTTCTAGGACAGAGGTACAAACTATAGTATAGAGCACTGTCCCTTTTCGACATGCTCAAGATTAATTAATTAATCTGAAGGACAGGATTATTAGGGTTGTTCTTTCAGCTTGACCCAAGCACTTTAGGTGGCAATGCAGTCAGCGTTGGGGTGGAATCTGGAAGCGAAACCTTACCTGAAAGATGCCACCATCTGATTATATGAGAAATACTGGTGATAATCATGGTGTATGGAGTGACCACAAGGCTCTGCATTGGCTCTTCGCGTGTACTGGTGCCCATAGAATCTCAATTCGAGGTATTTTGCAAATGACATGGACCAAGAATCATTGGAAAGTGGGACAACTGGTGTGACCTGAAATTTGAAAACAGATTTTAATTGGAATAGACCAATGACTTAGGGAGAAACAATGAGTACATTTTCAGTAAAACTAGCCTAGTCCAAGCAGTGATGTAGTATTCAAGCAATTCAAAAGGTGTGACTACGAATCTGTGTGTGTGTGTGTGTGTGTGTACACATACAGTTTTTATGGCACGAAGAGGTCAACACAGCATCAAGATATCCTGTGGTGTGCTGACATGGTTAACTAATACAGCTGATGCAGTTAGCAATATCTAGAAGTGCTGATCAGGAGAGATTTTGGTTATTAAATCAATATAAGAATACTTGCCCCAGAAAGGAGAGGTTTCCCACCATAACAACATGTTTGCTTATATTTGTAAAGTGATTTCTTTGTCTAGTGGCATCACTTGTATCGACTCAGTCAGCAACACTGACTTCACTGCACTGCCGTGCCTTAAAACATTTAATCAAGTGCCTGAGGACTGAGCAGTGAAGATTCCATTGAGTACTCCAATACTTTAGCATCTATATTTATAATACTGCTTGCAATTTTAGGTGTATTATTTTATGGTCAATATTTCTACTGGTGTTGAACATAGTCACATTTAGAAACAGAGCATTAGGTGTGTTAACAAGCAAGTAAGTTTTATTTATGGGATATTTTCTGCATGCAAGATTTGCATCTTCCATCAGCTATCACACTAATTTCCTCCAAATTCCTTTAAATCCATATCATCCTCCAAATTCCTTTAAATCCATCATCATCATCAGGGTATAAACCAGTACAGATAGCATGAAGTCATTAGAATTGCTACTGTACGTTGAATATTTTTCTATATAGTTTCTAGATGGCAAAATGGCTATTTTAGGTACTTTCTTTAAATGTACAGGAAATGAAGTTAATTTAGGGGGTCTTTAATAAAAGTCACTCAGACTGGCGATTATAAGTAGATTTCTAAAATTAAATAGAAGTTTGTTTGTTTTAACTCCAGGGGACATATAGCTAGTTTTCTTAAAGAAGTATAAGAAGATTACTGAAGTTACAAGAAAAAGCATATGTCCTTTATGTTATTTTACAAATTATTTCTGGCTTTTAAAAGGGGATATAACATTCATCTAATATTGCAGTTATTTTATCTAGTATTTTAGTGCTGAACAAAGAAAATCTGTAGATAGTTTTGAAACAGTACAGCAAGTGCTGTTGGACTTGATCAAGACACACACTATGTACTGTATAGTGGATAACAGCAAGAGTACATTGTGGAGGAGATGGTTTTAGCTCAATTAATGGACCAGTACATCAGAGGAGGAGTTTTGTCCCTCCCCACTTCAATATTCAACTAGTTTCATTATGGCCAGGGGGCCACAACCTCTACTGGCACATGTGAGAACAACTCTATTTAAACCCATGGAGCTCTTGCCTGCCGGTGCCTGAAATTAATTTGGTCCAGTCTGTATCAGCACCTTTATCCAAAACTATTTATCCTTTCAAAAAAGATTTGACAGCCTTTTTCAAGCAGAAGCAGACATTTCCCCTGTAGTGCAATATACTGGGAGCATTACACCCAACAGGCATCAGTGGGTTATGTAGAATTAGTCTTAGTTACAGATCATAAGCTGCCGCTCCAGAGAAAATACAGCTCTTTCTGAAAGACAGTGCCCTCTGCATGAAGGCCTATCACACTATGAATTCTGCTACCATAGCATCAGAATATTCCTCTTAATCTTTACCTGTTTGCACAATCTACACCAGGAGTAGGTAAGGATTGTGTGCTGGTATCCAGGGACTGGGGAGTCCAGCTCCTTCAGTATGATCTGCACACAGCCTTGCCCGTGGACAAAGCGACGAACGTGGTGCACCATCGGTGTTTCACAAAACATGCTGGGGCATTGGTAGGAAGGCCTTAGAGAAAAGAAGTGGTGACATTCAGTTTTGAGGAAGTATGTGTTACATGTGACATCTTGAAGGCGACAGTCAGTGGCCCTAGCATACCTTTCACTGTCGTCACACTGCAGTAAATCCACCTTCCAAGATGTACAGAATGAACAAGCTTCCAAACCACTTCTAAATTATCTTAAACATTTTAAGTGTATTTATAGGGAGATCTGTTGCTGCAGGCCAAGATTTTCAAAAATACTGGTGCTTTAAGTGAAGCTCCCAAATCTAGATTTAGGCACTCAAATGAGGACCAATATTTTCAGAAGTGCTGAGCTCCCATGTGGATGTGCATCAGATGAAGTGAGCTGTAGCTCACGAAAGCTTATGCTCAAATAAATTGGTTAGTCTCTAAGGTGCCACAAGTACTCCTTTTCTTTTTGCGAATACAGACTAACACAGCTGTTACTCTGAAACCTGTCATGTGGGGAAAAGAAACCAATTTAAGTGTTTGAATATAGATTTAGGAACCTAAGTCTATGCACCCAGTTTCTGAAAACTTTGGCCACACTGGTTATCAAGGATACTTAACAGGGTTAAGGGTTACAAGGGTTAAACTTGCACTCAATATTTTCACACTGATTTTTATCCATTGCTAGCATCAGCTTTCCTCTGTGACTGGGGAACACCCGATACCCTGCATCAATCACTGTTTCAAGAGTAGCTAGTGTAGCACTTACAATTAAAAAAAGTGAACATACACACAGGTCAAAATTTGATCTAGTTTTTTTTTAAAGTTTTAAATTTAGCATTTGACACACATACAAGGCTGACAGCACTAGAGACTGATTACTTACTTACCCACAGAGTAGGTAAACCCTAGGCAGTGGCTGTGCAGCTCCTCAACTTCGAGGCTGTCACTGGATTTAGGGACTATGGACCCTTGTTGTCTAGAAATGGAAGCGGGCCTACCAACCAGCTTCACATAAGCTACAAAATGTTTATCAGATAGCAAACACTTGATTTCAAATCAGGGGAGCATCAGGCCAGTAACCTAGAGAGGAAGGGCTCTAGGGCTAAAATTTCCAAACACAACTAAGTGACTTAGTAGCCCAAGTCCAATTTTAAAAAGCAACTTATGAAGTTCAGAGAAATTGACCACATATTCCTTTATCAAATCCCAGAACCATCTATCTACTTCAATTCTTCCTTCTGTTTAACATTCTGTCTTATGTTGATTTAATAGAATTACAAGCTTCTATCTTAGTTACCCATATGCATCTTTCAAATGCAGTTAGCGTCAACAGGAAAGTAAACTGCATTCTTTAGTGTGCCTATATAAGACAGATTCATACAGGGGACAAAATGAAGTAGAAAATTCCTTAAACATAGCTTCTTAACAGATTCCCTTATGAAAAGTAGAAGGGTTCTATCAATAGCCATTTTTACCAAAATGAAATCAAAACAGAACAAGTCCTGCCTATAATAATATATGTTTGTCATGTATTATGACCTACTAAAACTACATATAGACTTCATGTAGTATCAAATATTCCTAATTACACATAGATGAACAGAATTTGTTGGGGAATAATCAACATGTTTTTTCTAAAGGGAAATCATGCCTCACCGATCTACTAGAATTCTTTTGTGGGGGGTCAACAAGCATGTGGACTAGGGGGAATCCAGTGGATATAGTGTATTTAGATTTTCAGAAAGCCTTTGACAAGATCTCTCACCAAAGGCTCTTAAGCGAAGTAAGCAGTTATGGGATAAAAGGGAAGGTTCTCTCATGGATTGGTAACCAGTTAAAAGATAGGAAAAAGGGTAGGAATAAATTATCAGTTTTCAGAACGGAAAGAGGTAAATAGGGTTGTCCCTCATGGGTCTGTACTGGGACCAGTCCTATTCAACATATTCATAAATGATCTGGAAAAAGGGGTAAACAGTAAGGTGGCAACATTTGCAGATGATCCAAAACTACTCAAGATAGTTAAGTCCCAGGAAGACTGCAAAGAGCTACAAAAGGATCTCTCAAAACTGGGTGACTGAGCAACAAAATGGCAGATGGAATTCAGTGCTGATAAATGCAAAGTAATGCACATTGGAAAACAATCCCAACTATACATATAAAATGATGTGGTCTAAATTAGCTGTTACCACTCAAGAAAGATCTTGGAGTCATTGTGGACAGTTCTCTGAAAACATCCACTCAATGTACAGCGACAGTCAAAAAAGTAAAGAGAATGTTGGGAATCATTAAGAAGAGGATAGATAATAAGACAGAAAATATCATATTGCCTCTATATAAATCCATGGTACACCCACATCTTGAATACTGTGTGCAGATATGGTCGCCCCATCTGAAAAAAAAATATATTGGACTTGGAAAAGTTCAGAAAAGGGCAACAAAAATTATTAGGGGTATGGAACGGCTGCCGTATGAGGCGAGATTAATAAGACTGGGACTTCTCAGCTTGGAAAAGAGATGACTAAGGGGGGGTGGGTCTGATAGAGGTCTATAAAAAAACGTGACTGGTGTGGAGAAAGTCAATAAGGAAGTGTTATTTACTCCTTCTCATAACACAAGAGCTAGGGGCCACCAAATGAAATTAATAGACAGCATGATTAAAACAAATCAAAGGAAGTATTTTTTCCACACAACGCACAGTCAATCTGTGCAACTCCTTGCCAGAGGATGTTGTGAAGGCAAAGACTATAACAGGATTAAAAAAAAAAATGAACTAGATAAATTCATGGAGGATAGGTCCATCAATGGCTATTGGGCAGGAATGGTGTCCCCAGCCTCCGTTTGCCAGAAGCTGGGAATGGGAGATAGGATGGCTCACTTGATGATTACCTGTTCTGTTCATTCCCTCTGGGGCACCTTGCATTGGCCACTGTCGGAAGACAGGATACTGGGCTAGATGGACCTTTGGTCTGACCCAGTATAGCCGTTCTTATGTTCTTAAAGTATTAAGCTACTTAATATAGCTGAAGTATTGGTTGGATCACCAGCACAGCCTGTTTACCAAAAGTCATTATGTTCGAAAAGTTTGCATCGATGCTCTAAAGATATTTTTCTAAGATATCATCATAAGACATTCTGATAATATTTAGGCAGTAGATTTTTCCAAGTATTGTACTTGTGGCACCTTGGAGACTAATGGATTTATTGGAGCGTGGGCTTTCGTGGGCTGCAGCCCACTTCGTTGGATGCATGGAATGGAACATATAGTTAGATAGATACACACATGCGCGCGCGTGCGCGAATGGGTTGGGGGTTGCCGTGCAGACTGTGAGTGGCTAATTGGTTGGGATGAGCTGTTGTCAGCTGGAGAGAAAAACCCCAACTTTTGTGGTGATCGTCGAGATGGCCCATTTAGACAGTTGACAAGAAGGTCCTATGGAAAAGAAGCCCTTGAGGAATTCCACCATGATTTCAACAATTTCCATCCCACCATCAACCTCAGCCTAGACCAATCCACACAAGCGGTCCATTTCCTGGACACTACTGTGCTAATAAGCGATGGTCACATAAACATCACCCTATACTTGAAACCTACTGACCGCTAATATACCTACATGCCTCCAGCTTCCATCCAGGACACATCACACGATCCATTGTCTACAGCCAAGCTCTGCGATACAACCGCATTTGCTCCAATCCCTCAGACAGAGACAAACACCTACAAGATCTCTATCAAGCATTCTTAAAACTACAGTACCCACCTGCTGAAGTGAAGAAACAGATCGACAGAGCCAGAAGAGTACCCAGAAGTCACCTACTACAGGACAGGCCCAATAAAGAAAACAACAGAACGCCACTAACTATCACCTTCAGCCCCTAACTAAAACCTCTCCAGCGCATCATCAAAGATTTACAACCTATCCTGAAAAATGATCCCTCACTCTCACAGATCTTGGGAGACAGACCAGTCCTCGCTTACAAACAGCCTCCGAACCTGAAGCAAAAACTCACCAGCAACCACACACCACACAACAAAAACACTAACCCAGGAACCTATCCTTGCAACAAAGCCCAATGCCATGTCCACATATTTATTCAAGTGACACCATCATAGGACCTAATCACATTAGCCATGCCATCAGGGGCTCGTTCACCTGCACATCTACCAATGTGATATATGCCATCATGTGCCAGCAATGCCCCTCTGCTACTTGAAGTCTTTAAACCACGATTTGAGGACTTCAATAGCTCAGACATAGGTGAGAGGTTTTTTGCAGGAGTGGGTGGGTGAAATTCTGTGGCCTGCGTTGTGCAGGAGGTCAGACTAAATGATCATAATGGTCCCTTCTGACCTTAAGTATCTATGAATCTATGAAACTGGATCACTATTCCTTAGGAATTTGCTCCTGCTGCAGATCTCACCTGAAGTTCCATAGCAACTGTTGTAAAATTAGATTAAGATTATGACCAACACAATTCGCTGCTTTGTAGAGGACAGAGCTATTTGCAATAAACTACTACCTAGAGATCCCAATCTGGACCCCATTGTGGCAAGCTCTGTACAAACATAGGGTAAAGAGATAGATGTCTGAGGCAAGGACTGTAATAAGCAACAGGTGATTAAACAAATTGGTAGGAGGGAGATAACAATATGAGCACCTTTTCACTTGTAAGAAGGTAGGAGGAGCAAATGGAACATACTTTAAGAAACATATTTCCTGTTTTGTTGCAAGCATTCTAATAAAACAAACGGAAAAGAATTATAGAAGACCTATTCAACAGAACTGTCTCTAAAGAATGTTTTGCTAAAGATTTTCACAGCATATGTATGTATTCCTTTTTTAAATCATGCAAACAATTCTCTGTAAACTGTACAATACTACATGTACATGTGTGAGAAAAGCACATCTCAGTCCGATGAGGCTACTGAAGACTTCCTTAAAAGCATGGCTGATATTCTAGTGTAAAAAGTTCTTACCTGAAACAATACCGCTCTAAAAACACTCCTAGAGTGAGGTCGTTCTTCCCATAGAACTCCATTGTCACAATCCTGATGTAGAGGAAAAACAGAAAATTTAAGAGGCAAGATCTTGGTTTGGTAGAGGTGTACATTACAGGAATGACTGCAACATGGGAATGCTCATGAGCAAGTACATTTATCTCAGCAAATGCCACACAAGTGTGCCTTTTAAGATCATGGCCAAGAACTTCCAAACTTGGGTATTTGAAGTTAGTCATTCTAATCAATATTTGAACACTTAACGGGGCATGATTTTCAGAGGTGCTGAACACAGCATCCCAGCTGATCCCCTCTAAAATTACTTTAATGGGCACTTCAGGTACTCAGCAACTTTGGAAAAAAAGAAGAGCCACTTTAGGTGCCTAAATACTGATTTGGATAACTCATTTTAGGCACCCAAATTTGGAAGTTTTGGCTAGAATCAATTTTGCTGCTTTATTTGTTGCTTTATAACAAGTAGGGCCCTACCAAATTCACAGCCATGAAAAACGTTCCACAGACTGTAAAATATGGTCTCTTCCCCACCACCAGTGAAATCTAGTCTTATATATGCTTTTACCGTATACCAGGGGTCGGTAACCTTTGGCACCTGGCCCGTCAGGGTAAAGCCACTGGCAGGCCAGGCCGGTTTGTTTATCTGGAGCATCCGCAGGCACGGAGCCCCGCAGCTCCCACTGGCCACAGTTTGCCATTCCCAGCCAATGGGAGCTGTGGGAAGCAGTGACTAGCACGTCCCTCGGCCTGTGCCACTTACCGTAGCTCCCATTGGCCAGGAATGGTGAACTGTGGCCAGCGGGAGCTGCGGGGCTCCGTGTCTGCGGACGCTCCAGATAAACAAACCAGCTGGGCCCGCCAGCAGCTTTACCCTGATGGGCCGGGTGCCAAGGTTGCCAACCCCTGCCCTATACTGTACAGATTTCACAGGGGAAACCAGTGTTTCTCAAATTGGGGGTCCTGAACCAAAAGGGAGTTGCAGGGGAGTCACAGCCAACCTTATTTCTGCACTGCCTTCAGAACTGAGCGGCTGGAGAGCGACGGCTGTTGGCCAGGCGCCCAGCTCTGAAGGTGGCATCCCACCAGCAGCAGTGCAGAAGGAAGGGTGGCAATTCCATGCCAGGCCAGGCGTCACCCTACCCTTACCATACCATGCCACCCTAACTTCCATTATCTCCCTCCAACTGCACTGGCTGTTTGGGGAAAAGCCCTACCCAGTGAACAGCTAAGGATTAGTATTAAAAGTCTGCCAGTAACCTGCAGCCTCACAGCCAGCTCTGCAGACATTTAGACATGAAATGCTACTTGCTACGAAGAAATTCCTGCCCTCACTAGGTGAGCAAAGCTGTATTAATATTTAGATTGTAGTGGATTTTCTACACCCCATTCTGGAGCCCTACTACTAGAAATGAAAAAAATCTTCTGAATTTACAAGTTCCAACCTGCCCAACAGAGATTTCACAGATTTCATTCCCCCCACAGTCACTGCATTAAAATATACCGTACAGAACCACAGAAATGTAGGGCTGGAAGGGACCTTGAGAGGTCGTTGAATCCAGCTCCCTCCGCTGAGGCAGGACAAAGTAAACCCAGACCATTCCCGATAGGTGTTTGTCCAACCTGTTCTTAACCTCCAGTGATGGGGATTCCACAACCTCCCTTGGAAGCCTAGTCCAGAGCTTAACTACCCTGATAGTTAGGAAGTTTTTCCTAATCTCTAACCTAAATCTCCCGTGCTGCAGATTAAACCCGTTACTTCTTGTCCTACCTTCAGGAGGACAACTGACCACTGTCCCCTTTCTAAAACAGCCTTTAAAACATATTTGAAGACTTATCAGGTCCTCCCTCGGTCTTCTTTTCTCAAGACTACACATGCCCAGGTTTTTTTAACCTTTCCTCATAGGTCAGGTTTTCTAAACCTTTTCACATTTTTGTTGCTCTCCTTTGAACTCTCTCCAATTTGTCTACATCTTTCCTAAAGTGTGGCACCCTGAACTGGACACAGTACTCCAGCGGAGGCCTCACCAGTGTATGACACTCCTGTTAGTACACATCAGAATATTACCCTTCTTTGCAACAGCACCGCAATGCTCACTTATATTTAATTTGTGATCCACTACAACCTCTCAGATACTTCCCATTTTGTAGTTGGGCTTTGGATATTTCCTTCCTAATTGTAGTACTTTGTACTTGGGTTTATTGAATTTCATCTTGCGGATTTCAGACTAATTCTCCAATTTGTCAAGTTCATCTTAAATTCTAATCCTGTCCTCCAAAGTGCCTGCAACTCCTCCCAGCTTGGGGTCATCTACAAGTTTTATAAGCATATTCCCCACACCATTATCCAAGTCATTGATGAAAATATTGACTGTGATCAGATACAGGGCTGACCCCTATGGGACCCCACTAAATACATGCTCCCAGTTTGACGGTGAACTACTGACAACTACTTTGAGTTCGGTCCTTCAGCCAGTTGTGCACCCACTTTATAGAAATTTCAACTGGACCATATTTCCCCAGTTTGCTTATGAGAATGTCATGTAGGACTGTGACAAAAGCCTTACTAAAAATAAATCATGCCTTCTGCTTCCCCCCATCCATTAGTCAGTAACCCTGTCAAAGAAGGATTTTAGGTTGGTTTGGCATGATTTGGTTTTGACAAGTCCATGCTAGCTATTCCTTATACCGCTATTCTCTCAGTGCTTACAAACTGATTGTTTATTAATTTGTTCCACTATCTCTCCCGGTATTAAAGTTAGGCTGACTTGTCTATAATTCCCTGGGTCTGTTCTCCCTTTAAAGATAGGTACTATGTTTTCTCTTTTCTAGTCTTCTGGGACCTCCTCCTCCATGAGCTCTCAAAGATAACTGCTCCACTTTCAAGACAGCTTCATCTAGTTGCTTAAGTACTCTAGGATGAATTTCATCAGGCCCACATACAAAAGCAGTGATTAGTTAGAGCACTGAATTACAGATTGGGCTTTTTTTCCCTCCTCATTCCTGCCTTATTAAGCATTACAAAGGTAAGTGGCATTGCTCAAATCCATCTAGTCATACACAGCTTAATGTTGTGACAGGCAACTCTAAAAAAGGCTAAGCTACCTTCCCAGGAGTCCTTAGTGAAGCTGTACAGAAGAATTAGCACTGACCTTGCCTTCATATAAGAGAGAGAGAGATATTAACAGTTAAACTTTGTATTTTAAGAGAGCCATAGGGAAGAAGAAGAAGAAATAATTCATTTCATACCATGGACTAACGCAGGCACTTGGAGCATTGCTGGACTGGGCAGAGGAGCTACTGAAAAGAACACAGAGCCTCTGATGGTTGACTGGACTCAGACAGTCCACCTGACAAGACAACCCATTAGCCAGTTACAACCACACATTTCCACCAATACAAAATAGTTTACACTTTAAAAGCTGCATAGAACGGAATTTTATTCAGTGAGAGATTCTGTGTTTGTCCCATTTGTCATATTTACTTTTCTCAGGAGATTAAGTTACCCAAGAGTTCCAGGTAGACTTATGCAAGGACGACTTTTTTGGATTACAGCACAACCAATTAGGTACAAAAAAGTTCAAGGAATAGGAAGTCCAAGTGGACTTTTAAACAGTTTGACAGTTTGAAGGGTCTTTAATCCACAAGTGTGCATTTTAATCCTTTAGGACAAGAAATCTTGAGCCTGAAACTTGACATTTGCTGCTTACTTCCTTGCAAGAAGAGTTTTTCTAATACACAGGATCTCATTTATTCAGAATACACAAGGTAGATTTTCTAAAAATATACTTTGCAATTACATCCTCCCAACACTATCCTTTATTCTAACTGGACATCATTCGTGACCTTTAGCCACCAAACCCACTATGAGACAATATCAACATTAGCGTTACTCAGTATGAAGAGAGAAAAAACAACAACAGCTTTTAAATAGATGGGCATTCCATTTCTGAAATAGATGAGAGATTGTTCTCTTCCCCATCCCCCACTTCACCCCCAACTGTAGATCCAAGCACATTCACTCCCAGCATGTAAAACTGAGCTGGTAATGAGATGTACCAAGTTTCTTGCTCTTCCTGGTGGTTCAGAGAGCAAGTGCTTTGCAAGCCCACCCACCCCATCCCCTCAAGTCAGCACCTCTCACAATCAGAGACCACAATGTGGTGATTAAACAAGCTGACATCCAAGTTGACCTAGAGCACTGCAGTCCAATATGAACTTTTGTTATGCCTGGCCTGTTCCTAAATATGATATTCAGAAGTAGGTTCCTTCTCTCACCACTAAACAAAAACAGGAGGTAAAAACCTAGATTCTTACCTTATGAGACCATACAGATTCACCCCGAACCAATCCTCTCTCATCCTCTTCATTTCTGCCTCCAGCTTTTCCTCCAGAAACACCAGATGCATCTTTACACTGGGCAAAGGGATCTGCATTTTTCTGTTGTATCCTTCCTCCTCTGGCCCGGTAATCTGCTAGCATTCTGGCCAAGCTTTGGCTATCACCCAGATGCTCTGCAATTCTAGTGTTAACTAACTCATGGGTAGGCAAAACCTGGATGGCCTTTGCCTGGATACTTCCATTTATCCCTTGCAGTCCAGAGAGATCCCTTAACAGCTGTTTCTTCCTTCTGCTCTCCAGCTCCTTATACTCTTTGTTGAGGAAAGGAGACAAATAGACCTGCTCTGGGAAGTAGTCCCGGGCAGGGCACCTCATGCCCATCTCCGTTAGAAGAAAAGGTTCATGGAATGTGATCACAGGTGAGATACAGAGAATAACATCTTTCAGCTCCTGCTTAAATGCTAAGGAGTAGGCCTTGAGGCGATCCTCGGAGGAAGTCACCTCCTCCATGATATACAATCCAGTGTCATCCTGCAGAGGGTCTCTAAAGACTCTCATCTGGCTTTTGGAATCCTGCAGGTCACCTGGCTGCTGCAGAGTCTCCAGATGCTGACTATATAGAGTGCCTGGGTGTTGGTCCGTACTTTGGAAGGGTAGCCGTGATTCTGGTACTGGTGTTTTAATACTGCTCAACACTGGCAGTGAATATTCCATTCCGAGATGCTCTTGGTGCCTTAAAGAGGAACCCTCTCGCAGGACAGCATCATCATCTTGATCCTCTTCTTCAAACAAAGTTCTTTGTTCTAGTGTGCTGGCCTCATCGGAAGAGACAGACTCAGAGAACATGGGCACTTTTTCAGAAGAGAGCTCAACATCTCTGACCACCATGCTAAACTCCTCACCATTAAAGAGGTCTTGGTGCTCATGTTCATCTCCTTGGCTTTCAATCAGAGCGTGGAAGGAGCTGTTTTTAGTCAGAGTAGGGGGCATGGCAAACTCATCCATAAGGAAAGAAATTTCCAGTTGGGAATGATAAGCCACACAGACCATAAAGATAAGGATCTCCTTCACTCGGGTCAGTTCATAGTCTGCAGCTCCACGCAGCTTGATGGTGCAGCCCAAGTGTGGCGGGCACCCTTCAAAAAACATTAAGGTTTTGGTTTGATCTAGAAAGGTTAGGAGGAAAACAGTGAGGGTCAAGCAGTTCTCACATTTCACACTTAAGCAGCAGACTGAAATGTTTTCCTATGAAAAAAGTGAACGCTAATTACGATGTAAGAGTTGGAACAAGTGGTACAACCAGTTATTGCAACACCGCTGCAGGAACTCGTGCCCAGACCAAACCAAGGGTGCGGCTCAAGATGTAGATTTTTAGGTTTCTTTATGGAAAGTTAGCCTCTGCTGTCCCTCACTTTACCAGTCAAGTTGCTATACATTTTGAATCCAGTCAGGACAGAACAAATAAGTAGCATATGTCCCAATATACCAAGATTAAGCTAAGTCATAGAAGTGTAGGGCTGGAATAGACCTCAAAGGTCATCTAGTCCATCCAATCCATGTTGAGGCAAGATTAAATACACTTGTCAGGGAAGGTCTACGTATTTGTCTAGCCCAGGGCTGGGAAAACTTTTTGGCCCGAGGGCCACATCGGGGTTGCGCAACTGTATGGAGGGCCGGGTAGAAAAGCCTGTGCCTCCCCAAACAGCCTGGCCCCCACCCTCATCCACCCCTTCCCACTTCCTGCCCCACTCAGAACCCCTGACCCATCGAACCCCCCTGCTCCTTGACCCCTGACTGCCCCCTCCCAGGACCACCCTGACCATAACCGCCCCCCAACTCCCCCTGCTCCCCGTCCCCTGACTGCCCCCCCCCAGAATCTCCACCCCATCCAACCGCCCCCTGCTCCCTGTCCCGACTGCCTCCCAGGACCCTCCACTCCCCACCCCTTTACCATACTGGAGCCAGCCACACCACCGCGCTGCCTGGCAGGAGTGGCGGGCCAGAGCGCTGGCAGCGCAGTACGCGGAGGCTGCAGGGGAGGGGCCGGGGATGAGCCTCCCTCGCCGGGAGCTCAGGGGCCAGGCCGGATGGTCCCACAGGCCGGATGTGGCCTGCAGGCCATAGTTTGCCCACCTCTGGTCTAGCCTGTTCTAAAAAAATCTCCAATGATGGGGATTCCACAACCTATTCCACTGTTTAACTCATGATGTTCTAAAGCCTACAGACTTTAAAAGCAAATGCCTTGACTTGTTTTCTTTCTAGCTAAAAGAATCTGGGGGGGGGGGGTTAGGGGGAAAACGCAGGTTATTACAGCCAGGAGGGGTCCACTGTTTGGTAACCCATTTGGTTAAGCTTTACATTAATCTGTCAAAAGGTATTCATTTATGTGGTCTTCCTTGCTGCACTGGCCTTCTGTTTCTGTAATTAAAAAGTTAACAATATTATACCTGCAGTTTCTACCCCTAAGCTCCCAACCAAATGAGTTTTTGTCCACTTGTTAGATGCTCATTTCATGTGTTGTATACAGAGATCAGCATAATATGGATCATTTCTTCATATTTTTTGCAAGACATTAGATATAAAATTCTTTGTACTCTTTCTTCGGCGTATAAAACATCAAGACTATTATGGCAAAATTATATTTATCAGCTCTGTCAACCATTCATTCATTCCAGTTACTTGGCAGTCAAGACATGCTGCTTAACGCAGCAGTATTAGTAAATTAATAATCCACTCTCCAACTCTGTTGGGCAAATGAGCTCGGACATCCAGGTTCTACTCACCATTAGGTAACTGGAACACTTGCATGTAAAATTTATGACAGGTTCCCAAGTGTGGTTTGGTCAACAATTGATCCATTGAGATCACCAAGTCTCCCTGAGTCATCCGACTTATTCGGTCTAATACTTGCTGTAAACATACATAAGACAATGGAATAGGGCACAATACTGTCATAAGTTAAAAAAATATGTTACAAGCTGTATCTGCTATTCCATCCTTAGAGAAGCCTAAGGCATTCGCTTATTATAATGTTTTCCTAGAGCGAATTAAGGAAAAAATATCAGCCTTAACTTTGAAGTCTCTTGGTTTGCATCATTGGGGTTACACTAATTTCACGGTTTAAGAATTCATATTTGAGAAATTATTCCAAAGAAATAATAATTTAACTAAACTCCAGCTATCATTGCATTTTAGCCCTGTCATAAATATAAAGGGAAGGGAAAACACCTTTAAAATCCCTCCTGGCCAGAGGAAAAATCCTTTCACCTATAAAGGGTTAAGAAGCTAGGATAACCTCGCTGGCACCTGACCAAAATGACCAATGAGGAGACAAGATACTTTCAAAAGCTGGGAGGAGGGAGAAAAACAAGGGGTCTGTGTCTGTCTGTGTGATGCTTTTGCCAGGGACAGAACAGGAATGGAGTCTTAGAACTTAGTAAGTAATCTAGCTAGATATGCATTAGATTATGATTTCTTTAAATGGCTGAGAAAATAAGCTGTGCTGAATAGAATGGATATTCCTGTCTGTGTGTCTTTTTGTAACTTAAGGTTTTGTCTAGAGGGATTCTCTATGTTTTGAATCTAATTACCCTGTAAGTTATTTACCATCCTGATTTTACAGAGGTGATTCTTTTTACTGTTTCTTCTATTAAAATTCTTCTTTTCAAGAACTGAATGTTTTTTTCATGGTTCTTAAGATCCAAGGGTTTGGGTCTGTGGTCACCTATGCAAATTGGTGAGGATTTTTACCACCCCTCCCCCAGGAAGTGGGGTGCAAGGGTTGGGAGGATTTTTGGGGGGGAAAGACGTTTCCAAACAACGCTTTCCTAATAAAATAAACCCGGATAAACGTTTGGTGGTGGCAGTGGAACTCCAAGGGCAAAGGGTAAAATGGTTTGTACCTTGGGGAATTTTTAACCTAAGCTGGTAAAAGTAAGCTTAGGGGGTTTATCATGCAGGTCCCCACATCTGTACCCTAGAGTTCAGAGTGGGGAAGGAACCTTGACAAGCCCATTTAAAACGACCCGTACCAGACATGACTTATTACAGCAACATGACACTCTGGAAGTATCATTTCCTGTTACTGTGTTTGGCACCAAGCACTCACCGGCTTGACATTGATGACCAGAGTGATGCCATGTTCCAGCAGCATGTCCTGGGCAATTCGGGACACAGTCTTCTCAACCAGAACCAAGGTAGGCCTGACATCCACTATCCGCTGGACATAGTTCTTCAAGAACTCCCTTTCCTACACCCCAAGAGAAAGCAGGACAGTGGCTGCCGATCTGATTTCTTTTTAAAAGTGAAGCAGTCACACACCTAGCCACTTGTCATGTCAGGCACTAAACCTGCCCTTCAGTCACCATGCCCATGTAAGTGATTTTACAATTCTCTTTATATAGAAGTAGTTTCTCTCTCCTGTTACTGTGAAAGGCCAATGCACACAGGAGAAACTGGACTGACCAGAAAGCGCAGTCAAATGCATAGAGTACATATACATTTCCCATTCTCCCTCTCAATGTTAAGTGTGAATTTTACTGTGTCCCTTAAAACAGAGGCTTAATTCAATTAGTTTGACACATCATTAACACAGGAAGACAACCCCTTATCAAGAACTGCATATTAAGATGCTTTTATATGTTGTGTTGAGGTGCATTCAGTAGATTAAAAACAATGGAACTTTGAAATTTTAGTAAATTACTCAGTTTAGTTTTTTGCATTAAAATGCTAAAACGGATACTTCTACATAGCTTTATTCTATGGATTTGTTTGCCTAGGACACTCTGGAAAATCAATCTGAGTTAATGAAAGGTGCAAATTTCAGGTATATTCATCTTTCATTAACTCAGATTAACTTTCCTGAGTGTCCCCATGTACACAAATCCTATATTACACACACACACACGTTAAAACATTAAGGGAGCAAAAAGTAAGGTTGCATAGGCCATGTTATTCAGCTCCCCCTTGTGCATATGCATTAGGATTCAATCTTTAATTGCATGATCACGTAGTACTGTTTCTTCAGAATCCCTCCCTCATTTAGTGTACAGTACGAAGAATACTTTTGTCTGTAGGATACCCTACCCAATTTGTTGCAGAAATTGGAAGTAGGTAGTAAATGAAGCAGCGGAACTGCAGTAAGAAAAAAAGACAGACAGCTGAATGCTGCTCTGGAGAACTAGATTCTATCCTTGTGGCTTTGTGAAACAGAATTCCTACCAGATGCTAATAAAGTCTTTTGGCCCACATTTTTCAAAACTGGTCATTAGCTGTGTTCTCTTCATTTTCTGGGCACTTAAGCCAAGACCCTGGGGTCTGATTTGCAGAAGTACTAAGTATTCACAGCGGTCACAGAAGTCAATGGGAGCTGTGCTTTGAACATATAAAATGCTATATAATGCTAAGTAACAAGGAAAAAAATAAAATCAGGTCCTAAGTGTCTCGGATTGGGAACTCAAAATTCATAGATATTTTTGGACCATAATCTTTGAGCTTCCACTCCCCATTTGCCAAATGGTGGATATACCCCTCATCTCACTGTGGTGCTATGAAAATAAGTTCATTAATATTTGTGAAGCACTGATACACTAGTGTGATGAATGTCACAAAAAAGGCCATGAGGAAATAATTCTGTCTTCAGAGCAGGGTTTGAACAATATACAGTAAATAAGGCCTAGGACCACAGATTGAACAACAATTAGAACATAAGATATTGAATAGCAGCTTAAGTGAGCACCATCCACTCTGTACATTGAATGAGGCAGCGGACCGGCAGAAAAAATAAAATATGTGATCATGCAATTAAAGATCATAATATACATACACAACGAAACCAAAGTAACGTTGCACAGGCAACCTTAATTCTGGCATTTCCTAACTTTTGAGGGCGTAACTTAGCGTTCTTTTAATGTAGTTGTATGTGCGGTTTCCTGGGTGTTTTTTAAAAAAAGCAAACTGCAAAAACGAATTCCATGATGTGGCATCATACTGACACCCATATGGGCCAGCAACATTGGAACCTTTACATCTACCCCACAAACCTCTATCACTTAAGCTAACAAAGTGACTGATAACAGTACAGTAACTCCTCACTTAACCTTGTACTTCTGTTCCTGAAAAATGCAACTTTAAGCGAAATGATGTTAAGTGAATCCAATTTCTCCATAAGAATTAATGTAAATTGGGGGGGCAGGGAGGAGGAGGAGTTAGCTTCCAGGGAAATTTTTTTCACCAGACCCAAAAAAAAAAAAAAACCACTATATCTATACACACACAAAATGTTTTAAACAAACAATGTAATACTGTTCACAGCAATGATGATTGTGAAGCTTGGTTGAGGTGGTGTAGTCAGAAGGTGGGGTATTTCCCAGGGAATGCCTTGCTGCTAAATGATGAACTAGCACTCGGCGGAGTCCTCAAGGGTTAACACACTGTTGTTAATGTAGCCTCTCACTCAACAACGCAGCACAAACGGAGAAGGAGGGGAGACAGCACAGCAGAAAGAGACAAACACTGCCCCTTTAAATAAGCTGACCCACTCTTAATTACATTGTCTTTTTAAGTGGATCAGGACATTGAGACAGCAGCTGCTCCCAGAAAGCTCTCTCTGTCTCTCTCCGTCTGTGTCCCCACCATGCTCTATATGGAGAAGGGGTAAGCAGGGTGCAGGAGCAGGGGGAAGGGGACACCCTGACATTAGCCTCCCTCTTTCCCCTTTCCCCCCATGCACAACAAGCAGAGGCAGAGGGCAGGAGCAGCACATGGCAGTGGGGAGAGGGACAGCTGAACCGCCAGCAATTGATAGCCTGCTGGGCAGCTGCTGCACAGGGAACTTAGGGGAGCAGGTAGCTGATAGGGGGGCTGCCAGTCCACCCTGGTTACAAGCCCCCACCAGGTAGCTGCAACAGGCTGCTCTTCCTGCAAGCTGTGGACAAAGCAGGAGGCTGCCAAACGACTTAGAAGGGAGCATTGCGCAACTTTAAACGAGCATGTTCCCTAATTGATCAGCAACAAAACAACGTTAACCGGGACGACTTTAAGTGAGGAGTTACTGTAATAGGTTGTCATCCTCTATATGGACCAGCACTACAGGTGGGATGGACACTTTGCCAGTAAGTTTGACAGATACTTACTGAAAGACAAATGGAGAGACTGGAATCTTGGGTTCCAGACTTTGGAGGGCAGTGTTCCCTAGCGAGCACAGACCCTTCTGTCCCACTCCTGGCTCTGCCAGCCTGTCCCTAACTCTTCTCCAGCCCTGGTTCCTCATCCCATTACTGTCTACACCTCCAAATACCAATCTTCTTATGCAGCAAGTCCTAGTCTCCACTCCAGACTCCTCTTCCCCCCGAGTCCAGCCAGTCCCAGTTTTCCTTATCCCCCCCTGGGCTTCTCAACTATTCTCAATACGTGCCCAGGGAGTCCCAATCTCCCCTCATCCTTATCCCAATCTACTCCCCGTCACCCAACAGGTCTGGCTCTTGTCCACACTGTATGAGTCAGATACCTTCCACCAAGCTGCCTGTATGTGTGTGGGGGAGGAAAGAGGGAAAAGGGGACAGTGGAGGGGCGGGGGGAGTGTTCTACAGAGCACAGGAGAGACTGTTACCCTGCTCTCAATTCAGGTGCCCGGACCTGACATGGTCCAAGGTAGCTTGCAGCTGAAGAGAAAGTCCTGCTCTGACTTTGGCTCAAGCATGCCTGGCTCGAACAGAATCTTCAGGGAGTTTAGCAGCTAAAGTCTAACAAGTCTCAGAGCAACTTTTCCAAAGGTTCCCAAGTCGCTCTAGCTATGAATTTTCCAACAAAACACCTGGTGGAAAATGCCAATTTGTCCACAGCAAAAACATTAGATGAAAACGTATAACCTTAGACAAAAGCTGAAAGAAAGCATTTAGATAAGGCTGAAACATTCAATTTTGAGCTTTTTGGAATATGACATTTTGATTTTCCATTTCAATTTTTTAAATTTTATATTTAGAGTTGAAACTGGAACAAAAAGTGTCAACTTATTTGCAGTTTTGGGTCATGTGAAATTTTGAAGCCGTTTCTGGTCCATTCTTCAACAAAAGAAATTTTGAAATTGCAAAACTCCACTCCCAGATGAAAAATCCAGCTCCTGCACAGATCTACTTACAACTTGGCCAGATTTTCGCAGAGTTGGCAAGTAAAGTCCCTGACACCAGGGCAACACCCTGCAAAATTTCAAGCTCTTGCTCCAAAGCATTGGGGGGGTGGGGGGGAACAAAAAACCACAATCTCTTCTACCCCCAAGAAAAAGGTTACCACAACATCCACTTCTTCAGTCTGTTTGTTGTCAAAATCTATTTAACTTGATGAGCATGGGGATTTCTGAATGATGAGGGCCTAAGCTTGCACACTGAGCATGGGTACATGGCCGAGATATCGAGGCCCACGTGGGCAATTAGCATCCGCCCAAAACACCAAGGGTTTTGACAATATAATAGTATGTCAGTAACCCTGTTTAGTGTGCACTTGGTTCTAAACTGGATTTACCAAATATGCCCATCCTTTAAAATGGCACTTATTCGCTCGATTTATGATGAGCCTACATGACACATTAAAAAGACAGCCTGTTATACAGCTGAAATTTCTGAATACTATCTTCTCTAATCAGAGTCAAATGGAAGGCAAGTTTAGTTAAGGATCATCTTAATGGGTTAGCAACATAAGATGATTTTGTTTAAAGAAAATTTAAACCTCCAGCATCCATATATCAGGATAAGCAGGATTATGCATGTGTAGAAAGATTTCATAACTCAATACTTTCATTGAGAGTTTCTGGAAGAAGTCTGCTGACAGACAAATAAGAGGATTTGGTAGGTGATAAATATTTATCTGCAGATCATCAGTTTATGCACTTCATTTCAAGTTACCATCTGTGACCAAAAGGCAGTACAAGAGTACCTCCAGTCTTGTGTTTCAAAGCAATATTAGGGTATGGATCCTATTCCAATTAGGCCTTTGAGTAACTATAAGTTACACAAATTCCAGTATTAAGAATTGTTCTGGATGCTCTGTCCAGCTGACCATGAAGTTACTGCATGGATATTTGCAAGTATGAAGAATCTCAAGCAACACTGCCTCAAATCCATATCACGCTGAGTTTCGGTGTGGATTTTAATATCAACAGAAAAAGTTGGGATAATTCTAAGCATACGTGATCAAGATTGAAGCCACACCAGATGTATGGATTTATCTTTAATTAGCAGAGAGAAGTTTCAAAACCACCACTTCGCAGCAATAACTAACTCCCAGCATCCATCAGCATTTTTCTGGCATCCTCAACAATTTCAGATTTTGGGGTTCAGCAAGATGGATAGATTGTTACTGCCCCTCACAGTGTGTGAACAACTTTGTGGCAAGTTGCGTAAGATCCAGTATTGAAGTTGATTGATCTTTTGACTGTGAAATATGCAATTTGTGGAAGAATCCTCCACTGCAGGACAGTTTGTGCTATTTGTTGCAATTTCCACCTGCCAGAAGGAGTGCTTAGGACCATGCTAGTCCCAGTTACCCTCTGGCTTGAGTTTACTCAGATCCACTTAGATTTTCTGCCAACTCCTCTCACCACCACTGTTCCCATTATTGCAGCAAGGATTATAAAGTTGTTTACTAGCAGAAATTATTGACCTAGCCTCCATGAAACATTGTTTCAGTTCTCCCATAGCAGTTCCCCCTCCTTCCCTCCACAGTTAAAGGGGACAAAGGGAAAAAAACAGCCTTATTTCAAGGACAGCTTTGAAAAGGTGACAGTGAACAATATTCAGAAGAAGAAGTTACAAGCTCTAATTTACTGTTAACACAAGGGACGAATCCTATCCTTTGTTGCTGAAAAAGCTATATCAAACAATGTTGAATTGTATTGCTAATGTTTTAATTTCTATGTGCCTGTGCTAAGCACCAATCCTTTCAAGGTCTCATAACTGAACCAACAGACTGTCAATCAATCAAGCACTCAATGTAAGGGGCTTTCAAATAAAGGTCACTGTAAATAAACACTCTTATTCAGACTGCTCCCTTCAGAGAGATATCTATACTTTGTGTCTGGACAAAAAGCAGCTCTACCAATTTAGGCATTAAACCCCCTGAAACCTCCCATCAGTGGTGAGAACAGCGCTCAAAGCAATATTTGTAATTTTCTCCACTATTAGACCGAGCATTGTCAGTTCCCAACAGATTAACACAAATACAGAAGTACACCTGGACCCAGTATTCATCCATTCCTGAGTCTCAATCAGCAGTTCTGCCATTTTGAACAGCAAGATCCCCGATTCTTAGGCACACTCTATACAAACACACTTCTTAAATACTCATGTTATTGAAAACGGCCATGAATTTCTCTTGATCCATGCAACTCCCCCAGCGTGAACGGGACTCGCACGTTTCTGTTGAGGCCAGTATACAACTTTTTCCTGAAGTCCCAAGCCCAAAGCAGCTGTGAGTTATCCTTCGTCACAAATTCTCTTCCTTCCACTCCACCCAAGCCCCCTGGTGGCTGGAACTGAAGCTAAACAAGTGATGCTCTACATATATGGCTAAGTCATTAGATCATAAAAAGACAATATAGAAAACGTATATTCTAACCTGAAGAACAATGGGGTCTATGCAGGTGAATTTTGTTTCTTCTCGGTAGAGGTACTCAATGGAACACTTCAGCAGAAGAATTTTGGGATTTTTTATATAGGTGTTCATCTAGAGAAAGGCAGGGTAGTTAAAACAAAGGGAACAGTCATTTAGGTGAGAGTAGAACCAAGACTCCCTCCATGAGGAAGTTTTTATGAAGCTCCCTCATACAGTTACCCAAAGGTAACATAGCTGCAAAGATGAAGTTCTGCAGCATATCATTCAGATGATCTTTGCAAAGATTTACCACTAAACCATGCCGATTGGGTAATGGCTCCAATCAAATAAACTTTATACTGTACCAATCTCATATCAGAGAAAGCAAAATACAGTTTAATCTGTCCTGCAGAACAATTATTGCTCTGTAAAGAGAATGTCAACAAACGAGTTCCTGGTACAAACCCCTTTCTTGCACAACAAATGGAATTTTAATGATCCAAGACTTCCGAAGCCACCAGAGCACACTAGGTCAATCAGATTCTCTCCACCCTGATCAATGGCTTTATTTTACAGACTCATTTACTACATGCTATAAAAAAAAAAGGTGCACTCATAAAAGGATCTTTTCCCAGTAAATCTTACAGAGCTTAAACGTTTCTAGAAAATGTTATATTCTACAGCTTTGAGGAAAGTTTAGTCCATGCTCTCAAAACTCAGACTCCCTGGACTACAAAGGAACCCCTTTGAATGGAAATGCAATATACATGCGCACACAAAAAAAAAAAAATCTGCAAATCTACTGTTCAACAGCCTTGAGCAAAGCCCACTCCACAAACCCCTTAGGAGAAAGGTTTTGTAGATCAAAGATGATGTTGTAGTATGTTTACTATAAGTGTGCACCACCAAGGAGGAGAAGTTTCTCTTTTTAAATACAATACCCAGTGCAATGCTAAAAAGAATGCAAGCTATTTTATTTACGACACCTTCATTACCTTTTTGTGTGCAACGTTCTTGGTGCAAACAAAGCCATTCACCATCACAGAGTCAAATTTCTTTCCACCTGGGATCTAACAAGATAGCAAGAATTAAAGGCTTTCTGGTTTAACATGTTCACTTAATCTCTCTTTAAATTCATTGAACCGCATACTATGTAAATTACTTAGTGAAAAAAATTGTATTGTACACCATGCATAGGTTTTTCTAAAACCTCAATTTGCTCATTTCTATTTTTTGTGCTGTTACAGATACAGTAGAACCTCGGAGTTAAGAATGCCAGCATTACGAACCAATCAGTCAACCACACGCCTCATTTGGACCCAGAAGTATGCAATCAGGCAGCAGCAGAGACCCAAAAAACCCAAAAACAAACGCAAATATAGTATAGTACTGTGTTAAACAAACTACTATAAAACTAAAGGGAAAGTAGAATTTTTTTCTTCTGCATAGTAAAGTTTCAAAGCTGTATTAAGTCAATGTTCAGCTGTAAACTTTTAAAACCACCACCACCACATTTTGTTCAGAGATATGAACAACCTCTGTTACCGAGGTGTTCATAACTCTGAGGTTCCACTGTAATACAGCTCCCACTATTCCAGGTCAAGACCTCTTTAATAGCATACTTTCAGCGGAGATAACAAAAATAGAGCCTGGAAATGGCAGCTCTACGTATCTTAGAGCATTTAGAAGAAGTCTGCCAAGTGGTCAGAGCCCCAAAAAACACAGTGAAAGGTAGGCATAACAATGGATGCCACACAGGCTCTCTGAATTAAATTTAGGTTGCCTAGAGGCATATTTCAGAGATCACATTATTGTAGAAATCCCTTTCTAGGTCATCTACAGCACAGCATTAGGTTCTGAAGAGCTGCTCGTCTACTGAAACTCAACCTGAGTGCTAGGAGAGGGGGTAGCAACAAATATGGTTGGGAATAGATTTCATGGGGCTGTCTGCAAAAAGGAGTAGAAGACTCACCTGTAATCTTACGTGGCTGCCTGAAACAGAGTATGGCCTAATGAGAGTAATTTCTGTAAGGAGGAACAGGCTTGTGCCTGGTATCTTTATTCACAGCAGCTTCGTGGTCAGGTCCCAGTCTGCTGATGGCCTTTCTGATCCGTGATCACGGCCCTATATTTGTTACAACTACTGTAGTCATCGGTGCATCTTGCGTAACTCCAAGAGGATTAAGCTACCTCATGGAGGCCAGTTGCTGGGCTTTGTGTGGAAGGGTTAACTCTTGCGTAATAGACAGTTTCAGGAAAGAGTTGGCCTCCAGTACACTACACAGCAGGCTGCCAAGTGCCAAACATCTCTCGTTAGACATGCAAGGTTTAAAAAAAAGCCAAAAGGCAGGAAGACAGTGAGCTGTTACTCTTACTTCATCCCACGCCATCCTCTGCAGCCTGAAAGGAAGAGATTGACTCAAGTGCCTTTAAGTGCTTTGCAACACAGGAGGCAAGAGTCACGTACATGTCCTTCCCCAAAATAGCAACTGTCTTCCCTGAAACATGAGACATCTTTCAGAGGAGCAGCCGTGTTAGTCGGTATTCGCAAAAAGAAAAGGAGTACTCATGGTACCTTAGAGACTAACCAATTTATTTGAGCATAAGCTTCATCGGATGCATCCGATGAAGTGAGCTGTAGCTCATGAAAGCTTATGCTCAAATAAATTCGTTAGTCTCTAAGGTACCACGAGTACTCCTTTTCTTTTTGCATAAGACATCTGTTACTCACGCTACTGGATTTGTAGTTTTCAATCCAGACACCTGCCCTGTCAAGAGCCACATCATCTTTATTTCACACAAATTTCCTGTCATCATTCTCCCACTCCCAGAACTCACTTTTTTTATGTGGACAAACTGGCGGATATCCATATCATCGTCTCTGTTCTTGATATCAGGTCGGACAGTCTGAACTACCTGGCAGACCACAGGCACAATGATATCCCTCCAGGATAAGGACAATGACTCATTGTTGAGTAGCTGCTGAAGCAGTGCCATCATATGGTTATGATTAGCTGAGCTGCAGAGGAATCAGAGTGATTAAGGGAGAGGAGGGGACCACACATTGCTCCATCTGAAGCAGAGTGACCTAGAGGATTTTTACTTTATAGTGTTTAAAATGCAATCAGCAATTTGAGGAAACATCAGTCAGGAGTGTTCCAGGTCACCATCTTGTTTATTTTTTCTGCTCTATAGTAAGAGGCAACAGGTAGCACAGAGAAACAAAAAATATCTTGATTTTTCCCTACTGGGACAGAATTTCTTAAATACAAATAAATCAAAGAAGTGCACTAAGTATCTAGATCAAGTCCCCCTTGAAGAGAGAAAGTTCAGCTTTTGTTTGACAGCGAGTTATTAATTGTATTGCTCTAGCAGCAAAATGCTCTTTGCTGCAACTCAGTTTCACAACACACTGTACATGGCTGGTCAATAAGCAACATCTCTTGGATGCTGTGTGGCAATTTTGCATACTATCAATATAGTTCAGACAGGCAGCTCCATTTCAAGATTATTTTTATGTGCTTACATCATGCTATTTAAGGCATGCCAAATATTTTTGGTGGAGTAGGCCCAGAGTATCATGCCATGCAGCATATATTAACAGTGTCATGTGTAGGTCATATTCGGAGGAATTTTGCTTTACATGCAAGGACCTAAGAGTTCCAATATGGATGGTTAACCATCTGTAATTTTAACAGCAACTGGGCCACTTTTGCCTTTGACTTTTGCAATGGACACAGACATGAAAATGACTGGCATGTTTGTAACATTTAATGACATTAACTCAGACACCCGAGCGCAAACAATTGTTTCAAACCTGTGGAATCACCACATCATGGCTACAGCCAACTGCCAAACTCTCAGAAGAAAGTGTCCCTTACCACACATCCCAGAGAGTAAAATAATGACAACGGCAGACATGTAGGCTGCATGTATGAAAATGATATCTCAAAACATGTCTGCACTACCAGCTAATTCAGCACTGCTGTGATTGATGCAGCCATGTTGATTTAGCGGGTCTGGTGAAGATACACTAAGCCAGTGGGACAGAACTCTCCTTTCGATGTCTGTACTCCACCTGCCCAAGAGGCGGAAGCTATGTTGATGGGAGAGCGTCTCCCGTCAACACACGGCAGTGTCTGCATCATGCTAAGTTGACCTAAGTTACACTGACTTCAGTTACGTAACTGAAGTAGCATAACTTAGATCTACGCTAATGCTGCAAGTTGACCAGCCCTCACTAAGCTGTTAAAGGACACTTCTATAGTGCCAGACATTTATGTGGCATTTCACCCAATAACACACTTATTCTGTCTCAGGCTATTGATGATTTAAGAGAGCCAAGACAGGGGACAACAGGACAAAGAAAGGGAGGGTGAGAAGAAATTGGAGAAACTGCGAAAGAGAAAGTCCCAGAACAACTTTTTTTGGAAGGGGAGAATTTTTACCAACCATGGATTCCTTTCTTGCTTCTCTAGCATATTGATCTTATTACAGAAAGGATTTGAATTAGAGGTAACATTTTCAAAAAAATGTTTAAGGAGTCTAAGTCCCATGACTGGCACATGACCCCCATGTGAAAGTGACAAAGCTTTTGAAAATTTTATCCTAGACATCCACATCAATTCCCTTTTATGCTCAACTTACAGAAGCCTCTCCATAGCCTGTTTCTCCCCATTCTCTTCCCTCAGCAGATCCAGATTGCTGTGGTGCCAGCCTAAAGGTGTGAAAAACAGCTCTTTGGATTTCTCCTCCACCCTCCGATTGAACAGCGACTCTAAAAAAGGACAGCAAGAAAAGCTTGTTTATACGAAGTCAAGAGCTGAATGCTTACACTTTCTCCTTTTAAAAAGCTGAAAGAAGAGACTTCAACAAGACTAGTTCAGGCCTTCGATGCGAGAGGCTCTTGAAATGTTAAAGTGATGCTGGAAACAAAACAGTGGTAGTCACTGACAGTAATTTAGGTATTCACAGTGTCATCAACTATAGCAGAGTAAGCATGCTATTCCACACTTCAGGCTACACAGCCTCATGCCAGATAATTTGCTTTTCTTCTCTCGAGCCTGCTCATGAGCAGTTCAATTTTAAGACAGCAAATTAACTACGTATGGCTACCTATATCCTCGTGTTGCTTAAAATAGGTAGTAACTGAATCCCCATATACTTAAGACCTTTTAAAATTAGAAAAGTCTAATCTTGTATGATTTCACTGGCAAAAAGCTATTGTTTTGGAAGCCTTATATCCAAAAGTAGCACTAAAAAACATCTAGTTATTCCACTCAAGTAGTGGAGTTAGCAAAAAGGTCATGTACATAAGAGCACATTCAACTTATTTTAAATTTATATTAGAAACATAAAACAAACATTATCCACAATCAAGCCCAATGGAAATGCATCTCCTGACTAATGCAGACTCTTAGAAATTAAGTAGGCAATTGCACATTACGAGTACAAGATTTTAAGACAGTGGCGATTTAACCCACTAAAGCTAGGGCCAATCACTTGAGATAAAATCCTACTGAATAGGATTGTTGCTCATAATATTATATCTTGCTTTTCCAACATAACTGAGTGAACTCTTAGAGCAGTCCAATCTTTGTCAACAGAAATCACAATAAGTTCTGTTTAGTCTCTGAACTAACACTACTCAAGTCTCGCAGTTTTGCTAGCAGTCTAGTCAGAGGGCCAGATTCACCAGGGTTATTCCAGTTTTATAGAAGTAAGACTCCATTGAACTGGAGTAACAAAGGACAGTCAGGGCCAGAGTCAGATCTGTACGTAATAAAAATATTGGCCATATGAGGCACAATCTACTAGGTTGGTTACCTTTTATAAGACCAAAAATACTATCATATGCACCAAAATAGCTTGTTAAGAGCCATGGTTTTTAAAGATCTCCTTAAAATACATGAAGGGAACAGCTGACAATTCGGCTTGAGCTTGCTGCCTGGTCAGTCTGTTTTGCTTTTGCCTTTCCCTTTGTGTGGATTCTTATTTTTCCCCTTCAAACAGTACAGTTTGAAAGTAGTAGTAATTCTTAGGAGTAGTTTAGTTTTGTTTTATAAAATCTGTCCTATTATGTCAAAATAGTTTTTATTTCTTCAGGTTGTAACTAATAGTTACCCTTTAAACGTTCACATTTTATGAGTTTCACCCAAAATGAAATGCTAAAAATCTTAACTTGTCCGTTAAAATTAATGATTACATTTGATTGCCCTCTCACCCCCCAGCACTACTCTATCAAAGAGCAATACTAGAAGCTTCACTATCATCATTATGCTGACTATACAATTCAAATTTAATTTGTGCCACTAGTGCAGAGTTCTGCACTAAAATTTAAATCTTTGCAGTCTAGGCTGCAAGGGGAATGGTCATCTTTTGGACAACGCAGTACAGTTACAGGCCATCATCATCATTTTTTAAGTAATCTGCATAGGACCCCACCACCCAGACTATGAGTAAGAACAATGCTTGTGAAAAAATAAAAAGGCATTTTCCACTTTTAGATGCTTTGCACCTAACACTGAATATTTGTCAATAAATTGCATGCCTTCACATCCAGAAATATGTAGTCTGCTTCCTAATCTAAAAGGGTCTCAAACTTACAACTGTGTCCAATAGGACTTGCCTTTCAACAGAAGCAACAAGAGAGCCAACATGATTTAAGAGAAGTTGCGCTACAGTGACCTCAGAGATTAGTTTTGAGATATTGGTGGCACAGAGATGTTAGGCGCACACACAAATGTACAAGGAAATAAGCGGGTAGAGTTAAACACCTGATGGAGCCCAGAAAAAAGAAAAAAAAAAAAAGAACTAATCTCTTATATGCAGGAACGTTTGCGGATGGTGAAGTGCTAAACACAGCCAGTTACTGTGTAATGAAGGAAACTTCTTTTCAAGGGCATTTAAAAAACAAAGAATCTGACAAGCCCGAGTTCAATCTGAAAGTGAACCAAGTAAGTGGAGAAAGTTACCTAAGTTTCTCGCTATGTGCCTTTAAAATTACTTTAACAAGCCAATGTTTAGCCCAGCTCTAATATCAATAGAAGCTTTCATATCTACATTACACATTCACTGGAAAAAAGCATTTCCATTCATCTTACCCTTGATGAAAGCGTCACTTATTGAGACCATCTGTTGCCCTCCGTTGTCAGGATTCAAGTACTCTGGAAAGGATAGAGCAGATGGAGATGGGAGGAGACACAGAAAAATGACAGGTTATGTTGGCATGCCAGTATAATTATATTATGTACACACCCACACCACAAGAGAAAATATTACTCATTTAAAGCATTTAGTCATTGCTGTAGCAACAACCTGACGAGTGGTTAAGACAAGAATATCCTCTCATACTTGTTCTGTCAAGGCTCCAAAATGACGGCACAATACTGCTTAAAACTGTTCAGCAACCAACCTAACATGAGAGTATACAAAATAAAGCATTGGGGGAAAAAACCATCTGCCTTTCCAAGTTCCATGTGGCTAGTTCCCCCCTACATCTACATCTGGAACCTATTAAGTCTTCACCTGAGAGAGACTGTGGAGGTACCCAAACACAATGAGGAAGCAGGTCTCCTTTAAATTTTTAAGGCACATTAAAACCAAAGGTGTTCCCCCACCCATGCATAACCTTAACTTGGTTCTCAGATTCAACTAACAGACCCTTTATGAACAACGAGCTCTCTCATAGGAGGGAAAAATAGCCATCTGGTTCCAGGACTCTTCTCAATCAAAGAAGCAGACATGCAATGTGCCCTCCTTAAGAGCTAGAGGGGGGAAAAATTATGCTATACTTAAAATGGATTATGGTCAAAATGGAGAGAAGAAAAGGGGTCAGTCAAAAATGTGCGCACAGCTTCTGCCCTGTGGCAGGGTAGTGGGGCTAGAGGTTTCTGCCACAGATGACTGGTGCCTGCTGAGAGTGGAGGAGCACAGTTTAAAGGTTCAGCTCCCCCCACTCCCATAGCTAGAGTCATGACCCCCCCAGCACACTCCCCTCTTACCCTCAGCAACCCCTGCATAGCCACAGCTCACTAGCTCCAGCAGCTGCCGTGCAGGGAGGGGGCCCGGCGGCATGTGACTAAGCGAGGCCAGCAAATCCTGGCAAAAATCCAGGGGGGGTGGGGGGGTGTGGAAGGGGCACGGCATGTGACCCCATGTGCCTCCCCCCACACGTCACCTCTGGCAGCAGGGCAGGGGTATCCGCAGGGCTGCAGGTGTGCACCAGCTCTCAAACATCTGAAGATTGTCATATGCGGCTCTGAGGGTCAGTAAGTTTGGTCACCCCAGTGTATAATATATGCATGCATGTTATGTAATACAAGATAAGTAATTACAGAATATGGTATCTATCAACTTGTTTGCCAAAGAGTTTTCCAGGATCTATCTATCAAAACAGTTATTACCATCACATGACAAGTTAGTAACTATATCCAGCTTTCACAAAACCAAAACAAAAAACCAACAATGCTGTTTAGAGGGAAAAAGTAGTCTCCAAAGTCCCACATAAGCACCCCCAACATGACCACCACCCTGCCCTCCCCCCCAAAAAAATCCTAACACTTCAAGACGAAGTCTCTTGCTCTGGGATGACTGATGAGTGCACACTTCCAAAGCAGAGAAATACAGAACTAAATAAGACAACTGATAAAGTAGCAGAAATATCAGAACTATGCCCTCACGAATTACAACACAAGTAAAACATTAAAGAGGGACACAATCAACATAAGTTGCATTTCTGCCTGGTAGTTTCATATCTGCTAGTGTTGCAGATACCACCTTCCTCCCGCCGTTAGGATTATTACTCTAGACCAGTGGTTTTCAACCTGTGGTCCCGGACTACATCTAAGATTTCCGGAGGGGTCCGCACTTCCATTTGAAATTTTTTAGCGGTCCACAAATGAAAAAAAAAAAAAAAGCTTGAAAACCATGGCGCTAGACTGTAGACAGAGAAACACAATCTCTTCATTTTATTTCATGCATTTGACAGCTCTGTGCATGGAGTCCTTTCTGTTTTGCAAATGGTTAATTACATGTCCTGGGAATTCAAGCACATGCTTTCAGTTCATGTCTGGGAAGAGGACTCTTTCCAGCGACAGTGAAACTAGGCAGCATAGAGAAGAAGGAGCAGGAAAGAGGAGTGGGCATATGCAAGCATGGTCCCTTAAAAAAATTAAATAAATAAATCAGCAGGGACGAATCCCAATCCAAGTTTGGATATGTTGTCCAATAGGTGCTCTAAACTGAAGCTTCATACACAATGGATGAAGAGTCCAAGATGGCAGCATCCCCTTCAACTTAGTTACTAATACGCTAATATTTTGTCCAAGTAGAGGCTGAAAGGAGAGTGTCTTTAATAAGCTATGCACAACTACTTATACTAAAGGCTAGCTGACTACTTTGCAGTCTGCCCCATTTAGGGGATAGCATACAGCTACCCTACACCAGAAGCATACTAGAGACTAATCTGTGATATAATTCCTCCCCAAACACCACTTACACTAGAGTAAGAAGTAAGTTATTTAACCTCTTTTCACAGAGCAGCTCACTTACCCTATATACCCTGGATAGCAAGTAGAGGGCAGAACCAGGACTCCTTCCCTTGCAGTAGTTTCCCCCGCCCCCACAGCTGGAGCCTCAATGTGAGAATCTTACTCCACTATGCACTGTAGGGGCTATGACAATCTAGCCCTAAGTGAGGGTTACTTATTAGGAATATCTGAAATACATATGTTGTAAATCAAAATGTATCAAGATTTTATTGCCATGCGTTTGGGATGACCACATTATTCGTAAGTGGCAAAGCCACAAGTTTGTTACTACAGATGAACCCAACATGCAGCAATAAATGTTTTGTCACATGCTACCCCCATCCCCCGCATGATATGGTATATTTTGTTTAAGCCCCGTTTCAGGAAGTTGTTTTAATTTTTGTATCCTTGTCTAACAAGCTAGATAGCTTTAGCACCCATACAGAGGCCTCCTGGTGACAATAAAGTCAGAGCCAAGTATACTGTTTTGTTTGAGAGGCTGTCTCTAGAAAGTTAACCAAAATTATTTTTTTAAATAAGTCCACGTGTGTCACTTTGTGAGGCCTGACATTCAAGAGCAGGGCTGGAAGAGAGTGCTGTGTACCACTGAAGGTGGGACTCAAGAGTTCCAGCTCTCCCCCATGGAAGCTAATAGGTGGAGTTTCCAGCAACGGCAGTTCATGAGATATTTTACTTCAAGATATTCTGTCCTGAGGTCACAGCCTATCATTAGTCAGTACCGCACCAGTAACTGTTTTGTATCCCTGCTTATACCCATGACATGTTTTGTTTTGGGGAGCAAGGAGCATGTGTGCTAAATCATAGCTTGAAGGATTAGATTTTTATTGATAAGTATCGGTAAATGTCAATTTCACCACACACAAAACATTTTCCATTACAATCATTAAAATTTACAGATAGCAAAGTAATCGAAATGCCACTCGAGAACTTAAGACTCAAAATGTAGTGATCTAAACTTTTGAATCAGGCTAGTTACAAATGGACTAGCAAACGAATAGTAAAAGCAAGTATGATTCTCTTTAAAGATATTTACATTGTATATTTTGACAATTTGTGTTTTAATAGTTTATAAAGCTTTAACTTCCTGAATCTCAAGGTCTGTCATTAAATAATTGTCTGAATGTCCCACACCTGAAAAAAATTAAAAATAAGCATCTGTCAAAGTTATAAAAAAATAAAAATCAAATTCTACCAAGCTTATTTATAGACCAGAGCCGAGATCTAAAAGTACCTTGGAAGTTTGAAATAGATGAAATTAGTCTGTTCACAGATGCAGGCTATAAAACAATGCAATTTATTCCATAGATTCTATATAGCTTTTAAATAGGGCTTCATGGGTAGAAATAGGATATACAGGAAACTATTCAACAACTTCAATAATTCGCACTGTCGAAAAGGGATGGAAAGAGTTAAAACCAATCACAATAGCCATGACCATTAGGAAGGATGAAGTGAGATCAGAAGGAGAGACAAAGCTTTTCTTCATTGCTACTGTAATCACTATAGATCACTAATAGCAATTTAAAATGTCTTAAAATCATCCTGCATTAGCAAAATGAATATATGCCATTTTCCCTTGGTGGTGACATGCCCCCAAATAGGCAAGCCTGGGCTTGCCCTCACTCACCATAGGCGGACCTAGACAGCTTGGGACATTAGACTGGGTGAATAGTTCTACAAAAGCTTTGGTTAAAAACAGAAAAAAAAGCCACAAGACACCTTATTATGGACTGCCAACCCTCCTTTCCCCTGTTTCACTACAATTTTATCCCCTTTATGTCTCACTACACAAAGGTGAAAACTGCTCTGTATTGAAGAGACTCTGAAGATAGAATTGTCAAAAATTGACATAGCATCTACAAGGTGAAGTCTCGAAAAAACCCAGTTTAAACAATGAAAAAAGTTTAGCTGTTTTAACACTAATTCACTTTTAACCACTGAGCGGGTTTTCACTGAATGAAACACAAGAGGAGAACATGATGATCAAGTTCATTTTTTATCAGTTTCATTTTCTGGCTTACAAATTAACAACCTTCTGCAGCATTTGGGCTGCACACCCAAGAAGTGAATGAAATTTGACTCCAAGGTTATCGTACTGGAATTTAGTTTCCTGGAAGTGTCTGATATTATTGAGTCTTTAATGTCCTTACATAGACAAGTCCCTATACTGGGCTCAGCAACAATCAAAAAGCAGCATTAGAATACCAAAAAGTTTCTAGTACATTATAGACTATTGCTCTACAGCTGTCCCCTGTATGCACCCTGCAATTTCCACCAGTCATAAGTAACTTTATACTGCAGAATTGATTACATACTTCTTAGAACAGATGCTTTGTTCCTACTTTACCTCCCCTTTCCCCATGATTGTGACTTATAGATTGTGTGACAAACCCATCAAATTACTTCCTGCTGTAGGAGGGTGTGTCACCACCAGTTCTGCAAGTTCTTTCACGGTAAGGAATAAACTCACTACCATGTAAGATAACAGAAGATCCTGACTAAAACAAAGCCAGAGACTAATTCCCATCATTTTCATAGGGCAATGTCCCAACAGACTGCATCCAGCATCAATTAGCAGCTAAAGGTTCATCTATGTGGGGATACTTTGGAAAATTAATCCAAATTAGTTCATTAATTTCTTAGGGAGATTATTTTGGCAGAACAGCCACCAAGCAATATTTACTTACAAGTGACAGTACACGCATCTGACCTCTGCTGTTTTAGCAATTTCCTTTTGCCATCATTCATGTTTTAGGAGATCATCCATTTGATTTCCCTGAAAATACAGTACAGTTTCCCCATGTCCTGACCAGCCTAGTTTTAGAAGCCTGGAACAATAGGGCCATCACTCCGTTCTCCAGTCCCTTTTGAGATTTTCACAGACTCACGTAGAATGTCAGGAAGGGTTTCTTGTCTAAAACATCTAAGCGTTTCCCTTTCCACTTTATCCCACAGCCTCCCCTAGAGGTTCTCACACTACAGGACAGGAACTATAAGTATGTAGAGTCACACAATTACTGGCTTCGAATGTTGTAGAACATCTACCCCTAGTTAAACAATGCTGTACACAGAGACCCAGATTCTGATCAACCTCATGACAATTCCATCATCTTAGCGATATTACTCTCAATTTTACATTGCTATAAAATTGCCTGGATATAAATTTACTTATGCCAGAAATTAATGGAAAATTCCAGATTTGGTTACACGAGTTCCAGACACAGAGGAGCTCCATTAAATTCCCCTTACAAAATGCTTGCCTTAACAGCCCAAAACTACACTGATTTCTTTTGTAGTGCCTGTAACCAGGCTTACCATCCTTTAAGACAAACTGCAGCCCACTTCCTTGCACTTGGGAGCGGACTCTCAGGTATAAATGAGACTCAACCATAGCCATACAGACTTGCATAGCCATATAGACTTACAATGGCAAGTTTAGTTCAGATTTACTGAATTCTAGGTTTCTCCCTCTTAATAAAAGGATCTTTTGAATTATTCCCCCTCTCTCACCAGGTATATTAACTTCCACTTTGAGTCTCATTTTGTTGTTTCCACCTTTTCTAATTCCGCAAGTGTCCCAGCTCCTCCCAGTTTAGATTCCCTCTACAGATTTCATTCCAGCGGTAATGCTAACTCTGCCCACAACCCATTGCAGATTTCTATCAACCCACTTATTTCTGTCCTTGGAAAGCAGATAAACAGCTGAATTTGGCAAGTGATGTCTTTAATAATTCTAGGGTTCAGAGTAGCAGCCGTATTAGTCTGTATTTGCAAAAAGAAAAGGAGGACTTGTGGCACCTTAGAGACCATGCTCAAATTAAGGTGCCACAACACATTTATTTGAGCATAGTCTCTAAGGTGCCACAAGTACTCCTTTTCTTTTTAATAATTCTGTAATCCTGAATGTGAGGGGGAGCCCAAGAACATGCCTGGCTTATATTCTTTGGTCAAACTTCACAACTCTATTGAAGAGTAACATGCTGAGGCTACAACACAGCAGAATCTACTTCCATAATAAAGTTCTCTCAGATTGGCAGAGCCCCTGACATTTTTTTTTTTTTTGTCTTCCTCTGCAGCATGGGGCATGGGTCCCTTGCAGGTTTAAATTAGTGTAAATGTGGATTCTCTGTAACTTGAAGTCTTTAAACCATGATTTGAGGACTTCAGTAACTCAGGCCCATAACCTCTGGCTATTATAGGAGCGGGTCTGTGAGGTTCTGTGACCTACAATGTGCAAGAGGTCAGACGAGATGACATGAAGGTCCCTTCTGACCTTAAAGTCTAGGAGTTAACACAAAAATTTAGGCCTATGCAAAAATAAAATACATAAATAATAAATAAATCCCACAGACCACCTAGGATCACATTTTCCTATCAGTTTATAATGGGTAGATAATGACAAATATGATATTCATCAATGTGACAGGAACATAAACATACAGCTTCCAGAGAATTGAAGCCCACACCCTTCTGAAAGGAAGGAGAACAAGGAAAGAAAAGATTAGAAACATCTGCATCAGCAATTTCCAAGATCTCAGAGCTCTGTAGTGGGAACACACTATCCTTTTAGGTTTATTCCTGACTGCCCCAGCTACTGTACACTGTGAATTAGATGGCTTATCTTTGATTCCAGTTGTGTGTGCTTGCTCTCAAATATCTAGTTTTATATACTGAATAAGGTACAGTGGACAAGATTTTCAAGCTTAAATGCCTTAAATTAGGAACCCACATAGTAAGCTGTGCCCATAATGGTCAGTGAAGTCAATGGATGCTGCTGATAATCTTTTGAGGGGAAGAAGGTGGGGTCATAACATCAGACAAAACTAGGCTATTATCGAATATAAAGTCACTCCGCTTTTGAAAGTACCTTCAGCACTTTCATTTTTACAATACACCTATTTTCCTTTCCTTCTGGACAGACTTTAGCAGGTACCAGCAGTGCCTGCTGTAGATACTTGAATTTAAGGTTAGCCCACTGCCAAAGGGGCTTTTTCATTTTTTGGTTGCTAACAGTTGCTGCATCAAACTCATTTTAGGCTGAAGCTTCCAGTATTCTCTGTCCAACCCAAAATTTTTCAGAGCAATGAACAAGTGAAAAAAAATAAGCTTTTCTGTCCTAATTCACCCCAACAGAAACTTTTCCATTGTATTTACATTGACAACTGAGGGATGCACTCACTAGGAGCATCCCAATTAAAGATCCTCTACTCTGCTAGTGAGCCTTACAAGAACTGTGGACAGATTCCATAATCAAAGACTTTTAAATGCCCATTTGAAGAAACCAAGGACAGGAATCTGCAAAGCTGTTGAAGCTGCAGGTAAGGGAAAGGAGAACAGAAATAAAGAGCCACCCCAGCATTTAAAGGAGCCACCACAATTATTTGCAAACAAAAACAGTGGGCCAGACTTTGTTTCAGTCAGCCATAGTGTGGTTCACAGTATACTAAAATAGAATGGGAGAATAGGTGATATTTTCAAATAGGTTTCACTTGCCTTTTCACATTCCAATTTAGCATTCATTTATAGAAGAGATTTAAGAGTTACTCAGCAGTTTGACTATTAGATTTGTTAATCAATGCATTTTATAAAAGGATAATTGGACCAACAGTGGTAAACTGATGAAAAGAGATGGAGGGATTAAGTTTTCTCCATCACTAATGGTGATTAAAAAAAGTGGCAGTCTGATTTTTTTTTTTTTAAATAATCACACCTTAAATTGGCCAGAACTTACGATGTTGTCCCAGTTAGCTGAACAAGACAATATGTCTGGAACTGCCATGCTGTGAAAGGAGAGAGGAGGTAGCATGGTATCCTCCAACTGCAAAGAGAATAGCCACACAAGAAGTTGCACGCTCTTCAGAGAAGGTGGCATAGTTGGCTTATTCTGAGCACCCCTACAAAGGTAATCGTGTCAAGAGGACGTATGCAGGTGGGCTAACTAAAAAGATCTCATATATACACCCATCAACAAGACAACTACAGGTAGTAGTGGGTAAACTCATCAGTGTCAGGGCACCGCTCTCCATCATGTGCAACTCCAGCTGGTGACTACCTCGTACCTTTTTGGTCGGCAGGGTGAGGGGGCACATGTGGGTACTTGGAGTGCTTCTTGATATGGAAGTTCACGTTGTCCAGCTCCACGTTCAGGTTGATGGAAGCGGCTGAGTCACTGTCCATTGTGGACTGGAAGCTGCTGACTGATGTACGCTTGCTAGGGCTGGCGGAGTCTTTTAATGTTGGGTAAGGGGGAAGATACAGGGAGGAAAGGGGTTCAAATGGGTATCATGAGGGTATTGGAGAGGAGAAAAATTGTCTTTAATACATAAAGCCCAGTGTGCAATACTAAAAGGGATACAGTATTTTCAGTCTTAAATCTGTACACTTCAAGATAAGATTAAGTGTTGGAAGGAAGTTCTATAGATTTATTTTAAAACCCAAGTGAACATTAGGACAGTGTCTGTCTTGACACCCCGAACTAGTCCGTCTGTGCTACTGTAATCCAGAGAGTTTATACTAATTTGGAAACATCAAGTTTTGCAAACTGATTAGAAAATACTGTATCCACCACAAGAAACAGGAGAACTAGTGAGGTTTTAGTTTACTTGGAACCTTACAGCTACTACCAGCAAAGTAGGACTTTCACTTCCATTACACATACACACACAAAAAGAGAGAGAGTTATGCTAATTTGTCATGCGAAGATGGAAGAGAGTCAATTGAAACTCACTGGCCAAGTTATCCTCCCCTTCGTCAGGGATTTGTTCTGTGTCACTGTCATCAAACTTGATGTCTTTGAACCAGGATGGCTCAGAGTGCCCCTCTACGGAGTTCACCGAATCACTGTCTGGAGAGGGGGTTTCCGAGAACTCTGTGCTCTGGGAGATCAGGAAAAGAGAAAGTAAATTTAATTCTTCAGCCCTTCTGGGATGTTAAACTGCTTTAGAAAGGCACCACTATGCACTGATCAAAACAGCAACAGCTTACATTTATATTGTGTCTTGCAGCCTGAAGCACTTCACAAAAGTAAATGTATGCACACAGTGGGATAAACTTATCACGGAACCACCCACCACTTGAGGGGGGGCAGCAACTGTTTAGGACAGGAAGCGAGTACCTCTTTACTCTGCCCACATCAGTCTTTGCTTCTTCCCCCAGGCACCTCACCTCACTCTCACAAGTCAATCATGTTGGAGAGGGATAGCTCAGTCTTTTGAGCATTGGCCTGCTAAACCCAGGGTTGTGAGTTCAATCCTTGAGGGGGCCATTTAGGGACCTGGGGCAAATATTGCGGATTGGTTCTGCTTTGAGCAGGGGGTTGGACTAGATGACCTCCTGAGGTCCCTCCCAACCTTGATATTCTATGATTGAGGCAAATGAAAGACTTGCAAGTTTTCTATTCACCCCCACAACATGTTAAGAGCCTGCACAGATTTGAGAGCTAGGACTAGAGCAAAGGGGTTTGCCAAACTCTATACTTTACCCCCATAAACTGACCATGCTGATCTGGGAGAAGGACATGCACTTTTAGCCCCTTGAACAATTCTGTGACTGACCAAATCAAGTGGGGCTAACTGATTCAGTTGAAAGCCAGGTTTGGCCCTCTAAATCAAGAGAGAAACTATTGTGAAGCAAGGCCTTGGGATCTTATGGCAGGGAATCCCAGAGAGCAGACAGCAACTTCAATCTACCCCCCACCCCACCCCACCCCTAAGACAGAAATTTCCAGTCACCAAAGGAATTGCAGTTCTAGTTAGAATTTCCTCCTTTGAAACTAATACAATTGCTGCAAAAACAAATTCACTGACACCAGTTTAACTCCACTGAATTCAGTTGAGTTACTCCCAATTTATACAGAAATAGACAAGAGGAGAGTCAGATGCAACTTCCTGCTGACTTTACACACTACAGGATCAGAGATCATACAAGAGCATGACCGGTAAACCACAAGTTAATCATGAACTGCAGACTATATACGACCAACTATAACTAAAACTTTCTGTTGTTTCTTGACTGGTAGAAGTGATTGCATGAATCAAGACAAAAACTAATGGTTTTGGCAGATCTTTACACCTCAGCATATCTCAAGCAGGACAATGCCAGAGCCCAGACAGCATCTTCAGTCACTTCTCCTTTACGGGGGCCCTGACTTTCTTTCTCCACACTGCAACTCAGGCTCAGAATAAAGAGAGACCATTTATATACTAGGGTAGAGAAACCCTTTACGCAAAGTCTCCAGATACTTTACTGGCAACAATAAGTAAATTAGGGAATTCAATCTCTTCCTAAACCCATCAACTTCTTTTGATCAGTAATTAAGCAATTAATTTCCCAAAATATTGTCTAAGAGTTGGAAGGATGGTGTATTTTTTAAGTCTTTATGAAGAACTTGTCAAAGATGTCATTGTTCAAAGAGACAATGGCCCTTCCAGGAAAAGCTACATGCTGTATCACAAGTGACATCTACTCCTAGAGTGCGACAGCTGTTCTGAATACTGGCTATGCTATTCAGAAGCCACACTGGAATGTGCTTACCATTGTGACTTTAGACTTTTGTTGATGCAATCAGAGATTTTAGAACCCCTCCTCCTTTTTAACTTAACATAGGTGTGGCCACCCTTTCTCCTCACAGAGGAAGCATCAAAGCTTCCTTGCCTGACCTAGTTTCCTCTATGACGTTAACTCAATTAGTTTACATTGGTGTAATGAGATTATGAGTATTTCCACACACTCACAACACAAGACAGACCCAGCTGGCACAGGGACAGCACCAAGAGTACAGAGAACATGAGGCAAGCTAGGCCTAGTTCTCTTGAAACCTAGGAGCTAGCAGAGCATACAGAGGAAGAAAAGTGACAACAGTTCGCCAGCCACAACTGAATCGATATTCCAATGGCAGCTAGAAAAGGTTTCTGTACCTGTAGTGGTCTGTACAGAGCATATTCATCTCTAAAGATTTGATCATGGTGACTGACACAATCAAGCCAGCGTCCATCTACCAGTGCTTGTCCTATTGCGATGGCTTGAGCTCTAAGGGCAGAATAAGAGACAGGCGAGTATTAAGAGTCTGGTTATAAGTGTGTATGGTTTACAGTACAAACTTTTACCCAAAAAAAGCATAATTTAGCTCTCCTTTATTTTGCATTATTTGTTAGAGAAAAGGTACTTATTTAGAGACAATTTGGTGAGACAGTGGATTGAAAACATGACTCGAGCCAGGAATGCAAGTGTTCCCCACCTATATGTTTGGCTGTTGATTTTTGGAAGTGCTGAACACCCTCCCCCCCCACGCCCCAACTCCTTGCTGTAGGTACTCAGCACCGCTGAAGACTCAGGCCCATGCTGTGCAGGCTTGAATCATCTCGATTCCTGCCCTTCTTAACTCAGTAAGACAGGGATAATCCTTTACAAGCCCTCAGCACTGCAAGGCAAACATACAGTGCTATACGGGATGGTAAGCTGTTACATTGCAGACCCAGTTATCCCTAGATCTTGGGGCCATCCAAAGCCTACAAATAGTTAGAGGGGTCCTGAAACCCACCCCCAGGCCAGCCAGCTATAGCAGCAAGGTTGTGCTCGTGCAGCTAAGAAACACAACTGCAGTATCCACGCAGCACAGTTGATCTGATCTTTTGTTGACGGAGGTTACATTATTTAAAAGTGGAGACTGTCACTAGAGCATCTACCCAAAAGGCATGGCTTAGTTCAACAAACATTAGGAAACCTTTAAGAACGAGTTGATCAGCAATTATGAAACAGAGCACAGTGTTCCAAAAACAGAGACATTCTTAACAGTAGTCTCGTGCCAGTTTTAGTGATTACCATTCTCTCACTGTCCCCTCTGCCCATTTCAGTCTGCTACTCCCATTCTGCTCCCTCCCGGCCCCCCAGCTACCTTTCCCTTCCCACTGGGTAACTCCATTCCCTTGTGCTAGTCGTCTGCCCTAGCTTCCGACTCAACTTGCCCCCTCATTAAGTTATGTGCTGTCAGAATTATCAAATGAGCTAAAGACATTCTTTCCCTTGTTCAGAGGACGGGAGGAGGAGGAGGAGGAGATCAGAGTCTCATTTCCTCTCTCCATCCACTGATACACATGCACACTCACTTTAAAGGGGGAATATACCACTGGGGGGGGGGGGGAAATTTACACACATGCCAACCAACACAGACGATGAGTGCAATGGCAGATGGGTTTAATTTAAGCATTTTTAAATATCAGGAATACCTTGTGGTAATGTGTCCATTTCTGATGAGCCAGTTGACTAGTTCCTTTCCCACAATGCAGTTGGGATGGGTCCGCAGCCAATAGCGGTGGTCCTGAAACTCCATCCCACTATTGTGATGGCAAATTTTCTTCCACAAATCCTTTAACTGGACAGAGTCCTGTGTGAGAGAGACAGTTACGGAGGATTTTAGAAAGACTGACCTTGCAGTTAGATACAGCTACATCAGCACAAGCCTTCAAATTGGCTCCTGAGCAACAGCCTTCCAATAATAAGAGTAAAGTCGAAGCCGTTATGTATTTGCTTCTAAATAAGCAGCGTACATCAGCTGCTATTTAAGTCCTTTCTTTTACAGCAAGTGATCCTATACACTGAGAATGAGGCAGCAAAGATCAATTCAGAAAGAAGGGAAGAATTTTGCAGTAATATTTTATACATACAGTCAAACAATGCAAAAGCTCACTGTGTAAGTCAGGCAAGTACTTTCCTAGCAGTAAAGCTACCATGCTGAACTCCCTCTTCCAGCCCCCTGGAACTGGGGGCTACGTAGAAGACCAAGGAACACTGAATCTTTCTTCAGGTAAAGCAATAAATGCTCTTCTGAACATTCTGTGCTGTTGACCTGAATGCTGCACTCAAGCCTCTTTCAGAGCTCTCTTTGGTCAACTAGTTAAGGAGATCCCTTTGAGAATGATGCTTTCTATGTTGCCATTTTGTTCAAGTAACTTCTACCATCCCATTTCTATGGACGAATGCCTCTCCACCATCTCCACTTATTGCCAATTGAGAGGCCAAATCACACTACCTAATCCCTACTTCCAATCTTCTGTACCCCATTCTGAATCCTTAAGGTTCAGGCCTCCATCCATTTTGACGCAAACACTCCTTTACCTGTACTTCCACCTCCATAAAAGCAGCCACAGCTGGGCAATCAAAGCTAGTTTTCTGCACGGTAAGACACCTCCAGGACCTCACTTTCCAGTTAACATAACCAAGGGCCCAGGACATCCATGAACATGATTTCCACCCACCCCATGATTCAGGTTCTCTCCACAGATCTCTGGTGCTAGACAACTCTGAATCACAGGGTCTGATGTGTTGGTTAGTTACACTACAACTTTGAATCATGTTGTCATAAAACCGCCTGACACTAGTATGGCTGTACCCTACCTAATATTGGTCATGGCTATGTCTCTGCAGGCCAGAACAACTCTTCCCCACCAGCACACCCAGACAATGCTCTTATCCTTGTGGACAGATGTTCCAGTCATTTGAAAGGACATGCACCACAGGAAAAGATCTGCAGGTGTTGAAACAGCCCAAAGAGGAAGAGAGGAAAGAATTGGGATTGTTTCTTTAGTTGCTACTACATGATGCATAAAGTTAGCCTAAAGAAGTGTAGGGTTCACCCCCCGCCCCCCGGAAGACTATGTAAACACACAGAACCAACAGAATTATGACATTAGTTATCAAGCAAACTGATTGAGAGGGGAAGTGATTTTCATTTAGACGTCAAGTGTTTTTATTTTTATTATTAATCTCTGTTTAGGACAGTTTTTAGGGTTGTGTGTGTTTAACAAACACACACACCTTCAAACAAAGGGCTAAAAAAGCTCACAAGACATACTGATATCTCCCAGAGCAAGACTAGATTCAACATTCCTGATTTTATATATATTATATATAAACATGCACACACACACACAAATAAAAATAAAAAATAAAAAAAGCAGCCAGGACTCTACTACATGCCTCTTCATACACCATAAGCAAACCCAGTTCCTCACCCCTTTAAAAATTCAAGTAATTGAGTGATTTATCAAATCTGATCAGCATTCCTCTCGTCTAACCCTTTTGCTGAGATGACAAGTTTGCCAGGAAAGTTTGGTTTCCTTAGGATCTTCCCTATCCCCACCCCGAAAAAAAAATCCTATAATTTTAACCCAGTTTTGTGTGCACAGGTTTACTATATCTGTCCCAGAAATTTCTATCCCCCTTGGCTTCATCTTACAGGAACCTGGTCCCACTGATTGGTTGACTCCAGTTCCATGCATCCCATGCTAGCCTGTCCAGTGCACTGCATGTTTTGGGGTGGTCAGCTACAAAGCACGTCACTCCCGCCATGGCAGGAGTATATAAAATTTGATTCAGTAGAATTCAGTTATCTTAATATTGCTTTGTGTTTTAGACTGAAATCAAGTGGCAGAACACCACAACACTTTAAACTCTAGGATTTTAGCTTGCAGATTATGGAAGCGTGCATGGATTTCATTCAGAATTCCAGTGCTCCTGCACCTTGTCAAACTCCCCCTTTGCAAGCAAAGGCCATTAACTTTTTATCACAGTATAGTCAATTCAATGCACCACTTAAGAGTATCATGACCTGACAGGGACTCAGGACAGTTCCTGTATTACAAGAAGCAATTATGACATCCTAAATTATTGCATAAAAGCAACAATTCTAAAAATCAGATCTAAAGTTAAGTGAAGACACAACAGCTTTGACTATTTTGTCCCAAGCTGTATTTGTAACGTTTAAGCTGTTAGTGTCTCTGTCCCCCAGACTGAATAAGATCCTAAGCTGTCCCCCTACTCTCCCTGACACTCCTAGATCCCTTCTGCAGAGCATATCTGCTACAGCATTCTCCTTGAAAGGAAGAAATTGTCTCATTATAAAGCTTGCTTCAATGTGGAAGCTCTACAATAAAAAGGTGAGCCACCACCAAACATCAAATTCTGCCCTTACATATGCAATCCACAGGGAGACCACACTAGTACAAGATTTGACCTTATTGGTTTTGAATGGTAACAGACCTCCAGAAAGATTCAACACTAGTTATGCAGTTTGGACAGTTTTAAATGAAACATCTCCCCCCTCCCTCCATTCTAATTGATTTTATAAACGTTAAGTATGTAAACAAGGGTTTGGGATTTTGGGTTTTTTTTAGTTTTATATAGTATTTCTCACAACACACAGAACAGAATGTTTTATAACAGGATTGCTCCAGAGTGCTGTGCTACTGGTTTTGATTGCTTTTCCTGGAACAAATGCATTAGTGCTACTTCCTATGAGAAAAGTTACATTAACTCCGCAAGCAAAGCAGATAGGGAGAAGGTCAAATTTCAAAACTTCTAACATTAGCTGTGGTCTCTAACTCATTCAAATGACTAGATAACTATTTTACATTAAAACAACTATTTACAGTTAGAACTTGCTAACCCATAAGGAAAAAAACTCAAGGATCATTTTAAAATCCACACACACACGAGCCACAACCTGTACCACAAAGAAAGCATTAGAAAGACAGACACACATAACACATTGCTCTCACAATGGAAGACAACAAAAATCTAGTTTGTACCAGAAGAATTTTTCGTTCATCCTCATTGGTATCTGCTTTCAAATACGTGCGATTAGCCTGGGGACTGACGGATGTCTCGTATGCAGGCACCATGGGTGAACCAGACCGATCCAGTGACAGGTTAGTAATGCTGGCCGATCTGGAGAGAGAAAGAGAAACAATACTTATAGTCTGCAAACCCCTCATAAACAAAACTTTATCAGAACAGGCTGTGACCTTACAACATGCTTCAAGAATCTTTAAGCAATGTGCTAGCATACGCTAGCTTTCCAAAGCAGCACTTAATTTGGGAGAGGTGGGGGAATGACACTTTAAGATGGCTGCAATACAGGGAACATTAAAATGATATTGTGCTGAAAGAGATTACATGGAATCTCTATATTATAAAAGATGTTAACAGGCAAAATAGTTCATATTGAACAGCTTCACATCAGGAGAACTATTTGAGCCAAGTGGGTTTTTTTCCTCCCCATAAGGATGGGGGCCGGGGGTGGGAGGAAAAAAAAATCAACCTTGGACCCAACTGTTTCCAAACACTGGGTCAAGTCCCACACTCCAGTGAATAACGCATTCAACAGTTTCACAAAATGGTGATATATTATATAGTGACAAAAAGCAAATGTATCCTCTTCTTCAACATCCCACAGCTTTGGGACGCCTCAGAGTGACCCAGAGTATATTTTATTTTATTGTCTCTTCCCCACCCACTCACAGTAATGCATTTTGAAATGAGAGTTCTTTATGGGGACAATACCCAACTTAAGCTAGTTTAAAAAGTGATTTTAAACAGGTTCCTGGTAGGGTTTCGGTTTGTTTTATAGGAGGGGAAGAATTGTGCAACTTCTGCAATTGTCCTCTTTTAGGCGTTACAATCTTTTAGTGCATTAAGTTTTTTCAGGAATAAGCTATGAATTATAGGACAGATAGTGACATGTTAATCAAACTGACAGTGAACAAATTCAGGCTGGAAATCAGAAGGTCTCCAACCATCAGAGAAGTGAGGGTTTGGAACAGCCTCCCAATAGACGTTGTGGGGGGCAAACAAGCATAGTTTTAAGAGAGCTAGACCACTTTATAAGTGGGACTCGTAGAGCTCCTGCTGACAGTGTGGGGCAGAGGGGTCCCATCTGGTTCATGTTCGATATCCTCAAAATCTCACATTTCGGGTCACCTGCAGAGGTCATGAAGGAATTCTCTCCCTTCCCCAACCCCAGCGCAGTCTGGGGTTTCTTGGTCTCCCCCTGAAACAGCAGCGATACCACAGCTGGAGATCGTGAACTGGGTAAGGTGGGCCAGTGCTGGGAGGTGGTACTGAGCTTCCTCTCAGGTGCTTGGCTGGCTGGTTCTTGCTCACGTGCTCAGGCTCTAACTGATTGTCATATATGGGGCTGGGGAGGACTTTTTATTTATGTGACTCCTCTGCAGCATGGGTGCAGGTCATTTACCAGGATTCTCTCATTTAAATCAATTCCCTGCCATTTCAGGGGCCTTTGGTATTGGTGTATCGCAGTCCCTCCTAGTCTCTGCCTGGGGCACATAATAGTCTAGTCTCCTAAAGGCTGTAATACTTTGGTCTAATTTCAGTTGTTGGGTTTGGCGTGCGGGTGCTGCTGGTGGCCTGTGAGACAGAGGTCAAAAGTGATGATCTGATAGTCCTTTTGGCCTTACTCTAGAACTATTAGATAGCTAGGGAATGCAGACTACAGAAGTTAATGGAACATGAAACTGTAAGATTGTGGACACTGAAGTTATATTTTAAAAAAAAAAAGCAGCAATAGAATAAAAAAGCAGCAGTCTTTCAATCAGTAGTACTGGCCTGCTGAAGTGTTTGAAAGAAAGCGGAAAAGTCTACATTAATAGGCTCAAATTAGGTAATGAGCGAGTCAGGATCAAGACAAGCCACGTTGGTACTTCAACAATTGACATTTAAAGGACAATTAATAGCATTTTCCTGGCCAATATAAGCAATGTGTCACAGCATACCTCTGACATACAGCTAAGGCTGTCATTGCTAATAGCCTTCAGCTACCGCAGATGTTATGTTCCTAGTCACATGAGTTAACAGCATTTCAAGAACCGATCATTTAGATCAGTACAGAAAAAGTTATACAGTTTTAACAACTTCCCATATCAAATGTTTTCTAGTACTAGTCAATTGTTTTACAAGAACTAATTTAACTATGCCATCTAGCTGTAGAAAGCATAACTGTTTTATTTATGTAGGTATGTATAAAACCACACAAACATGACCAGCTAACTAAATGGACATTCATATCAAAACTTTGTCACCATCGATTACATTCAAAGCCTGATTGTATATAGCTGAATTGTGGCCTAGTGGATAGTGCACTGGACTGGGACTCAGGAGATCTGGGTTCTAGACCCAGTTTTGCCACTGGCCTGTTGGGTGACCTTGAGCAAGTCTTTTCACCTCTATGCCTCCGAAACCCTATTTGCTTCACTACATAGAGTAGTTCAATTGATTTCAATGGGATCACTTGTGGGCATCGTAACTGTGGCAGACTTGGGTCCTCTAAGAACATCCTTTATAGTCTCTTGTATGATCCTCCTATTTTCAGCAATATATACTTATCTTGACTGGCAAATAAAATCTATATCAAATAGCTGGTTAGAATGGTTATCCATATGCCCAATGAGTTAGAAATGGAATTCAGTCAAGTTAGCAGTCAAATAGCAGCTAAGGCAATTAGCTATATTTGCCTGTTCAATGCAAGAGACAATTAGGAGATAAGTGCAAAAGGTAGCCTTAATACCCCTCAAAACAGAGCATGGCTAGCACAGTTGATTATTAATTCGCTGTCATTCTACTGAAAATGCCACAGTGCATTGCAGAGAGAGCATGCATTTAATTAACGTGTCAGGCATTTTTGGGACCTGATGCCATTTTTAACTATGTAGTCTGAAAGCCTATTTAATAACTTTTTAGGGAAATGACTGAGTAACTAATGAACTCTGGAAAGTTTAGAGATATTCTCAGCAAAGTCATAAATACCTAGGGGTTAGAGGGAGCATATCTACACAAGGACTTTATACCAGACTCTGATCAGTTCCGACTGTTAGAAGAAAATAGTTTGATCTACAGAACACACAAAAAAACAAATCTACACAGACACATGCCTAGAACCCTGACCAGGGGTATTCTACCTGCTACCCAAGATCCATAAACCTGGAAATCCTGAACGCCCCATCATCTCAGGCATTGGCACCCTGACAGCAGGACTGTCTGGCTATGTAGATTCTCTCCTCAGGCCCTACGCTACCAGCACTCCCAGCTACCTTCGAGACACCACTGACTTCCTGAGCAAACTACAATCCATTGGTGATCTTCCAGAAAACACCATCCTGGCCACTATAGATGTAGAAGCCCTCTACACCAACATTCCACACAAAGATGGACTACAAGCCATCAGGAACAGTATTCCCAATAATATCACGGCAAACCTGGTGGCTGAACTCCATGACTTTCTCCTCACCCGTAACTATTTCACATTTGGGGACAACATATACCTTCAAGTCAGCGGCACTGCTATGGGTACCCGCATGGCCCCACAGTATGCCAACATTTTTACGGCTGACTTACAACAACGCTTCCTCAGCTCTCATCCCGCAATGCCCCTACTCTACTTGCGCTATATTGATGACATTTTCATCATCTGGACCCATGGAAAAGAAGCACTTGAGGAATTCCACCATGATTTCAACAATTTCCATCCCACCATCAACCTCAGCCTAGACCAGTCCACACAAGAGATCCACTTCCTGGACACTACAGCGCTAGTAAGCGATGGTCACAAACACCACCCTATACCAGAAACCTACTGACTGCTATACTTACCTCCATGCCTCCAGCTTTCGTCCAAACCACATCACACGATCCATTGTCTACAGCCAAGCTCTAAGATACACCCGCATTTGCTCCAACCCCTCAGACAAAGACAAACACCTACAAGATCTCTATCAAGCATTCTTACAACTACAATACCCACCTACTGAAGCGAAGAAACAGATTGACAGAGCCAGAAGAGTACCCAGAAGTCACCTACTACAGGACAGGCCCAACAAAGAAAATAACAGAACACCACTAACCCTCACCTTCAGCCCCCAACTAAAACCTCTCCAGCGCATCATCAAGGATCTACAACCTATCCTGAAGGACGATCCCTCACTCTCACAGATCTTGGGAGACAGGCCAGTCCTTGCTTACAGACAGCCCCCCAACCTGAAGCAAATACTCACCAGCACCACACAACACACACTAACCCAGGAACCTATCCTTGCAACAAAGCCCATTGCCAACTCTGTCCACATATTTATTCAAGGGACACCATCGTAGGACCTAATCACATCAGCCACGCCATCAAGGGCTCATTCACCTGCACATCTACCAATGTGATATACGCCATCATGTGCCAGCAATGTCCCTCTGCCATGTACACTGGCCAAATCGGACAGTCTCTACGGAAAAGACTAAATGGACACATATCAGACGTCAAGAATTATAATATTCAAAAACCAGCCCGAGAACACTTCAACCTCCCTGGACACTCAGTTGCAGACCTAAAAGTCACAATTCTTCAACAACAGAAAAAACTTCAAAAAACAGACTCCAACGAGAAACAGCAGAACTGGAATTAATTTGCGAACTGGACACCATTAAATTAGGCTTGAATAAAGACTGGGAGTGGATGAGTCATTACACAAACTAAAAACTATTTCCCCATGCTAATTTTTCCCCTACTGTTACTCACACCTTCTTGTCAACTGTTTGAAATGGGCCATCCTGATTACCACTACAAAAGTTTTTTTCCTCCTGTTGATAAAGCCTACCTTAATTGATTAGTCTCATTAAGAGTTGGTATGGCAATAACCTTTTTTCATGTTCTCTGTACATATTATATATATCTTCCTACTGTATTTTGCACTGCATGCATCCGATGAAGAGGGTTTTAGCCCACAAAAGCTTATGTCCAAATAAATTTGTTAGTCTCTAAGGTGCCACAAATACTCCTCGTTCTTTTTGCTGATACAGACTAACACGGCTACCACTCTGAAACCTGTCACAAAAAAGTGAGATTGCCTCTTCAGACCCTCAGAGGAGATCTCAAAGCCTGTACACTGCTTTTGGGTCTGGGTTCATCCCTGATTGAGGTGGCTGGGATATGGTATGAAAGAGAGAGAGCAGAATATGGGTATTTTTGATGTGAAGTGGCTCTAAAGAAAAAACTGTCAAAGGGAGGGGCAATGAACAGACCCCTCCTCAAAATGGGCTACCATCAGAACAGAGTGAGAAATGGCAAAACGTTAAACAAAGCAAATAAGCAAGCAAATGCCACAGGGAGCGAGCACTGGCTCTTCGTAACTATTCCACTAAGACTAAGCATTTAGGATACTTCAACCCTGGAAACCTTCCTGGCTCTGGGCAGAATACAGCTGCACACCTACTCAATGGAAGCGGCAGAAGTTACACCTACTCAGTGGAAGTTACAGCTGAAATAAAAAAAATAATCAGGTCTTTAAGTGCCTGACATTTAGCCATTACTCTTGCCAAGGCTTTCAAAAATATCATGACAGTCAACTCTCATTCACTAGGATACCTTTGAAAAGGTAAGAGTGTAGACATGGCTTTTCTAGATCTTTGTATCGTATCTCTAACGAGTTGATTGTGGTTTTATAGCCCTTACTCCAGTATTCCCCAGTTACACCATTTTTTCTTAAGTCACTTTAAAAATATTTTACTGTTCACTTACACATTGATTCCTCCCATTAAAGGGATAGGTTTTGTGTAAGACTGAGATCAAGTTGGCATAATCAGAAAAAACTACACTGTGTTTTGGGCCGGGGGGGGGGGGGGGGGGGGGAACCACTAGCAGTTTGTTGGTGGCTTTTTGCTATCAAACCCACTGAATGAACCATTGTCCTCAAAGATTTAAGTGTCTATTATAAGAAGTGGCCTGTAAAATCTATTCAGTACTGAACCTAAAATCTCTGAATTGTAACGTCACAGGGCTTTTAGTGCACATAAAGCAGTTAACCAGCCATCCAAGATCAGTCCCAAAAGCCTCCCCCATCATGCCCTCCCCAACACTTTAAAAGTTAATTCCATAACTATTCCACTTAGTTTGCTATACGCTGGAGTTCTAATGAGATCCAGTAAGTGAGAGTCCCCTCTAATACCTATCCCAATACAGGTTTTGCTGAACTTTATCTGGGATTTTTAATCCTTTTACTTCCTGCAGCAGTGACAGAATAGCCTTCTTAAAGGGATGGGGAGGTTTGTTTGCTTAGCTGGAGATGTCCACACAGTCCTTTTAACACATTAAATGTTAAGCACTATCAGAATTCATAGTCTGCCAAAAGAAAGCATACAGTCTCTGTTGCATGACCCAAAGCTACAGATGCCAAGAGAGTCTCATTGGCTGGGATGCTGACTTTGGCAAAATTCTCAGGATTCAGAGACAGGGGTGGCTTTACATCATCACTCTGCATTTCCCTAAATGAACATTTAAGGACCGATTCTAAGGTCAGAGAGCCATTCAAAAAAGGTTATTAGTAACTGTTAGACTGAACTGCTGCAGCTGCAAATTGGGTCAGTCAGGCATTGCTCAGGACACTCCTACTGCACATAAGGAGCCAGCCAGTCTGAGCCTTCTGGGAACAGCCCTCTAAGCCCCACCTTCTCCAGCAGGTACTGGGAGTAGAGGGAGAGTAGCTTCATGGCCCTAGCAGCTTCTTGATGATTTTACAGTCATTCAGCATTGAGCTTTAACTCTGGACTTCCTTCTCTGTTTGCCAATCCATCATTGATTGTTGGTACTAATTTATAGGCTTGTCACCCTCCTCCCCTCTTTATCGCCTATATCTAGTCCCTCAACCCCACTTCCCTCCACTGTTCCTTTGTTTTGAAGTTTCAGTGGAGCACAAAAGAGGAGGAACTGACCTACCAAGATATGAGATAAAGATAAAGTAGCCACATAATCTCCTTGTAAACCAGGCAGGCCCTCCATTTTCCCCTGTCCACCTCCGTTATCTTAACTTGTTCTGCCCAGGTCTCCTTAGATAGTCTTGAAGAGCTAACAGAGACCATGCTCTGCATTTGTGTAATACGGAGTACATTGGTGACACCCAGTGATCTTTCTAGAGGACAATACCAACTCTCTGAAACTTCTTTAACAGTATTAAGACCCTCATTATCTTTGTCCTAGCCATCATGTTCTCTCCTTGTGTTTGTGTCCTAGATTTGGCAGTTACAACTGGAAGCTCTTTGGGGTAGGAACCAGTTATGTAGCACCACCAAACAAATGTAAGGTATCAAAAATGACTACATTCTGGCAAGGGATTCCCCATCATAAAGCTCATTTAGACAAAAGCTTCAGAAAAAAAACTGCAGCTGATTATTAAGTTTTTACATTTATTAAAATCTACTTTGGCCCCTGGAAGTTTAACTACTTTTATACAAGATCAGGTGTGGGAATCGTGAAGTGAGAAAAGGAACAAGGCTATTCAGTTCAGCCAGCAGCAGATGTAAGAAAAAGAATTCCTACAGCTTTAGTGCATGCTCCAACACTTCAAACAAGTAACGAACTAAAAATCCAAGGAATAGTCTAAGCTCAGTTCTCTCAAAAGCAGCCTGAACAGAATTTGCCTACCGAGTTCCAAAAGTACACAAAGAATGAACACAGCTGTTGAGGTCAGGAGAGATTTCTCCAGTTGAATCTGCCAGGGGAACTCAGTGCACAAGTTAGTGACCCAAATTGGAATTCAGCCAGGACAAGAGGGCTAACATGGCTTCTCTTACAAGAGATGCTAATGAATAAAGGAGGCATGCACCCAGATGCTACTCCAAGCAGCCTGAGTCGATAGCCTTGGTTTTAGCAGCCCAGTGACACAGGCGAAGTTAAAAGTGAACCAATCAATTCAGTACAGCATCTCTTGCCCTTGTTACCCCAATTCTTCCTTCTGTTACCTCTCAACCTCCCCTCATTAGAGCTCATTTTTCCACCTTTCTACTTACACCATTTCTCCTGCACTCAAAAGCTTTCAATTTCCTCTCACCTCTTCCCAATCTTGGCCTTTAGGACATAACCACAGTCTCCTCACCCAGCCCCTCACAAACCTGTTTCCATGCTTTCCTTTCATTGTGTTCCAATGGAACACCCAATCCAGTTTTCATGGTACCATCAAAACAGCCACACTACCGAACTAGAGTAACAGTACAGTCTTACTGTATTCCTGGTCCTTTTTCCTCCCCAACCCTATTATTAGTCTTGCTTGTTTAGTCACCAAGACTAAACTTAGTAGGAAGTATGTTTAGCTGTACATTAGAATACTTAAATATATTTGGCATTGTATAATTACTGAAAGCAAAGACATTTGGGTTCTTCAATGACCACAAGTGAATGGGATTTTAATCTCACATCTCAACCAACAGATTGCACCTTGAGTAGTACAGTGGTCCCCTCATTACACCAGGACACAGGTTCAGAACTGATCAAGAGAAGATTTTACCAAATCACATTTGTTCCATATTCATGATGCATGGTATTGTGATTAGGAAGAGAGATCTTCAACAGATACACACACATGTGGTAATTTACCTGTTTCGAGCAGGAGACTTCCCCGGATCCTCCTGTACAGACACAAGGCGTGTTGACAGTGTGGTAGTTGAAGTGTCTGGGTGAATCAGACTGCAAAGAACAGAGCTCTGTTAAGACAACCACCATTACAAAGAAGCACTGAAAACGGTCCCAGTTAAAACCAACACTATTTAGGATAACAACATGATTTGATAAGTAGTCAGAGCACAGGGGAAACATCCTTCATAACATCAGCCCAAGGACAGCTGTACAAAAGACTGGTATGGTGTTCTCCTTTCGGACTCCACTGCCAGCGTCTTTCAAAATACACAACTCCTCACCTAGTCTTCATCCTCATCCCCTCCTGCATTGCTGTGCCTCTCCTTAACCCACCTCCCACCCACTTGGTAGCACTAGTACCGGATACTCCTTGCCCTTCCTCCTTCACGACATTCCCCCAGTCCAAGAAATTCGTTACCTTAAATATCTAGAGCCCATCCACATAGCTATGTTCTTTATCAGTAGCTATCACCATAACGCATGCACAAGCCTCAGTAGCCCTCTCTTATCAATATAACCTTTGTCCTCCTTTACTCACCTTTATCCATCTTGCCCTATCACTTGAATTAGCAGCTGTTCAGCGCAAGGGCAGTGTCTTTTTCTATTCAGCACCTTAGCATGCTTTTGGGTGGTCTGAATAAATACAGCAGCTCTGCCCCATAAAGGTTTTTCTAGCTGCTCTAAAGAGTTTGTATAGTTTAGAGAGAAGACATTTTTCTCCTCAAATACAGTAGAATAGTAGCAGACTTGAGTTCTTGTTACTCTGTGAAAAGACAGAGCTGCAGCTTCTTTTCAATATTCTCTTTAAGCAGCCTACACCTAGCATGAAGAATCTCATGGCTTACAAACACAAATTACGTTCTGCTTTAATTGCAAAGCTGAGTTTAGTTTGCCAAGTTTCTACTGCAGGTACTGTTAAGAAGTTTGATTAAGACTCTCAGCGTGTACTCCCTTACTAATGAATTTTAAGCCTAATCTGGCGGGAGGGGGAGAAACAAAAACAAGCTAGCTTCTTCAAAAAACCATAACACCATGCTCATTTAGCCAATTTCCCTACAACACTGATAATTATGCCATCTCCAGAGATACCAGTCTTTCAAGCCTCAGAAGAACCTTTCCTCCAAGGCTATATTAAGACTCCCAAGAATAAAGATGCAAATGCTTTCCACGCACCATCATCCTACTTGGGATGTGTTGCACTCCCCGGCTAAAGACAGCATGGAAGTGGAGAAAAAGCTATAAAGGCAGATCAGGTGGTCTCAAAAGTTAGTGTTTTTGCAGCATTCTCATACACCTGAAAAGTAACAGATGTCTTTGTGAGCGTGCCACAGAACGCACTGTTCTACAATTCAGATTCCCTGGACAGCACTTCTATCAGACACTTTAAAAATACTAGTTTGTTTTTAATAAAAAGCTGAGACCTACACTGTAAATACTTAGCAAAGGAATTTACGTAGTGTCCTCAGGTACTAGGTTAGAGATGGTTAGCAAACTGCCTACATGGAGTATTAATTTATAGACTGTCTTAACATTTAAGAAGTGATCCAAGACAAAGAATCCTTCACCTTGACAGAATCTCTTCAAACACTAGATCTTTTAGACCTAAAGACAGCTTATCCAGAATACTGTCATTCTAGTTGTTAGCACACGCTGAAGGGAAGTTGAAGTGAAAATCAGTATTCTCTGAAGACAGCTGTTTTCTGAGCTCTCATATTGCCAGCAGAGCATTAACCACTAGCATACATAGAAAAAAATCCAACTCTTGCCCCTAGAGAAGTTACACATTGCCACTTATAGTACTCTTCTGGTTACAAAGCAAGCGCGATTGGAGTCCTCTTTTAATATAGTTTTATCCTGACCTTGCAGTCCTGGAACATATTTGGGTTCTTCTCACACTAATCAAGATCAGTGAGAGTCAATATCATGCTGTGGCTTAAGTGCTGTATAAGACAAGACTGTTTTCCTTTCCTCTTAGTAATTTTCTTTTATCTAAGACCACTAGGGAGAGCTTTGGCGCTTTTGACAGAGATAAAAGAGCCCCTCAAGTTGTCCCTGCAGCCTCATACCAGGGGTTTGACTCTTTCTGCAGACAATTACTGTCTGCCAATTTCATCAGTATTGGGCCAGAGAGCATTTTTTGAGTCTACCATTCCTAATTCTGACAATCAGCAAGCCAACACTTTACTGAACTGAAGCCTGACTCACCAGTGGTGGAACAAGAACAGCAATCGCTTCCATCTCTATGAAGCCGCAAGCCTACACTGTTACAGTGAATGCTCCTATTCACATTACCAGCTTCCAGCTCCAGTCTAGTTTTAAAGGGTCTATTATTCCAAATGCCAACTGCCTCACTAAGATGGGGCCAGTAATTCCTCTGGGAATTGCCCAATCTCTTCTCACCACTGAAGGAGAAAGTTAGAACCAAGTGCAGGGTTCAGGTCTTTTATAGAAGATAAGCCTAAATTATCAGAGGCAAACTAACAGCCTGAGCCTACATGGGTGAGGTAATATCTTGTAGTGGTCCAACTTCCTCACCTAAACAGATGACAATCTGGTAGCGTGGCTGAGATTCTGATCCCTAACCAAAGTAATATGAAGCCATTTCATACCTTTGCCAAGTAAGATCCTCCTCCAGAAAGATATTTCGGCTAGCTTTTCTACTCCCAACAGGTGTGCGCGGCTCCCCAGGTTCCAGTACAGATACACAACAGGTAGAATCAGACAGAGCATTTAAGTCTTCCCCAATGGAGTTACTGTCTGTGGAGTGTGCATAGCTTAAAGCTATTTTGCGGCAGTAAGTGCAAGCTCGGAGATCTCCTGTAGCAAAAGGAAGCAGGAGGAGCGTAAACCAGTGAGATGGAGCAAAAAGTGTACAGGAGAAGTGCCATGCTTGGGAGAGTCTCATAAAATCTGTCAAAGCAGGGCTTCGCTGTTTCAGGACTTGTGCACTAACTTGAGTTTCTGGGGCTCATTTGAAGAAAAAAATAAAATCCTAACCACACAAGGAAATTCTCCAAGTTCAAAAGTTAAGCATGTGTTTCATGTAGATCCAGGTACCACCCCAAAAAAGTTTACATGCTACCAAAATTATGGAGTGGTAGTAGTAAGTGAAGGATTACAGACCAGTTGGGGACAAGCTGTCTCTCACTTGTTTCTAGACTTCAGAGTTCAGAGTTTAATACTGAAAATTTTGTAAGTAAAATGAATTTGTGGAATTGAGTGAATGCATATTCTGCCATTTTAAGAACGCAAGTTTTATTTGTGAACATACTTCATCATGTTGACATGTCTGCTAGACAATGGTCATCTTTCTTTGCTTCTTCATCCTTTTCAGATGATTCACCCTTTTCTTATCTAATGAAGTTTTCCAAAGCACTTCAGTGATTTGTCAGCCCTAGGCTCACTGGAAATCAAAACGATTTGCACTCCCAAGTCACTGAGGTACTTTGGAAAATTTTAACAGCCGCTTTCTATTTTGTTACACATGGCTGTGGGCACAAATGTATTATTGCATTCTGGGTTTGTAGTTTGCCTTTACCTTGTTAGTGTGGCTTTTTAGATGAATTGTTAAAAATTGGGCCCCTTAATTCTTTAGTGACCAGTATTCTGAGTGCATTAGATACCTGAAAAACATCAATTCTTAATACATAGATGCACCAGGCACAAATAAAAAGAGCATACCTGTGTAACCCATAAACTTTCCAGGGATTTCCTGGTTGCAGCATCGGCTACAGAAGATCTGCCCACACAGCCGACAGTGGTGTCTGCGTCGGAAGGTGGTGAATTTCTCGCTACAGTCATAACATTCTTTACACTGGCTGTCTGGCATCCAGTACTGCTTTAAATCACTATCCTACAACGGAAGTCATATTAGAGAAATGAGACAGTATTCTATGCTCCTTGCTGCTACACAAGCAGTCAGTGAAAAAAAGTGAAGCTGGACATATTTATAAAAATAGGATAGTTCATAGATTTGATGCAGCACTGTAAAGAGTCACAAGGTCATAAATAAAATGATTGATCAAGTTCTTAGCCACAGAACTAAACTGAATGATCCTGATCAAATTCTTGATTTGGCTGGTCCATTAAGAAAATGTTTCAACAATCAAAAGCTCACGATCTGTAGGTAAGACTTCAATGAGCACAAGAAATATTGATTTATTTTCCTTCCCCTGCTCATCCCTACTATATGTCAGGCCCTCAGCTAGTGAGGTAATAAAGCTGATGTGTGTGTACACATATATAAGGGACACTAATAATTTGGTCTGTCTATTACATGACTCCCACTGAGTATAATGATCATTGCAAGAGTTCAGTTCTGGCTGAGGGTGATTTGGCAAAACTGATTTTTTTGGGATGTGACAGTGGCAAGTTGTTCCAAGGACAAAATCAGGAAGAGTTAATACAGAAATAAGACGTCTAATATACAGAATGCTTTTGTCACTGACTCATCTGAAACAAATACGTTCTGAAGTGGCTGCTCAATACATGCGGTCTTCAATGTTCACTAAATATTGTAACATTTCTGATCAGTGACTGATATCACCCCAACAAACCTTGGGCAAAAGGATTTAAACATCAAGATTCGATTTAAAAAAAAACCTAGAAATGTCGATACAAATGCCCTTTGGCCTGCAGGATCTTGATCACACACCCCTGAAGACACTTATGTCCTATACAGAAGACACATTGTTTCAGAATGTGCAGGACCTGAAGTGGCTACCATACTGAAGTGTCTTTGTCAAACGAGACTGCTTTGCAATATATTTGCGACACAGCAGAGGGTGCCCCAAAAGCAGCTTTGACTGAGTCAGTGTCTCTGGTGCTGCATGCGCTAGTGCAAGGTCTTTTAGCGTCTGATGTGTGTTTCAGACAAAGACAATGTGCTCTATAGTAGAGTTGTACCAGGACCCACAATAAGAGAATGCTTGTTTGAGTCATTTCACACAGCAGCTGAAGATCTCCACATTCAGAGAGATTATTATTGCAGTTTGTTCAGATGTTGCCATGGTGATTACATGTAATTGCAGCCTGCAAGCAAGGATCTACAAGGATCACATAAAACATCTCATGGCTTCATTGGGTCACATCAGCAAGAGCTTGACTGTGATGACCTAATCTTCCAAGAGTTTGGGAAATGCCTGAAAAGCTGTATCAGGTCCTTCTAAAGCTGCTGGCATTGAACTCTGAAGAGTTATCAACAGTGGATTCTTGACTTTATGTAGTACCCTGTAATAACATGTTAGTGAAGGGGAGCCCAAACCCCTTTCTTCACTGAAGCAAAGAGAATCTTGTGCCAATGCAATATTTCATCTCTTCTGATGAAGAACAGCACAGGTCTCCCCAAATGATAAATCAACTTCTCCTTGCTGACATCTCCAGTAATTCATCTTGAGTGGCATGCTTAGGTCTACCTAATTGATGTATTTGGGTAATTTAAAAAGAGAGTTCAACTTTTCTAGCCATGTGCATTCCTCCCTGGCCAGAGCATCCATAACAGGGTAACAGCATTCCTCAGGAGGTTTGAAAATTGGTCTACCCAAGAGGAAATTACTCTGATCCTTTTATTTTTGTTTCAGACTTCAAAGGAATGGAGGTCCTGATCAGGAACTTCAGAACCAGCTGCAGGCCCTCTTTCCTGATAATGGAGGAATAAAATGTAGATCCAACTTCTCCATTCAAGACGCTGACAGAGCCACTGCAAAGTCTGTGACAAGACCCTGCCACAGAACCTCTAGCCAGCCAAAATCTGCTGAGTTCCTGTCTCTGCAAAGACCTTGAAAATTCCTCTCTCAGTTTTATCCCTGTACCTTTACTAATCAGGTAACTACTTCATGATGGTGAGAAAAAAAACAAAGCATCACAATTGTCTGTTGAAGAGAAGGACTTCAGCCTGCTCGTCCCCAGTTAATCATCACATGGAACATCTTTTGTCAGCACAAAGGTTGCATCCAATCTGCTCGAATACAGCCTACATGCTAAAAACCACCTAGTTTCACCCCTTCCCCGTTTTATTGTTAATGAAGATACACTACTGCCTGCTCATACCTTGTCCCCAGGCTTGGCTATTCCTGTTAGGTCTGCTCTGCTCACAACAGAGAACGTCTCCAGACAGCCAACCCCACTGGGATATGAAGGGAGGTAGAGCTAAGTCAACAGAATCCATTTAACTTTTTCCCAGCAGGATCAACACCTGCTAATATGGTGGAGTGTTTCAGGCAAATATTCCCAGCTTGTTACACTCAGTTTGATGTGATTGTATTTAAAGTGCTGTTACTTCATTTGAAACTAAAGTTAGATTTCCAGAACTTCAGAATTAGCTGCTATTGCTACAATTACAAGATATCATGTGCTCATGGTTAGATCTTGGGGAGCGACATCATGAAATATTATAGAAAGGGAGGAATGAGGTCATCCTGCTCTGAAAGTTCTGGAAACTCTAATCTAGTAAGTAATTCAATAGGAAAAAAAAACAAAAAACGGCAAGCAATTTATATCAAAAATTGACTTCACCAGTTTGAATTTCTTCCTGTTCCCCACTCAAATATAGCAAGTTTATTCATACTCTGTTCTCTTGGTTGGGGGGGTGGGGGGTGTTACTAGCATTCAGTAGAACTTCATAAGGTTTTGCTCTTTTCCATTGGCAAAACATGGAACACAACAACAACACAGAACCCTTTAACATTTTAATTTCTATATGCTTTGACTGACCTAACTCACTTAAAACCCTTGATGTAGTACCTGGCTTTTCCCTTCCATTATTTCTTTGAGACGTTTTAAGACCGTGCTGAGACTTCTAAGCTGAACAGCTGTCCGAGGATCATGGCCACTGAGAGAAGGTTCCACTTTCCTTCGTGTGTCTGAAGGGGAGAGAAACTTATCGTCACCATCGAAGGCACTATAGAAATGTTTGTGCCATATAACGCAACATGCCGTTGGAAAAAGAGAAGAGTTCCCTGGGTATGTAGTTTAGGAAGTTAGAATTTGCATCTTTACTTTTTTAAAAAAGAGCTGCCTTATGTCAGATACAGAGTCAGTAGTAATCTGCATTCAAAGTAGCTTGAATTTTTATATAACCACGTATCTGTTCCCTCTAGTATAATACCATAGAATCTAAGAACTTAAATAGGCATCACTGCTCAAAACAAGTGGTAGTTCTCATCCAGTGTTTTCTAAAAAGAGAAATGCAAATTCTTATACAATGGAAGTCTCATTTTAGAATATCTTCTAAAGCACTAATAATCACCAGATTGCAGCAGAGAACTTGAATTCAGTCCTGTACTGTATATAAAGACTTAATTCAAGACTATTTCAAAACAGCAATAACTATTCATGCAAATCCCAGGACACAGCTGAGAGTCTCCATTGAAACGGCCAGATCCAATAATAAAAAGAAGTGCATCCACAGGTTTCACTTCACCAGCGTGATCATAATAGCTATATTTATAGTTAAACTTAAGCCACTTTTCTCCATCGTTTTTCTGTTTGTTGCAATTAGTTTCACCTACTACTTGGTTACAAACATGAAATTAAATCATTGACATTTAGGATGCAATAAAGGGTCAGTCTCTTCAAAACGTTTACAACAGGATTCACCTTGGTATTACGGAATGCATTTTTTTCCGGTTTAATATTCCATAGCAAAGTTTTGAAAGAGAGTGCTACTTCTCTACATTGTTTGCTTTTCAAAACAGCTTAAAGTTTCTTACCAGCCTCCTCGCTCTCCATCTGACAAGCATTTTATTTTGCTCCCTCTAGTACAGAGAAAATAGACATGGCTGCTTTTTGTTTACGGCTTTATATATCTCTGATGTCAGCAGGAACGCTGACTGCACTGGCAAGAGCGCATTAGTTAACTGTTGCTGTGCAGTAAAAATTAGGGTTCTGACTTTTGGGGTGGTGATAGAAGAATCCTTGTCTTTAAAGCACCCCAGTGAACTAAAAATATCTACTAGGAATCTATTGAATGACCTCATTCCTAGAAAATTTGTTGATCAGCCAGATGCAAGAAAACATTTAGAGATTTGTCCACACAGCCACTACAGACCTGTAACAAGACCAAAATGTTTTTTAAAAAAGATTCCAACAAGTGTTCAGATCTTGTTACACCTTTAACCACCTGGAATTTAAAGGCCAAACTGAGTGTTATTTTGGAGTATGTCTATAGTATTTGAGTCTGATATTTTAACAAGATTTAAGTGAATGTAGGATTTCAAATGAGCATAAATATCTTTACTACTTTAAATCTTAAGATCTCTTCCCTGTTTCCAGCAGAGTATTCCCAGTATTCTGCAGAACAGCCTGGAAAGTAAATACTTCAACTTCCAGATGGGCATGTGATCTAGTGACATAAGTGTTACTTAAATTATCTCTGCTATCAGAGGTATCAAAACTTCCACATAAACCAGCCTATCGTACCATTTGTTGTGCCAGTACCAGTCAAAGCTCTTTTTAAACAAATGGTTTCAGGAAATAAGAATGTTTAAATTATGTAAGCGTATTGCAAGACAGGACAAGAAGGTTAGTGAAACTTTCTATTTACATAGCTAACTATATACTAGTTAGAGTAAAAGTTAGATTTAAAAAACTAACAGGTCAAAAGGATAAATGGGGACACATACGGGGCTCATTCAAGTGTGTGTACCACCAACAGAGGAAACAGTGTTAAGTCATTTAAGAGACATTGACCCAATTTTAATATCAGTCAAGTCTCACTTCCCCTGCATGAGTCTCTCCTGCGACTGGCTTTGCAGAACTGAGTGCATTGTGAACAACATGAACAGAATCTAGTTGGATGCAGTCTCTCTGCTATGGTTTTTAGTCAGTTCCTCCCAGGTGATCTCTGCTTTCCTTTACTCCCAGTTCATGCACTTGCCACACCCCATTACCTGCTTTCTCTGTTACAGCCATCTAACACAAATAGCGTTACTGAGCATGTTTGAGTAACAAGCTAGAAATGCTATTAATATTAAATGCCGATACTTCAGCTGGACAGCTTATGAAGACCTACTCAAAGTGGATAGTAGACTCATGACATTAGCTCTGGGTCATGCTGCCTTGGTGCAATTTGGACCATGGAACTTGGCACACAGATGTATATTCTAACTCCAACAGAAGCAGTTTGAGTCCATTGCTTCTATATGAGAGATACTAATGCCTCTTCCCCTCCTTCGCCCCACACCCTGTGTAATCATTTACATTTGTGCAATGGTTACATGAAGGGCAGGACAACAGAATCAGGCCTAAAAATCTCAAGGCTGATCATTTTGGCTACACCCAGCAAATGTATCTTCAGAAAGCATGGCATCCAACTGTATCTTCTCAATTCCATTTATGTAATAGCAGTTAAGTAAAAAGGTAATTAATATTTTGGGGCAAATCTAGCTTTAATATTACTATACCACTATAAGTAGAAAACAGTCCAGATTTCAAGCGTGAGCTTCGCTTTCAGCTTACCACTTTGTTGCTAAAAAAGTTTTTAAGACAGTAATTTCTGCTCCTTCTCTGGAATTACAACAGTAGTTAGCTAACAAATACTATCCCCAGATTTATAGGACTATCAATTTCACAGAGTTAGAACAGGGGTTGAAATGGGGACTCACAGGTTCTATTTCTACCTCTACCATCAGCTCAGTAAGGGCTTTGGAAGTAATTTAGCCTCTTTGCACCTCAGTTTACCTGCTTATTTAGGTCAGGTTTTAATTGTCTATGAAAGGATTAAATAGTCTACTTCATACTAATACCTGTTATAATTATCTTTATAACATTACAACACCTAAAGGTGAGGGGCCAAATTCACAGAAGTATTTAGGGGGCTAAAGATACCAAAAAGGTGTCTTGTTCGATTTGAAGAGCATATAAGCAAGTTATGCACCATTGAAGGGAATGGAAATTTGGCAACTTATGTGATTTTGTAAATCCCCACCAGACACCTGTCAGCATTTTTCATCCCCCTAAATATCTTTGTACATCTGCCCAAGTACTTTACTTACATTTGTAAACAAAAGAAGGGGAAGTCTACCCAGTGTTTTCGGAAGCCCTGCCATAAGTTCCAGAGACAGATGTAAACCTGAACACAAGACTCCTTTAAACATGTTAGTGTCAGCACCTTAAGAAAGGCAGAAAGAGCACATGGTAAAGGAGGAAATTGATCCTGAGGAGGGGGAAGAGACTTAAAAAAACCAACAACAACAAAAAAACCTTCAAGAAGAATATGGGAAAGCGGGAGAGACTTCACAATATCCTTTCAAAGAAAAAATCCTGATCGTTTACACCCTTATTGCACAGTTCTTGTTTTATCCCTGTGGTTACATTTTACCAGACTTGTGAGCTATGCAACAAGATATCAGGCCATGTATTGGAATACACGATGGCATTATAAACAGAATTTGAATATGTACTTCTTTCTAGAGGTAACCAGCAAGTCGCCGGGAAGAAGTGTGAAGTTCGGCATGTCTATGCAGACACAGTAGCTTGTCACGTGGTAAGTATAAGGCTGCAGCAATGCCACACACTAACTGTGTGAACCCTGATGATAAGAGCTACATAAGTGCACATCCAGGAACTTTTAGGGCACATCAGCAGCGTCCACACACACACACACAGCTAGTGCGCCGCAGGCTAGTGCAAGGCAAATGTACACCTCTGCTTGCCACGCAGAAAGTGCTTGTGTAGTGAAGCACTTAGATGTGAATCAGGCCCATTATATCTCTGTAACTCTAGTCTTGCCTCAGTTTACTCCAGTTTAATTCCAGGTAACTCAGTGCATTTCAATGGAGTAATGCAGTAGTAAGTCAACCTCAATGAGACTAAGGTAACCTCAATGAGACTAAGGTAAGTCAACCTCAATGAGACTATTGTGTGGCAGCTTACTTCCAGCAGAAGCCAAAACCCAAGGCCGCCTCCTCCTCTCCTCACACACAACGCGTCCAGCCTATTGGATAGGTTGGATGCCTGAGAATTTCTAAAGTTCTCAAAATTTCTCAAAAACAGCAATTACTTCACCTACCCCAAAACATAAGAGCAGTTAAATAGCACAAGCAATACTACTACAAAGCACAGAGAATGAAAATGAATATATCCAACTGGAACATCATGTGGGACTAAGGTAGATAAAATGGTGGCTACCAACATTGGAATTCTGCCAGAATTAGACACCTCTACTCTTCTGGAGGGTGCCAGGGAACCTTAATAGCCACAAGCTGTCAAGACCTGGTTCCATGTCCCATGAGAGATCATTCCTGACAGTACAGTACTCTAGCTCCACGCTGAGGCGTTCCTTTAGTAGGAATCAGAAGGATTGTCAATGCCACATCATGAATGAACCACCACCATTTGCTGCAGCACCTCTGTTCTTTGGAGGGCTGCCATCAAGGTACTGGCTCAGCAGTTACACAATGGCAGATTCCAGCAGTGGTAAACGCATTTCAGATAGCTGGCTAGAAGCGATTCAGTATGGCGTATGAGTAGCATCACTAGATCAGGCACTTAAAGCACTTTCTGCAAGTACCCGTTGCATCTCCTCCTCCTCAAAGATGCAACAAATGAATATTAAGGGTTGTCTGAAACCAGAAGGACCATGTTTTGTCTTGTTAGGACTGAGCCCTACAATTCATTTTGAGGTGTCAGTTCTGTTTTCTTAATTTCAGCAGAATAATTAGGCACTTACACTTTTATCCAAAAATGCAACCCAGGCTAAGTAGAGACGACTCAACATTTTTGACCTAGGAGTTTCTGCCAGCCTTACTTGAGCAAGATAACATTTTGTCAATAATGATAATAAAAAGCTGTGCTGGTCAAGTTACTATGGTGTCTTGAGAGAAAAGCAGACATGCTCATGAGGAGGAGAAGTTGCACCTTAAACAGAAGGTTATGTAGCCTAATTGGCAAGCAGAGCCAGGAATTTCCCAAGTTTTAATCCCTGTTCTTGCCTTGGGGAAAGTCACTGAAATGCTGTTTACCTTAGTTTCCCCACTTGAAAAGTGGGAGTAGTACCTCCCTCCCAGGATTAGACAGCACCCATGTAAAATACAGCAAACAATATTAAAATTAGGCACACGTTACCTAAGGTTGTAGAAGCTCTACGTTGTAGCTCCCCAGTAAGCTGCTTTTTGTATGGAACAGGGGACCTCAGAGACTGTGCCCTTGAGGTATGCTGAGGACTGGACCAAGTCCCACTCAGCGCCTGCTGCTCGCCCTGGCCACTCTCTGCAGGAGATGAAAGTCTACCATCATCTAAGTTTAAGAACAGCAAGAAACCAACAGTTCTAAAGTGAAGGAAAAAACTAGCACCACAAGCAAGTTTAAAGCTAAAGAAGTTTTATAGATAGTTCATTTGAATTATTATTTGTAATATTGCAGTGCCTAGGGGATGCAACAGGGATCAAGGCTCCCATTGTGCCAGGCATTGTACAAACACAGAACTAGGAGGCTCTTCAGGGCAGGAACCAAGACAGGTTCTACACTTTCTCATTTCACAAGTAGTCTCTTCATGAAGAAAGAATTGCAAAGACAAATTACAACAAGTGTAATTCTTCCACATAATAATCATGTATGAATTGCTCTTGCTACCAGCCTGTCTTTTGGAAGATAGATCTTTTGGATTGATTTGAAAGCCAATTTTTTGAGTACCGTGGCAACATATTTAACATGAATAGAGCCTCTTATTAGTAAGTCACCTTCTTCAAATAGAAGTTTGAATATAGCTAAGCTGATCTTGCTGGTTTGAGTAACATACTCATGTTGTGTCTTATTTATTTCAGCAGAATTTCCACCCTTTAAACATTTCGTGATCCTGGCCATACTTATCTGATACAACTCAAATTAACCTGCTCAATTTTTAGTGTTAAAATTCACACTGGCATGTCAAGTTTGGCCCAAAGTTTTGCACAAGCTTGTTTTTACTCAAAAAACCCCACGTAACTTCAACACCCAACCATTGGATCAAGTTAGACCTTTCTCTACTAAACTGAAGAGTCTATTATTACAGATTTGCTCCCCACTTAAGTATTTATAGACTGTAATCAAGGCACCCCTTACTCTTCTCTTTGGAAAGCTAAATAGATTGACCTCCTTAAGTCTATCACTCTAAGGCATTTTTTTCTAATCCTTTACTCATTCTTGTGGCTCTCCTCTGAACACTCTGCAGTTTATCAACATGCTTCTTGAACGGCAAATACCAGAACTTGACACAATATTCCAGCAGCAGCCACACCTGTGCAAAACAGAGAGGTAAAATAACCTCCCTACTCCTACCTGAGATTCTCTGTTTATGCATTGGAGGATCGCATTAGCCTTTAAAAATACACTTCAAGAAGCAGTTCCCCATGTGCGTTATTGAAACTTCACCATTTGGAGACCACAGACATGGTGCCAGATTCACAGGGGATGGGCAGTAGAGAAAGGCAAGGCCAGGGGTAGAATTTGAACCAAAAATGCTCATCTCACTGATGAGGGCAGGCAGTGGTAGGCTGCTTCCATCCCTGGGAATTTCTTATAGGGAGGTGATCTTTACATTCCTACTAGGACTCCATAGAAGCCCTGCTGAAGGAGACTTATTAATGCATTTCCCCACCAGCTAGTCCCCACCCATCGCTGGCTGCTGCCAGCTCTCAATCTGGGTAGATCAGAGGTTGCAAGAAACGCACATTTCTACATTTTCCACTCCTGGCAGACTTAATCCCATGACCAAGGTTTTACCACCTTGCCAGAGAGTGAATCCAGCTCAGATATTCTACTAAAGTAAAACAAAAACTCTCATAGGAGCCTTCCTAATCATTCATTTAGCTGGCTGGCAGTCTGAAACCATGCCCTCATCTCATGAAGTATCATAGTTCAAAATACTAGTTATGCATTAACTTGGAAGGAAGACATTTAGGCACAATTAATAGCTATTGCTTCATAACGAGTGTTTACCTTTGCCAAAACGAAAGAGGTTTACAAAGGAGCTGTAGGCAGATTTAAAAGGAGGCTCATCTTGATCAGGAGTCAATGGTTTGAAATGAGTGAGATGAGAGGGACTGCTCGGAGAGCGGGGCAGATCACTGACACAGTCCAGTGTTGGAGATTGTCTGTCATCTGTGGCCATCTCATGTGTCCTGGAAAAGAATTTAAGTGTATTATATACACACGTTTTACAAACCTGAATGTGATAAAGCAAAAGCAACATCCAGTCAGCTGGAAGACCTGTGAAATGGGATACCAAAAGTGGGCTCTGCACTGTTCTGATTACACACCTTGGTTGTTGGTCCAAAGAGAATGGCTTTTTTACCTGTCAAGAGGAAGTTATGATCTTTGCAGAGAGGCTGTGTTTTGACTTCATATTCTTAGGAGGAAGAACTAGAAGTAACAGTTGAATTCAAGAACTACACAGGTCAGGCACCAATAAGGAAATAGAAATTAGGATCACAAATTGTTTTATGGGTAGCTTAGAACTCTAAGGAGATAGAGCTTCTAATGCCAAAAAGAGCAGAACTGGAAAATCAAGTTACTGTTCAATGAGTAAGATATCTTGCCATGGAGGGAAAAAGTCAGTGGAAAGACGGATGTTCATTGGAGTGTAACTAGTTAGAGCAGTGGCCAAAGCTGTGGTTCATGAGATTAGACACAGATCATATGCAACTCTTTCAGAACTTCCTTATCTTCAGACAGAGCTGACAAATAAAAAAAGAACATACATATGCAAAGGTATCTTTGCAAGGAAATCAAGCAAGTTCTTGGTTTGCTTTTTCTTGCTAGTTTGTGTGGTAAGATTAGCCCTTATTGCAGGGAGTGTGGAAGATCCTCCAAGCTTTGTTTCACACTTCGATTTCTTTTGCTGTTCTAGGATTGTTTTCTTGCCTCTCTTTTGAAGGGAGAGAGTAATCATTTCCAGGTTTTACAAGAAGTTCTTCCTATTACACCCCCTCTACTTTTATCTTTCATCACAGAACCTCATAAACTCTCCACACAGATTCCACAATACAGGCACAGAGGCCCACATCCTCAAAGGTATCTATGCTCCTTTAGACTTCCATTAAAGTCAACTGGAGTTAGGTGCCTAAACACCTGTGAGGGATCTGGGCCAGTCTTGTCAAATTTAAACAGCATTTTCAAGAGGATTACTTTTAGTGGCTATTTCAACTCTTTTCTCTCTGGTACTGCATGCCACAGCAAATTAAATAATGGGCAGGTAATGATTTCTCCAAAAATCATCACTTAGTTAAGCTCTCCACATGATGGTTTCTATCAAAAGTTTATCTGGAAGGTTAGCCAGCTCAACAACTGCTACCTCTATATAACCCTTCCCTCATCTCAAACATATACACTTTTCTCCCTTTCTTCATACTGCAATACAAGACAAACACATAGTTTTGTTTTATCAGAACAAGGCCATCAGAGACCTTAAGGGGGGAAAGAGGGGGGGGAGAGCCCTTTCTCATCACCTGAATGTTTTAATTAAGCAAGGTAAGTGGACCCAAGTCATTTATCTTCAGAACTAAGCAATACAAAATCTGACAGGGAAATATTTTACTCCATAAGAACAATGGCTGGATTCTGTGCCTAATCAAAAGGGCTGGAGGAAGAAAAAGGATATTTGCCATTAAGTTAGATGATAATAAAACTCTTCTATTTAGTTTCAGAAGCAATTGGTAAGCAAATATATTCACCCTTCCTGCACAATAGTCCACTTCTCCTAGGTCAAGGATTCCATCAGACATTCTTCTCTGCTCCCCCCACATCCTCAAGAAACAGATGGAAATAGTTGCTCACTTGTACTTGGTTCAGAAACTACACAGTCAAGAGGCACAATCAACAGAGTAGAAAGGAAACAGATACCAATCAACAGAGTAGAAAGAAAAACAGATCATCTCTCCCTTGAGCCAGGAAAAATAAAACTAACTTTACTTTATTTTTATCTTTTTTCCTCCCCTCTACCAAAAAAAAAACAATATAAATATCATCCACCCCCCCCCCCCCCTTTTTTTTTTTCTTTTTTTTTATATATAAAAATAAATAAATTTTATTTTTTTATTCCATACAACACACCAAACACAACATAATATTTTATAAAACAACAAAAAACCTAAAGGTTAAAAGGGGCAAAAAAACCCATAAACCCTTTTTTTTTTTTTTTTTTTTTTATTTTTTTATTACCATTCATATATTTTATTTTTAAAAAAAAAAAAATCTTAATTTTTTTATTCTTTAAAAAATATAAAACACTTCCAAATTATTTATAAAATATCACCTTTCTATATTCTAGAAATCTTTTTGTTTCCCCACCAACCTTTCACAAAAAAAGAAAACATTTCCCCCCCCCCTTTTTTTTTATTAAAAAATTTTTTTTTCTTCCCCAAACCAATCCTTTTTTTTTAAACACTTTTTTTTAGAGAGCATTGTGAGATGCAGTTTGTATAAAAGGTAATGTTTTTTGAGAGACAAGGAGGGAGTGAGGTAATATCTTTTACTGGCCCAACCCCACCTTTTTTACCCCCTTCCCTCAAGGAGGGGGAAAAAAGCCAAAATACTCATGTGCATAGTTATGGGGGGGGGGTCCGGGGGGAGGGAAGAGAAGCAGGGGCGATACTCGGACTCCAGAGATCACCGCCCAGCTTCCCGCACAAAGCCAGCAGGCTCCCTGCACGACGTTTCCTGGCGCAGGGTTTTGGGGGGTGGGGGTGTCCCTAGCTTTAAAGGCACCCCAACTTCCACTAGCTCCCGTGGGGGAGTACGGGCCCCTAAGGCACCAGCAAGCCTTTGATCGCCGGGGAGGCGCTTTCCTTGCCGCCAGGACGCAAGACACGACAGCGCCCCCGCCGGGACTCCCGTGGGGGGGGGGGGTGGACAGCGCCCCCCCGGGACCGGGCGCCCCGTACCTTATCCCGCCGCCGCCCCGCTGCCTCAGGCCGCCGCCGCGCGGGGAGCACCTCTCATAGCGGCCGGGGCGCGTCTTGAGTCTTCACCATCAACCCCCCCCCACCCCCGTGTCCGCTTCCCGTCTCTCGGGCCGCCCCCTCCTAGCAACCGGCCTCCACGAGCCCGAACCAATCGACAGCCGAGGGCAACCAGGCCGCGGCAATCGAGCGGCAGAGCAATCCACCCAGGGGCCGCCCAGCTTTTGCCGCCTCAGAGCGGGAGGCTGGCCAAAGTCCCTCGCGCGTGCTGGCCCCAGAGATCCCTGCCTTGTCCTTGCGCGCACCCCGCACTTGGGTTGCTGCAGATCGTTGGCGCCAGGAGGAAGCATAATGGAGCGGAGGTGGGCAGAGGAGCGGTGAACCCCACTGCATTTTAATTTTCCTGCACGAGTAAATGTTGGGGGTGCCTCCTTTTGGGTCTTTGTGGCGGTCCTGCATTTGGGCCGGGGCAGGTTAAGAGGGATCGAGCTGAGCCCTCCAGCCTGCAGTGTTTCCTCTTACACCAGCATTGACACATGATCGACTCAGCTTTTATCTAGGATTCCAAAGGGAAGGGTCCATGCACGGGTCCATGTCTATAGCTCTCTGTAAATGAATTGTGAACTTCACCAGGCAGATTTTATTAAGCAAACACTCACACGCATTTACAAACTCTGTTAGCAAAGGAGTAACCTAGAATGGGAGGAGAGGGGGGAGATTGAGTGCGGGATGTTCAAATCCTTGCAATTTAGATTCCATCTATGCTCCAAAACCCCGTTCACTTTTGCACCTGGTTTGAAAACTGTGAGGGGAAGGAGAACCATGAAATTATTGCAAAGAATTCATCCTTTTCTAGTCAAAATGTGAGTGAAATGTGTGATTAATATTTCAAGCATAGTCAGAGGATGGGATTTTCAAAAGTTCTTAGCGTCGGCATAACTCGGCTCTCCCTAAATTCAACATTGACATTCTGATGGTTTCCAATGATAGCACAGTTGAGCCAACACTGGACATTGTTTCAAAATCCCACCCCTGGTGTATGCAGGACCTGACAGTCTGCTGTCTTGTATAGTTATTCACACCTGTACATAGTGGGTGCCAAAATGCAACCAAATCTCACTTCCCTCCTCATCTACTTTGGACACGTGTAAATGACTATACACTGTGCAAGTCCCACAACCCCTAAATTAAACAAGAGGAATCAGTCTTCTGCAGACATATAACCTCCAGTGTCAAAGCCACAGAATGTGTAAACATCATAAGCTGAACAGCACTGGAATGCTTTCTTTTTTCTCTTTTTTGGGGAATTGGGGGGCAATGGCGTTTGTTTAAATTCTTGAAAATTAAGTTCCTTTTCCTGCAAGTACTTCTCCTCTTCTATTCTATAGAGGTCCTTATACTGTGTGATGACCTCTGTAGCATTTGAGCACCTTCCAGTTGTAGCACTTTGCCTTTAAATAATGTGACTAACATCTCTCACATATTTATTCTCTCCTCCATGGCCCAGGGGGAGAATTTTGTACAGCTAGTTGTCTTGGTAAGGTATTTTTGTTAGTGGTAGTAGTTGTGGTTTTTGTTTGGTTGGGTGTTTTTTTAGTATACATTTATGTTAGAGAAGATCAAAGAAGTGCACCTTGCACTGGGGTGTGGTGAGGTTTGTGAGGTTCCTGAGGGAGTTCATTCCACAGCCTCAGGTCACCCCACAGAGAAAGCTCTGTCTCCTGCACTGACAAGCATTGCTGTTTTTTATAGACCATTCCCCTGTGCCAAAGGAGTAAAGTTCTCAGTCACAGTCTTCATCCCAGAGCTCGGCAGTCTATTAGATATCCTGGGCCCAGGCCAGGAGTGCCTTGAAAATAAACACCAAGACCTTGAACTGGATTCTCAATATTCTATGGGAAGCCAGGATAGAGAGTGGGGGACAGGGCCTATGTGTTCATGGTAGCCTGAATGGCTGAGGAGACTTGCTGCAGCATTCTGTACCAGTTGGAGTTTCCCATGTGCTGAGGCTTCATGCTCAGGTACACGGCATTGTTGTAATTCAACTGAGAAATGATGAAAGTGTGAATGAGTGAGGCCAGATCATCATTCTCCAGCATGGGATGGAGCCTTCTAGCCAACCAGAGATGTTAGAAAGAGACACGCCTGGATGCTGCCACGAATACTCTTAAACTGAGGACTGAATTGACCAATTGTGTGTCTGTTCCTTCAACCAAAGGAGACTGCTACTGCATTTAACTTTAAGCACCAGAAGTCTCTTTGAACTCAATAGATCATGTGTGCAGGTGTCTGCAGGGTCAGGGATTTACTTTTTGGGAGGAAAACTATAATTTTGTATCCGCTACTATTGTCTTAATATCTTGCACGACAGCATCTTTTGTCTGACATTCTCAAAGGATTTTACCAACACTAATTCTCTGTTCAGTGCACTGTTTTAGTAGCAGAGGACAGCCTGAAGATGCAAGTAGAATAAGGTTGGAAAATGCACATTCACCAGTGCCCTGTGGCCACATTACACCAGCGCCTTTCTGGGGAATGCCCGTGGCACAGAGATCTCCCTGGCAGATTCACACTGACTCTGCCTCTCTTCTTGCAAGAGCTATTGCCATAGGGTCTGTGTTGGGGCAAACCAGGGTGTGAGTTGGCACAGCCAAGGCATTTCTACAGCCCAATGATTCCCCAGCTAATGCAAAGCTCAAGCGGGTGGTGGCATGAGTTACGGCTGCCTTCAGAGCTATCCTGACCTGCACCATGCACTGGCCCAACCCCCAGCAGCCCCAAGACATGGGGGAGACAGTTCACCTCCTCTCAACCCCTGTGCCAAGGTCTGTACAGAGATGATTCTGGCCCAAAGGGAGCAGGTTGACAGGAGGCCCCAGCAGAGAAAAGTGAGTGAGAGGAGGGATAGGAAGGAATGAAAGCTGGGTTGTGGGCAGAGCTGTGAAAGGGAGGGCTAGACACTGAAAACTGATGTTGGGGTCTGATTGACTATCCCTGCTGTAGGGGATAGTCAATAGGTGGACCATGGGGCCAAATCCAGACCGCTAGATGCTTTTTATTTACTTATCATTATGATTTGTTTTCTTTTCTCTGGAGTCTGGACCTTGACCAAGAATTTGAACCTTGCCAAAAAATAATTGACTACCCCTGCCCTACAGCCCGACACAGGACCACAGGGCTATGGTCTGAAATGGAGGGGTTGAGGGGCTTGGCTGGTAACCCATGGGGATACAAAACCTTGGCGGGACCTCAGCCTCACCTGAGTAAATGTATAACCTTTGTGGGAGCATCTGCCTGCCTTGGCCTCCCTTCTTCCCACTGCTGCCTCACCCTTCCCTCTGCTCCCACCTTTCCTCTACCTCCCTTCCCTTCTCTTCTCCTTCCTCCTCCCCCCCGCTGTCTCTCCAAGGCCGGCCTTAGGGGTGGGCCACCTGGGCGACCGCCGGGGGTGCCATAATCAAGGGGGTGCTGTGCAGTAGTGCAGAGGTGCACACTACCCATGTGGAGTCAAAAACTGCTCCTGGCTGGCAGGGGAGTGCTGCACTGGGGGCGGGGAGCACCCAGATTTCTCCCTGCTTCCTCCCAGGGGAGTAAGGGGGAGGCAAATGGTGATGCAACACAGCTACTGCTCACCCTCCTAAGGGGCAGTAAGGGGGGAAAACGAGGAGCAACACCAAGTGCTCCGGCGCATCCAGGTCACTTTCCCCATCTGGGCTGGGCTGCGGGTCCAGCATCAGGAGTTGCCGCTCTCTGCCTTCACCTCAGGCAGCCCAGGTGGGGAAAGTGACCTGGACGCAGGGAGCCCCCACGTCGCTCCCCGATCCCCCCACCCCCCACAGCACCCCAGAGGAGCAGCGTTCCCGGGGGGAGTGAGCAGCAATGCCGGCTCTCCCAGCACCCAGAGCCCTTTCCCCCCCTGGGCACCGGAGGGAGGTGCAGGGGTTCGGGGTGCAGGAGGGTGGGGAGCCCACAGGGGCAATGCGGGGGGAGGGACTCCGTGTCCACGGGGGCCAGGGCCACCAAAATACAAGCTCGCCCCCGTGCCTCCCCTTTCCCCCCATAGCACCCCCACCCTGACTGCTGCCCCCCGCCCCACGGCAGGACAGGCCCCGCCCCGCCCGCGTGGGCCGCCCTCAGCGGCTGCCCGTTGGCGAGGCCATTGGCGGGCGCGGCCGGCGGAGGCGGGCCCTTGGGGCCAGGGCGAGCCGGGGGCCGGCAGGGGGAGCCCGGCCGGCGGCGAGCAGAGGCGCCGCGGCACCGGGAGCAGGAGCCGGAGCCGGAGCAGGAGCCGGAGCAGGCCGGGTGCGGAGACAGCGCTGCCCAAGCCCCTGACAGCCCGAGGTAAGCGGGGCGCCGGGGCCGGGCCGGGAGGGGCTGTCCGTGACAGCGGCCCCCTCTGCCCGCGGGGCACCGAGGCTCCGCGGGCCGGGCCGATCCGTGCCCGGGTGCCCGGCCCAGGGGCAGGTAGCCCGGTGGGGAGGGGGCCAGGCTCGGAGAGGGACGGGGTGGGTGCTGGGCCGACGTGGCGAGGAAGGGGTCAGGCTTCTCTCTGGAAATGGGGGCCTGATCGCGGGTGGGGGGGGGACAGCCAGCCGCCCCCTCCCTCCCTCCGCCAGCTCAACCATGAAGACCTTTTACCTTCGGTCTGTTTGCACGGTCCCCTTTGTCCCCTGAGTACACGGGGTTGTTATCTGACCTCTGTACTTTACCCCCCAGCAAGAGCTGCAGCTGTAAAACAAACCGCCCCTCACCCGGGCTGAAAGCCATGATCTGGCCTCCCTTAAAGCGGGCGCCTTAGCTCCAGTGGGTGAGGGTGCGGGGGCCTGTCAAGGCTGTCCCTGCTCAGGAACCGGCTGAGCGCAGGGTTTCTTTCTGCCGGTGGAAAGTGTACAGTGTGTTTGGTTTTTTCAAAAGCTGCACCTTTAAATGACTTCATTTTGAGTCGCTGCCGAGAGTATGATTTGTAAGTCTTTGGAAAATACAAAGTGACAGTTCATCGGTTGCAAATGTAATATCAAATTACAGCTGCTTCATGACAAACAAAAGCTTCAGAGAGAGACTCTGTTGTTTAGCTTAGATCACTTTTACATTATACAGACCTAGTCTGAGTGGAAATGCTTTTGTTTCTTTGTATAACCTAAAGTGTGAATTTCAGCCAGTATAGTTATACCAGAATAACCTCTCCTGTGGACATTTCTTGTATGAGTGGCTTTTTTTGCCGGAGAGGTTAGTTATTCACTCTAGAAGGGGTTTAAGCTAAACCAACAAAAAGCCAGTCTTCTTCCAGAATAAGATTGTCTGTGCAGGGAGTTATAATGGCATAGTTATACTGATATAACAGGTAAAACTTTCCCAGGCACACGAGACCCACAACCAAATTCTGATCTCAGACCTTGCCAGCACTGCGATTCCAGCCACTGACATAGCTGCACCATTGCACATTTCTAATGTGGATGTGATTTGAACTGTGTAACTTGCAATAATGTAAATAGCAACTACACTATGCAATGAGCCTCTCCTAATGAAAGAGTGTTGGGAATGTCCAATCCAGGCCTCTTTGGCTTGGTGTGTGGGCTGAGGCTATGAAAGGGGAGAGGATGTTGTTTTAAAGTCCGTGCTCTGTGGCAAGAATGTGAGAAACCTGAAAGGGAGAGATCAGTGAAGTAACTGACTGTCAGAGGTGAGCTTCTTAATAGGATGGCCAAATCCCATGTGTAGATGTTCAAATCAGTGTTTAGGTGTCTACATGTTTTATTGTCTCTGTTTTACAGATGGGGGAACTGAGGCTCATACGCCATAGCCATACTAGGGAAAATGTTGTTAGTTAACATGTTTAAATGCATCTTTTAAATTTTTTTTTCTACTGATGACAAAGGCTAGAGTGGGTAGCAGCCAAACATTCAAAAATGATCACTTTTGGTTGCCTTATTCTGGGCTCACAAACTTTTCAAACGCCCCAAAATCAATGGCCTCTTTCTTGAAAGTGTTGGTCTAAATGAATTGCTAAAGTCACCCAGAGCCAGAAAAAGAACACAGAATCTTTTAACCGGTAATTCTGTGCCCTACTCACAAAACCCTTCTCCCTCCTCGTCACTGAAAAAACATGTTTGAAAATTGGGCCTGGAGTACTTATATGTGTGGGCTGAGCCTACTATGAGTCAGCCAAAGTTTTGTGAATGGCCAGTTATATAGTGGCTTGAAATAAAAACTAGGCAACCATATCTAATATTGGCAAGGACGCTATCTTTGGATAGAATAAAAAATGTTTACCTTTAAAATGTTTCAGATTGGTTGTTATTCAAATTGATGTGTCCAGATGGGATTATTAGTAGCATAAGGCTGCAAATTATTGCCACTTCGGAAGGTGGGTTTTTAGAGGAAGTAAAAAAATGAAGCATGATCTAGTGGTTGAAGCACAAGACTGAATCAGGAGTTCTCTGTTCTGTTCCCAGCTCTGCCCCGGACTCTGTGTGACCTTGGGCAAGTCACTTACCCTCCCTGCCTCGCTTTCCCCATCTGTAAAACAGGTATGCTACCCCTTTCCTACGTCAAAGCTTCTTGTGACGAAGAATGCAAAGCAATGTTTGTAAATGGCTCTGAGATCCTCAAATGAAAGCTGCTGTATCAATTATGAAATATTTATATTAATTATGCCATTACTTTCACGTAAAAAAAGTCTAAAAATGGACTGGCTACATGAATGCTGAATAAGAATTACTAATGCAAAGAATTTTTACTGTCAGAATTTTTACAGGATCAGTATTTACATATTAAGGCCCCAAATCTGCAAACACTTATGCTTGTGCATAACTTTACTCATGTGAGTCCGTCCCATGGAATCCAGTGAAACTACTCATGTACATGAGGTTGTGCATGGGTATAAGTGTTTACAGGATCGGGGCCTTAAACATGAGTTTCCTGTATCTAAGTTGAGAACTTAAAATAGCTAATGAGAACTATGTTGCTGGATTGCGTTTGAGAAAAAATTGCCAAGTCATAGCTCTTGTGTAACCAGAAGTAGTAACCAAGCAATGGTAGCCATTTGAAAGTAGAGCATAAAGTGTTTGAATAGTGCCTTTTGTTGACAAGGATCAAGATGCAAATAGGAGCCATATAGAGTCTTGGTGGAAAATATTTTTAATGACCCTTGACTCCAATACTTTAGGAGTACTCTGTTTTCAGAAAACAGATCCATTCCAGTACTTTAACCCCAAAAGTAAGACATTCAAGTTGTATTTGTATATCCTTGGCATTTCTGTACCAATGTGACATTTTACTCCTGGAGGGGAAAAAAAGAGCAGTGATGAGCTGATCTCTACTAAAATGGCTATGTATCACCAACCTTAAGCATTCAAAAATCGTGAGTCTTGTCCCTCAAAAATCATGAGATTGGCTTAGAAATCATGAGGGTTTTTTAACTAATAAATTTTGAACTCTCTTTATTTCCCTTCTGGATTTGGAGCCTTTGGGAGACACTTAGGGCACATTTTCAACCTTCTCTCCACAACCACGAGGATAGAAACGTACATGAAAGTTGAGATTGTCCCCTAATCAGAAGCATCCAGGAGCTGGGGCTTTAAGAAAAGTACCACATTTCAGGAGATTCACAATAAAATGAGTGTTTGCAACACTGCTAAAGGATTAGTGTTTGTAGGGTTGGGACTTTTTTTTTCTGTTCATGTTATAAAAATGTGCATTGCTTAATACCGAGAGAGTTTAGTTTGTTTTTACATCTTATTTAGTTCAAGATGTCCAAAAAAATCCATGGAGGGTCTGTTGTGGAGATGCAAGGAGATGAAATGACTCGGGTGATTTGGGAACTGATTAAAGAAAAGCTGATTTTTCCATATGTGGATCTGGACCTGCACAGGTAACCATATATATGCATCCGATGAAGTGAGCTGTAGCTCACGAAAGCTTATGCTCAAATAAATTTGTTAGTCTCTAAGGTGCCACAAGTACTCCTGTTCTTTTTACATATAGTGTATATGGCTGATTTACTGTTGTTGGGCATTGGTTTATATTTTTGTATATGTGGGGTTTATACCTTGTCAGAGAACTGGCTCCCATGAACGTCTCCCCTCCAGCACTCAGTGCTCCTCTGCTTGGTTTGCAAAATGATTGGTTCTGAAGACCACCAGGAAGGGCTCAGTCATCTATTGAAAGCCAGTACTTTGTGGTGAGAAACCTGTTTGCCAAAATGTCTTCGCTATGACCTCATTCCTGCAAACACTTTCACTGACAGTCTCCTTGCACGGTGTCCGCCCAGCAGTAAGTGGATTAAACTGTGCTGTGCCTCTTAGAAGGGACAGCACAGGAGTCAGAGCCCAGGTGTTCAGTTACCACCTTTGGCCCTCCTTAATTCTGGGCTGCTCTAGGTCTAGTGATGCCTCCAGTGTTAGAGCAGCATGCATAGCTGCCTGTATGCTTTATGCAGCCTAAATCAGCTGGAATTCAGAGCTTTTCAGCGATTTCTCCTTAACCCCCTGTCCCCAGCACATCCCTACATGGACAGCTTTACTGAATGATAGTATTGGGCTCCCATTGGCCTTATGCCAACGTGGGGGAATTTCCCACAGGGCCTTTTTACCCATTTAGGCTGCTGGAGTGGTATAAAGGGGCTGTTGCAGGGAATGGAACAGGATTAAGCCGTGTTTGGATTAGTCTGTGACTGTTCACACTTCTCACCGTTTCATAAACTGTATCCATCCACCTTTGCTCACCTCCACAATAAAAATAGGAGCAAGTTTTTAAGAAAACGGGGAGGGGGGAAAAAATCACACCTATCGGAATGTGATGACACTGCCTACAAGACTTATTTTAGCAAAATAAAGAGCTATTCCTTCCCTTCCGATCCTCAGAGTAGTAGGTCAGAATTACAGTGGCAGCAGCAATGTTCATGGGTTTTTATTTTCCCAGTTGTATGGAGAGATCTTCAGTGGTGTCAATCATTAGTCAAACCCACCGAGTCTGACCTTTTCCCTACTTACAAAGCGGTTTGCTTTTGTTCTGGAGACTCCACCTCCTACTTGCCCAAGATTTACTGCTTGCTGGTGCCAAGAGGAACTTACAGGAACCTAGCAGCTTACTGCACACACACACTGTCAGGAGGAGTGTCCATTCTTAAAAAGTGGGGAAGAAGACTGAGACTGTCTTCCCAAGCACAGTGGATACATTAATGCCCTGTTTTACACGTAACTGATTATACTTTGAGGACAAATATGCAAAGCACAATTGTTCATAAAAACGGTCATGAGTATAGTAAACGTTTTCCCCTCCACTGTTTTAAAGAAATAAGTTCAGATGTACTTTTAAAGTGTAACCGTGTGCTGACTCCATCATCACTGGTATTATTGTTTGTGGAATCCTGTTGGTATGCTTAGTGTTATGTATTACGCAAAGAAAGCCAGAGTCCCAGCCCCAAGAAGCTTGCAGTAAAAGGATATAATTCACTCAGGGTTTATGCTGATTTGCACGCAGGCAGAGGGCCCCATAACGGAAAGTCCATCGGGGAAGGCTGAAACAATGCAAAACAGCCACAACTTCACTTGAGCTGCCAGGGTGATAGGTTGACAGAGATCATAAAGCAGGTGGGTACTAGCTGAGAATGGGGCATGGCCAAGGCAGCTGGGGATGCCGGCATCTATGTATCCTTGCAGCAGATGCTGTTGGCAGGGCTCCTACACAGCCTCAACCATAAACTAAAGCTACCCCTGCACCCTCACCTGCAGAAATCTTGAGGGAAGATACTGGTGTTAAGACCATCTACCTTCCCTTGTTTTGACTCCTGCTGGAGTGCAGGTTGGCTCAATGTAGATAACAGTAATGACAGAATTCTAGGACTCTGTGTGTGTTGTCCATTTTTATCATGTAGGACCATAAGCATCTTAGACTGATCCATCTGGTGACTTTGATTATTGATTATTTTGGGGGGTTATTTGTAGCTATGACTTGGGCATGGAACATCGTGATGCGACCAATGACAAGGTGACAGTAGAAGCAGCAGAAGCGATAAGGAAGTACAATGTTGGCATCAAGTGTGCTACTATCACTCCGGATGAGAAGAGAGTGGAGGAGTTCAAGCTGAAGCAAATGTGGAAGTCTCCAAATGGGACAATTCGAAACATTCTGGGTGGCACAGTCTTCAGGGAGGCTATTATCTGCAAAAACATCCCCCGGCTGGTATCTGGATGGGTGAAACCCATCATCATTGGCCGTCACGCTTATGGGGACCAAGTGAGTTACTACTTTAGGGCCATTCTCTGTTTCTTTTTATCTGTACTTTATTTAGGTGAACACTCTTATCCCAGGGAACAGGTCTGGTACAAAACAGCATGTGCCCAATATGCATGTGATATCTCTTAAGGGCCATATTTTAGCTGCTTTTGCACAGATCCACGAGGGGGTGGAGATGCACTCATCATGCTCCTGCTTATTAGCTGGTCGATGACTGGAGCTACTGCAGTTCTACTAATATACAGAAGCCTATGCTGGAGGTAAAGTGCACTGTTTCTTATTAAAGAGTGTAGTAATTACCAACTGCCCTGAAGGCAAGCTTACTACCTTAGCAGTCTAGAGACAGAATGTCTCTAGTGACTGTTCCCAAGGCCCTCCTCCCACCCCACTGCAGCTATGACTGTATAAGAGACTCTACCACTAAATTTTTTCCTTTCTCTTGTCCCAGTGTTGTCAAATTGTCTGAAGTACTTCCAGGTAGCCCAACATCCAAATTACTTCTCCATTCTCCCTGTTTCCACCATGGGCAGCTTTTGTAGAGCCAGGTACTCATTTCATGCAAAAAAACAGCCCGAAACCAACAAAACCCACTTGCTTGGTTACTTTCTAGATTGTGCCTGGGATGCATCCGATGAAGTGATCTGTAGCTCACGAAAGCTTATGCTCAGATAAATTTGTTAGTCTCTAAGGTGCCACAAGTCCTCCTTTTCTTTTGACATTTTATTGTTTATTTGGACTTACAAATAACTCATGTCATCTGAGCACCTGATTTAAATTAAAAGTTTGACATCCTAGTGAAAAAGCATTTGTCCCTTCTTCGAGTGATTGTCCGCAGAAATTCCACTCTCGGTGCAGAAATGGTTGAGGGAGGGTTGAGTTTTGTTTTGTTCTGAAGCTATTCAAGTGAAACAAAATGGTGTGGAAGGCTGTGTGGTCCCGTGGGAAGGGTAGTGGACTGGAAGTCAGACCTGGGCTCTGTTCCCAGCCCTGCCACTCACCTGCTGTGTGATGTCAAGCAAGTCATAGCAGATTTGTACCTCAGTTTCCCCATTTGTAAAATGGGAATAATGATATAGATCTTCTTTGTAAAGTGCTTTGTAATCTATGGATGAGTGTTATAGAAGAGCTAGGTAAGTCATATGCTAACTTAAAATGCAGAGGACAGCCAAGTATCTAATTCCTAAGAGCAAAAAGAAATGGCCAAGCCCATACCTCACAAAAAAGAATAATTAGTATTATGTCTTTAAGAAATAAATCAAGAGCACTGAATAATTAAGTAGGCAGTGGAAATTACAGTAGGCTAGACAGTATGTTGATAAAGCAAAAGAAGTGGAAACTTGCCAGAGCAAGTGATTAAAGTGAAAGGAATAATAGATGGGAAGAGGTAAAGGAAAAACAGCAAGCCGTAGAGCTTGGGGAAGTTGCAGAAGATCTTAAGAACAGAACATTACTGATGTCAGCAAGGAAATGGTGAGAAGGCTCGAAGGCTGTAATGGAGAGTAGCCTGAAAAGAACCTAATGATGTTTACCGACAGCAATTTGGAAGATGATGATATTCGTTTTTTGTAGCTAAGTTTTACAGTCATGTGATTTTTTTTTTTTTTTTTTTTTTTTTTTAGGGTGTGTGTTGCCTGCGTGGGTGGTTTTCTCCCATTTGCAAATCCCTGAGAATGATTGATTGTTACTGTAGTTAGGCCTGTGTGGAATTCAGGTCTCAAGTGGAAGGCTAGACAGTAGTCGCATAATTCACGGCCATTGACAAGATAATGTAGTTTGGTGCATAGTTGTGTTAATCCAATTATGAAATGGAATCAATAGAATTTCCCAGAATATCCCTTTTCCCCCTCCCCCACTGAATATTAATAACATTTTTAGAGGCATGCCACTTTAAAATGTCATCTACATCTGGAAAATGTCAGTTTCTGCATGTTTCAGCTCTTTTCGTGCATCTATTTCCACATTTTTCCTAGGAATGTGAATTGCTATTTGACCAAACAGGACTATTTCTCTTGCAGTTTACCTGTGTATTGGATGAAACTACTAAACTTAACTCTTCTGTCTTTTGTACAGTACAGAGCAACAGATTTTGTTGTACCTGGGCCTGGAAAAGTAGAGATGACTTACACACCAAAAGATGGCGGTAAACCAGTGACCTATCTGGTCCATAACTTTGAAGGTATGTATGGTGTCACAAAAGCTGTAATTGCAACTGGTATTTGGCATGATTCAAGTTGATGGGTGTGTCAAATTCGCGGCATGATACAGCAGCTATACTTTTATAGGCCTGTTTCATTTGTGTGGGAGGGGAGGAAAACTTTCCAGCGCTGAAAGTTAATTCAGTTTTGTTGGAAATCATAAAGCAAAGAAACACAATACAGAACACACATGCACACCAGACTTACCACTTCTCATGCATCTTGTGTGACACTTGGGCCACTGGTAGCTATGTCAGGCACTGCCCTTCACTGATAACAGAGAGAGAAATTCTCACATCGCAAACTCACCACCATGCTTTGGACTAATTGGCTTTTTGACAGAATCTGCCGAAAACTGCTTGGAATAAAGAATAAATGGACACAAATCAGATGTCAAGAATTATAACATTCATAAACCAGTCGGAGAACACTTCAATCTCTCTGGTCACGCAATCACAGACATGAAGGTCGCTATCTTAAAACAAAAAAACTTCAAATCCAGACTCCAGCGAGAAACTGCTGAATTGGAATTCATTTGCAAATTGGATACTATTAATTTAGGCTTAAATAGAGACTGGGAGTGGCTAAGTCATTATGCAAGGTAGCCTATTTCCTCTTGCTTTTTCCTACCCCCCCCCCAGATGTTCTGGTTTAACTTGGATTTAAACTTGGAGAGTGGTCAGTTTGGATGAGCTATTACCAGCAGGAGAGTGAGTTTGTGTGTGTATGGGGGTGGGGGGGATGTGAGAAAACCTGGATTTGTGCTGGAAATGGCCCACCTTAATTATGCACATTGTAGGGAGAATGGTCACTTTGGATGAGCTATTACCAGCAGGATAGTGAGTTTGTGTGTGTGGTTTTTGGGAGGGGGGTGAGGGGGTGAGAGAACCTGGATTTGTGCAGGAAATGGCCCAACTTTATTATCATGCACATTGTGTAAAGAGTTGTCACTTTGGATGGGCTATCACCAGCAGGAGAGTGAATTTGTGTGGGGGGGTGGAGGGTGAGAAAACCTGGATTTGTGCTGGAAATGGCCCACCTGATGATCACTTTAGATAAGCTATTACCAGCAGGACAGTGGGGTGGGAGGAGGTATTTTTTCATATTCTCTGTGTATAAATAAAGTCTGCTGCAGTTTCCACGGCATGCATCCGATGAAGTGAGCTGTAGCTCACGAAAGCTCATGCTCAAATAAATTGGTTAGTCTCTAAGGTGCCACAAGTACTCCTTTTCTTTTTGCGAATACAGACTAACACGGCTGTTACTCTGAAACCTGCTTGGAGAATGAACTACTTCTGTTACTCCTAGAGGAAATCCCCTCCCCAGAGATCAGGGCTGAGCCATGCTGGCAGGGTAGTGTGTGGGTTCCCAGCCCTGCTGCTGCATTCTAGATAAACAAAGCACTTTGTTCACCAAGGCAGTCAATCAAATGCCTTTCACCAGCACTACGCCATGCAGTTGTGTTGAACATGAAGTTTATGGTTATATGTGAATTATGTACAGATGTGCAAATTATCTTCTCTAAATTATTTTCATGAAAATGTTACACTTGAGGATGTACAAAACTTGGTAGCTATGAGACCCCAGCCCTAAACGTTCTTTGGAGGACCTTGTAGTCAATCCCATTCTGCTCTGTACGTCACTAAGCATGGCAGGCTGGGTGCCAATTTGCATGCTATGACTAATGGAGACTGGTGATTTGTATTCTTGGATCCTATTCCAACATACTTGGGTTTGGCTTCTTAACAACAGCCAATGTCATCTTAAAACAACTTGGCTTTTGTGACAAATAATCAAACCTGCTTCAGTCATGAAAAGGTCTGGCTGTTTCCTCAACTACCACCAGGTACCTCTGTAATAAGACTCAACTATTTCTGTCATTACCAGGAAAACACATAGGCAGTGGTTCAGTTATCTTACGAGGCACTCCTTCCAACATTATGTTTTGGGTTTCCAAATGAGGGCTATCGTCATAAGAAAATTTACTGAAAAATAGTGTGGCCAGTGAAACATTTCAAATTAGAATCAATCCTGCAGACCCAGGGAAACCTCCCATTTAAGCCAGTGGTAACTTGGCTTTGAAAATGATAGTGAAGGTCTAAGGCATTTGGATAAGAATGAGCCCATTTCAGGTTTCTCACTAAGGGCCCCAACCAACTCTTATTGAGGTCAACGCGAAGACTCTCCTAGAGATCAGTCAGTGGGAACTGCCTTATTGAAGTCGGTGGGATTTTGTCATTGACTTAATCAGGCCCAGGAACCTCAATCTTTTCATTTCGGTAATTGTCAACAGTAGGAAGACAATTCCAGTGTGTCTAGTTTTGATCAAACTCATGGCAGATACAACAGCCTCTAGTATATTTCACAATTCAAAGAAGAGGGAAGGGGCTGTGCATGCTGCTGAGAAGCCTAACCTTCTGTTCTTCCGACCAGACAAGATGACAGGAGAGTTTGGGGGAATTGTGTTTCCGTGGCTGACTGGCTCTGTACTTATTTTTAAATCCGTAACTCCTGTTGTTCTCAGTAAAATCACCAGAGTTCTCTGTGATATAGTTGTTTCTGCTTCAAAGGGTGATTCCACTTCTATATGCCACACACAGTTTTATGTATGTACTTCAGACTAAATAGGAAATTAGGGAACGTTAATGTATCTTAGAATGCTAGCTTGGCCCACAAGCAGGTCTCTCCCTCCTCCCAGGGTCCGTGCTGAGGAAGGGATTACAAACTGTGGAATGGAGGACATGTACAATTTCCCTGCCTTTCCCCTCAGATATACACAGGCCGTGCACAACCTAGTCAGAACACTGTCCAAGGCTGTGTTGTCTCTTCACTATAGCCCTTATGGGGGTTCTACAAACAGGAGAGCCTTCCTTGCAGCCTGGTGACCATGAACCTGTTATCTCAGGGAGCCAGGAGAGGCTACACAGAGGTCCGAGCCAGTGAAGAGATGCAGGGCCTCCACAGATGGCAGTGAGTCCCGGGACCCACCAAGTACGGAGCTACTCCCACAGCCTTTGTCCACATTGCCAATGGTTAAACCACCACCTCAAAGAAGTAGGATCTCCCACAGCAATTTCCTCCCCAGAACCCTTTTCCATGGTTTGGGGTTTTTTTTGTTTTTCTCCCCCTCTCTGAGTGGTGGTGATCTGGACCATAGTTAGGAGTCACTGAGGGAAACTACATCTGGCCTACAGCCATGTAAAAAGTTACTTAAGCTTAAAGATCCACCAGGAACCATGCCGAGATCCATGCCTCACAGCACTGAGAGAATTAGATAAATCATGCATGTGTGGGGGAAGAGTCCTATTGTTTGTAACTGAATTCCATCCTGTTATACTTCACGGTTTCTAGGACTGCATCAGGAAAGACAGACTGCCGAGGAGGATTCCAGCCTGCTGGCTGGGAATTCTATAGCATGCTGTCAGAAATTGGGTGGGATTTTTAGCCAGTGTTGTAGTTAATTCTTATTTACTGTTCTCTTTTCTCCCTTTGCTGATAGGCTGTGGTGGTGTAGCTATGGGAATGTATAACCTTGACCACTCCATCAGGGATTTTGCACACAGTTCTTTCCAGATGGCATTATCTAAAGGCTGGCCCCTGTACCTGAGCACCAAGAACACCATTCTGAAGAAATATGATGGACACTTTAAAGACATCTTTCAGGAGATCTATGAAAAGTAACTAGTACAGATTGTTACTTCCAGTTTTTCTCTTCCAGAGCATTTTTTCTGTAGTAGAAAGATGGTCCTCTTATTCTTTGTGAACCCCCACCGTCAATTCAGAGCCCAAACCTGTGAAGTGCTCAGCACCTCCTACGAAGTGCTTAGCACCCCCTGCTCTCATTGAAGCCAGGATGGGGCACTCAAGCATGTGCTTAAGGGCTCTCCTGAATCAAGGCTTTGGTGTCCATCTCCACTGGCATCTATTGATGATAAAAAGAAAGCTTTGGAGATTTGGATGGAGTCATGGAAAATCCCTGACGAATTGCTTTAGAACTTGAACCTCACTAATTTTTAGTAAAGCACTGCAAATCTCGTGTCTTTAAAATGTACATATGTATACTCTTAAATGGCCTATGTTATAAAGAGGGAATATGTCTAGATTTTGGTAAATTGTTGCTTGGCCTTTTTTAAAGAAAGTATCTTGTCCCACAGCTCTCCTAATTAACTAGGGAGGTCCTTGATTATTAGACTCCAATTGACCCCAGAAATAAGATCACACAAAATTCACTGTAAATTGGTGTCAGAAGCATGGAGCCATATTTTCCTCCCATTCACCAGTTTAATCCCTTTAAATGCAGCTGAGTTGCTGTTGATTTGTCTCAGTGTAAGAGAGAACACCATTGGGCCTACTGATTCTCAAAGCTGAATTCATGAGACAAATTCTTTTAACACTGTTTCCTCTAATTTATGTTTGCTCTTTGTCACATATTTGAGGAGCTCAGCCATTGGTTGTCTTCTCCCCCCACCTTTGACTGGTGACATGCCATCTTTATATGCATGCTTCATAAAAACCTATAAAACCAGGAGCAAAATGTATTATGTACATCCTGTCTTTTCAGGTGCTGTTGAAGGCACATAAACATCTTCATCTCAGCCCACAGGCTCTTTCCTCTCCCATTTCCCGATGGAAGTTAAGGATTTCAGCCTTTCACCTGTATGTTGCATTGACCAGAACTGTAATTGCCAGAAGCTACCTGCTGGTTTTCTTGTTTTTCAGAGAATACAGGCCCCAGTTTGAAGCCCAGAAGATCTGGTATGAGCATAGACTCATTGATGACATGGTGGCTCAAGCCCTGAAATCTGAAGGTGGCTTTATCTGGGCCTGTAAGAACTATGATGGTGATGTGCAGTCTGACTCTGTGGCACAAGGTATGACCTGTTACTGTTACCTAGGCTTAGCTCAGCAACGTGCTGGAACAGGAAGGCCACCAGCCTCACACGGAGCATATCATGCTACGTATCCGTGCGTATGCTTATCCTAGAGCCACTACTTTATCTCCAAACTGTTTGCAGTTCACAGACTCAAGAAAACTAAGTATGAAATGCAAACTTAGCTTTTAAAAGGGACTCTCAATTGGCAGAGTACATCCATCTTCTATTTAGACTTCTCTGTATGATGGCTGTTCCCGTACTACAACTACTAATAGCTCTAAACCCAAAGTGCTTGCACCAGTAGCTGGGATTTGGTCACCAAAATGCCTGCATGACTTAACCCAGGGCACAGTGGTGAAAGCTGAGCATGGAAAGGTCACCTGAGCAAATTGGCTCAATGCCCCATGAGCAAAAAAGAAATTGTAATGACATAAAAATGTAACCCAAATGCCAAGAGCCAGATAGATATTGATATGAATAAAATTCATAGCTCTTGGTAAGAATCCTACACAAAGATGTGGCCTGCTGGCATATGTGTGGCACTCGCAGGAAGAACGTCAGTTGAGTAGTGTTCTTTCTTTAGCACCATCAGCAAATTTTGCCTCACACAAAACTTAGAGGGATCCTTGTTCCTTGCCCCAAGAAGCTTCCAGTGACCCAGATCTCAGAGACCTGGAAGGTGAGAACGTGACATGAGCTCCCAGTTTTACATCCCCACAAGCTCCTTCCGTCAGAGGGCATGGCACCAGGAAAACAGGTTTTGTGTTTTTGTTTGTTTGTTTTGTTTTCCGTTTCCTCAGGCTCTCATCTGTGGCTCTGTCTGTGGGAAGGAGCACTCAAACCCAGTGTAAGAGCCTGATCCCATAAGTTTTAAGGTTCATGGAACACCTGTTAAAGTATGGGAGTTCCAAGCACTGGGACTTTGCATGTTGGGACCCTACATGCTGAAGAATGTAGGGGAAGGAAGAATGGCCTCTGCCCCCTGTGGTCAGGGCTGGATTAACCCATCACTGGACCCTAAGCAAACATACATTTCTCCTGGCCCAGTGCAGAGGGGAGGCTCTGGTAGGGTGACCAGGGTGTCCCAGTTTTAAAGGGACAGTCCTGACATTCAGGGTTTTGTCTTATATAGGAGCCTATTACCCCCTACCCCCGTCCCGATTTTTCACATTTGCTATCTGGTCACCCTTGGCGCTGGAGGGTGGGACTGGAGAGAGCCCACTCACCCCACCGTGGCAGTTTCTGCCCAGTGGGGTTGGGCCCTGCTCCAGGCATTGTGACCTGGTGCATGAGGTTACAGCACAACTCAGGTTCGGTCCGGTTGCCCCTCTGTCATGACAGGGGCGGAGTGAGGCGGCTGGGCCAAACCTGACTGATGCTGCACCAGGTCGCAATGTGGTCACAATGTGCAATGTCCGGAATGGGGAGCCAGGCCTAGACCTGTGGGACAGGAACCACTGGTGCAGAGTGAGAGCAGCGTGGACTCGCATTCTCCTCTGCCCCTGGGGTCTCCCCTCCATGCTAGGCCAGGATTAGGGTTGTGGTGCCAGGGTGAAGGGTGGTTGGTGCCCCCTTGGTGGGGCAAGGCATTGGAGGAGGAGGACACTGGCCTATGATTTTAACCCTCTGCCCCCACAAATTTGGGTCCTAGGCATGTGCTTGGTTTGCCTGTGCATCAATCCAGCCATACATGTGGCTAAGGCAGAGGACAGGAAGTCAAGAGACTATAGTTCTATCAATGCCCCTGGGTCCATGTGACATTAGGCAAGCCCTTCAGTCTTTATTTCTCTCTAAATCGGGAGGAGAATAATACTCGCCTAGCACACAGAGGTTGCAAAGCAGAACTCATCCATGTTTCGGAAGTGGCTTGAGATCCTCCCAAGGAGATGGCATGTAAAATCAGAGTCTTATTATGTTAGACAGGTCTTTAGCTGGTGTACACAAGTGTAGCGCATTGAAATTCCTAGACCATGTCACTTTACACCAGTGGAGGACCTGGCCCAGATTACCCCAGATGATCAGGTGTGGCGTAGAACAGAAACTTAAATCTCTGTACAGGAGCAGGTTTCTCCTCCCACCCCCAAAGCCCTTTTTCTGATGGAACCTTTCTGTAGGAATGGAGATGACCATGACAAGATAAATGTGGGGAATGAGTAGGGTGATCATATTTCCCAAAGGGAAAACAGGACACCACGTGGGGCTGGCCCAAGCCACTTGCCTGAGCCCTGCCCACCGCACATGGGGCTGGCCTGTGCCTGGCCCCACTCTACTCCGCACACAGGGCTGACCCAAGTTGCTGGCCTGAGCCCTGCCTCTCCCACATCTAGGGCTTTCGCCAAGCCCAGCCTGCTCCCCATGTGGGGCTGGCATCATTCCTTGCCTGAGCCCTGTTCCCTCACCCCCGCCCCGCCCACGCGGCTGGCGTCGCTGCGTCCCCAAACCCTGCCTGCCCCCACACAGCTGGCATCGCTGCTTGCGCAAACACTGTTTCCCCTCCTCACAGGGTGGCATCACTGCTCACCCCCCGCACGTTCCTCTGCGCCCCACTAGGAGTGCACGCCCCACTTTCTTGGCAAAAATGAGCAATTGTCCCATTTGCTCCTGCCAGCTGATGATCAGTTGGCAAGAGCAAACAGGACAAATGCCCATTTTTGCTAAAAAAAAGTCATCACAGCTGGGACATGGCTTAAAAAAGGGACTGTCCCGGTCAAAACGGGACGTGTGGTCACCTTAGGAATAAGGATTGACAGCAAAATACATGAACAGATAAGAAGTAGGGCAGTGGAACTGGGAAGCGGGGCAGGAGGAGTGCGCCACAATGGAAATATTGTGGGGGCTCTGCCCCCATGTAAACTTGCACATGCTGGGGTGGGGGAAGACAAGAGCAGGATCCACTGGGGCTGGAGCAGCTGGAGCAGAGCCCAGGATTGAGCCAGGAAGCAGGACTCAGGGGGACTGGAACGGGCCTGGGAGCAGGTAGGAACCCAGCCTGGACCTGGCTCCCCACATCTGCCCCAGCCAAGTCTCCCTGCCTCCCCTCATTTCCTTCACTCCTTTCTCTGCACCCTCCCCCCAATAAGGAAATCTTCCGTTCCTCCCACTGCAGCTAGCTTTTCCGAGGCTCATTGCTTTTTTTCCCCTAGGAGAAATCTCTCTCTTGGGAGAACTGAATTTCTCCTCTTGTTGGGACCAGCAAGTGTGAAATGAAATGCAAAATCCAATTGCTAAACAGCCCTGCTGCTCCCATCCCTTTCCCATGCTGCCTTGCAGTTTTGGGTGACTGTTATTTCAGAGCTTTGGGAGTCAATGGGAGAGAGGTGCTCGCAGACTATGAGCTCATTGGTAGTAAAAAAGTGGCTGGCTATGGTGAATTTGTATTTGCTTGAAACGGGGCAAAATGTCTGCAGTTTTCTAGTGGCTTTGGTGAATAACTTTTATTATTCAGACACTTGGGAGCAGCTTCCTAAGTCAGAACTGAACAAGTGGGTGTTTTAGTATTTAATGTCTGGCTCGTATTCAGGAATACTGTGTCTGTTTGGCTTCCCTTGTGGCTTGGCAGAGTGGTGTAGCTTTAGCAAGTCAGGGTTTTCAGAGGAAGACTTGACCTATTCGATTATAACCTGCAGGGTATGGTTCTCTGGGGATGATGACCAGCGTACTGATCTGCCCAGATGGCAAGACAGTGGAAGCAGAAGCTGCTCATGGCACAGTGACACGTCACTATCGCTTGCATCAGAAGGGTGAAGAAACTTCCACTAATCCCATTGGTAAGATGCCTCGGGCTTCTCTGACTGATTGCTACATGTAAGAAGGAGTTAAAACTGAGAACACCCGCATTGTTGTTTCTGCAAATTCCTGCATCACGGAATACCACCCATGTTAGTTGCGTGATAATTTGTGCATCTGATGTGGTACTTCTGCAGTGTACAGTACAAGCAGCTTGGAACTGACTGGATGGGAGCAATGAATCGTATACACAATCTCATCTATGAGGTGTTCTGACATCCCTGCATTAATGGTCTAGTAATGGCACCACTGGGTTGTTTTACTTTCAAATAAAATAGCTATACACAGCTGATCTGCAGAAGTGAGCAGGGTTTAGGTTTGTCTATGTGAACGCTTAGTTCACAGCAAGCCGGGATGTAAATCTACCCTGCGCATGTGGACCCTGGTGTTATGCTCGAAAGAGTTCCCTCGTGTGCTTTATTCTACTCCTGTGTAGTTTAAAGCACACTAGCAATGTTTAGTGCAGGGCAGCAGGGTCCACATGGGCACTTAGCACGTGGCAGGCTCCTGCAGGATAGATTCACTCCCCAGCTGGCCGCGCCCTACGTGTATGTATCAACAAGCCCTATAAAATCATGCTGAAACATCATCTGCACTTGCCCGGAGAATGAGTGTAACGTGTTCTGGGCAACTAATCCGATTCCAGCTTGCATGGTATTTAATAACTTTGTTTTTATAAGTTTTAACTGCATGTAGCTCTTCGTATTGGCCTGTGTTCATCTCCATCCTGTGCCAGGGAGAGGAGCGAAAGAGATACTGGAGCATGAAAAAAATCCGGAATAGCACATGGGGCTGCTTTAAAAAACAAAGGCGAGACAGTGACATGAAGTCACTCCTGTTCGCACTCCAGATTTCCCCTGAACATTCAGCGTTTCTCATTAACCTTCAGCAGTTGTTCCATTTCTTACTTGGGGGATTTCGTACTTGTTTGTTGTTTGTTACAGTGCTGCCTCATCTTATTGTTTCAGCAGTACAATTATACTCGCTTTCCCTTTAGCCTCCATTTTTGCCTGGACTAGAGGACTAGCTCACAGAGCTAAATTGGATAACAACGCTGACCTCAAGAACTTTGCCACTGCCTTGGAAGAGGTCTGTGTAGAGACTATAGAGGCTGGCTTCATGACAAAGGACTTAGCTGCTTGCATTAAAGGTTTACCTAAGTAAGTATGCGGTATCTGCAGTGCCCTTAAACTGGTCCATGGCATTGCTGGTAAAGTCTGTAGTGACCAGTAGTGCATGGCTGGTTGGTGGGGGGTAGGTTTAAAACCACTGTTTATTATTATTTGTATTACTGTAACAGCTAGGAGCCCCCATCATGGACCAGGACCCCTTTATGCTAGGTGATGTACAAGCACAGAATAATCATAGTAGCTGGCTCTTACATAGATCTCAAAGCACTGCACAAAGGAGGTCAGCATCATTAGCCCTATTTTACAGACTGAGAAACTGAAGGTCAGAGTGCTGAAGTGGTTTGCATATGGTCAAGAGACAGTCCCTGTCCCCAAGAGCTTACGATCTAAGTAGCTCAATCCATTCTGTCTGGCCAATGGTGTAAGAGCCTAGGCTGACCGGAACAGACTGCGAGACAGTTACCGTGGAACAACTGTCTTACGGTGACACTTGCTTTTATTAAATACAAGTGTGAACTGCACTAGTATGAAGGCTTGGATTCTACACCTCCTAAAACCTACAGACAATTAATCTACAGAATTCTGACCATTCTCTCCTTCACGTGGTGAACTAGATCTTTTGTTAAGGGTGTCGGGATGGCCTTGCATACCATTTGAGCTGCAAATACAGTTACAAAGTGAGGCACGTAAAAAAGGGCCAGTCAGATCCCTCATCATGTCCTTCTACTGTCTTCGCATTCTAGTACAGAACTAAGCCCAATGTGAGTTGGTCCTGTATTAACCTGTTAACAAGGGATTGAAGAGAATTGTGCATTGTATAGTTCAAAACTGACTCTACAATCTCTTGGGCAGGCCACTGTATTTACACTCTCCCTATCAACTGTAATATGTGGCCCAAGCCTCCACATACCTGATGCAAATAGAGCCAGTCTTGCAACTTTTCCAAGGATGGGTGAGAATTGCCTGTAGGCGGGAGGGGCATGTTGTTTTACTGGCAAAGCAACTAATATACACGTTCTCATTATAAATCAGTTAGTGGAGAGTGCCATATAGCCTAAGACCAGTAGCAACAACAAAACAGGTAAAAGGGAAAGCAGTCCTGCTGTTAATCCTAGGCAGAGGTTGTCTTAATAGTCTAAGCACTAGGTATGGCATACGTAAACAGGGGCTGCAGGCTCAAATCTGGGGGAGAGCAACTCAGTCCTTTCTGAGGTAGATACAATATGAAAGTCTTTCAGAGTAACAGCCGTGTTAGTCTGTATTCGCAAGAAGAAAAGGAGGACTTGTGGCACCTTAGAGACTAACCAATTTATTTGAGCATAAGCTTTCGTGAGCTACAGCTCACTTCATCGGAGGCATTCAGTGGAAAATACAGAAGATGTTTGTTTTTATACACACAGATCATGAAAAAATGGGTGTTCTCTCCCCCCACCCCACTCTCCTGCTGGTAATAGCTTATCTAAAGTGATCACTCTCCTTACAATGTGTATGATATGGCCCACCTTGATTATCATACACATTGTAAGGAGAGTGATCAACACCCATTTTTTCATGATTTGTGTGTATAAAAACAAACATCTTCTGTATTTTCCACTGAATGCCTCCGATGAAGTGAGCTGTAGCTCACGAAAGCTCATGCTCAGATAAATTGGTTAGTCTCTAAGGTGCCACAAGTACTCCTTGTCTTTTTATGAAAGTCTTGTAGATGAGACCTTAAGTGATGTCTTGTCTGCTCTGGGGATCTAGAAGATCCCTGGGACTTTTCATAGGAGAAGGGGTTTGCGCTTCTCTTTTTTGTCCAAACATTTCCCCCTTCCCTTACTGTTGGCACCCAGCATAGTACACTGTTATCTGCATGTCTGCTGCATTCCTGCAGTGGCTTCATTTCAGTGCTGCTGCCTACATAGCTGATCCTTCTGGCTGAAAGGTGCTGATGTGGGTTTTACACTCTCCTAATGTGACATTAAGCTCTTTTAGAGACTGTTGAAGCATGGTTACTTCTGGGTTTTGTTTTACATGAATTCTGAATGCAGCTGCAGCCACAGTCTGTCCAGGAGGGTGCTCCTCACCCCCGGCCCTCTGGACCGTATCAGGCCCCTGCCCCGCAAAACCCCAGTCCTCTCCCATCTGTAACCTGAGCCGGTTGTGGACTTGCAGTTGGTTAGTTTCTGAACCATGCTTAGAGAACAGTTGTACACGCTCATGCTCCACACATTCCATTTCCTCACCCTCATGTCCTGCCCTGACACCAAGTGGCAAGACCTTTTACCACCTGTGGAGGGTGAGGATCCCTGGTGGACCAGCCTGTGTTCCACCTTGGTCCCACAGCAGACTGGGGATATAAGCCGGCTGTTCCTTCATGGAGCCATGAGCACAGCCGTGTACCTGGCATGGTTCACCTCCCTCCTTGACACCTGTCCATTTTGTGGCATTGGGGAGAACCTAATGCACATCTACATCTTCTCCTTAGGTTTGGCTGCCCTTTTCCCCGCATCTCCTGATTTATGCATGCCCTATCCCGGACCCACTAAGTCAAGAGATCTCCTCATCAACCTCCTCTTAGCACTGACCAAGGTGGCCATCTATATAACCAGGAGGAGGATGCTGGATGGGAAGTTGCTCTGCAATTGTGGGGCCTATTTCCACTCCTTGCTTCGATCACGCATCCGGGCAGAGTTCCTCTGGGCTGTGTCCACTGGCTCCCTAGACACCTTGAAGGAGTAGTGGGTGCTGTCTAGGGTTCTCTGCTTGGTGTCCCCTTCTGGATCCCAGATTTTGGCTCTAACACCTCACTCTTGTCCCAGTTTTTCATTTGTTCTCCCCCAAACTTGCTTGAGCCCTGGGCTCAGTAGCTCCTCCCCTTAGGCTGAGGGAGGGGCCTTGCCCCCCAGAACACAATAGGTGTTGTTGCCTAGCTCTCTGTCACACTCCCCTTCATATTGCAAGGGCCCTTGCACAGAAGTAACCTTCACGCTATAAGTTGATCAGTGTTTTATACAACTTCTTCAGTAGCATTATAACTCAAAGCCTGAAGAGCATTTTTCCCTTTCCGCTTGGCAGCATCAGTGCCTTAAGGTGGCTGTTTGGTGTGTTTTTCCCTCTGCAGCGTGAAGCGTTCTGATTACTTGAATACCTTTGAGTTCATGGAGAAGCTTGCTGAAAACTTGAGCCTGAAACTAACCTCGCAGCCCAAACTGTAAGTTCAGCCGTCAGGAAGCGCTCTGCAGAGAAGCCCGCCTCTGTCCGATGACTGGCTTACACTGCGGTGTGTAACATTTCGCAGTGCTGGGAGAATTGACATGTTCACCTTTTTTTTAAATGAAACCTGTTTAAAAACCTGTTTTAACTCATTAACTGCGGGGGTGGGGGGTCTATTTCGCCAGCCATCTGAATGTGGTAGGACACCTAACAACATTCAGATCAGGCCAGGGCTTCCCTCCTTGATTTATCCCTCACTACTGCCTCTTCCCCCCCCACCCCCACCCCCTTCTGCCTCACTTCAAAACCAGAGGATGATGCATGAGTGGTAACCTACTGTACAGCCACTGGCAACCTACAGTACAACAGACATGTAGAAACTGGAACAGTCCTCTCCTCTCCCGCATCATCCACTGACTGTGTACAGTAAACTCCATCTTTTCAATCGTCTGCCTTATGAATGCATTAAACCAACTTCCTTGATAATGGCAACCAGAGCACAGTAGCCTGGTGATGAGGGGTTACTTGAATCAGAGCTATAGCAAAGAGAGCGCCCTTAATGAATGCTGGAAGCTTGTTTCAGTTCCCTAGGGTGAACGGCTACTAAACCCATGATGTAGTGGGGTGTGGGGGGAAATATGCTCTGTATTTCATTATACAACCTTCTCACTGCATGGGAAGCATGGGCACTGGTAGGAGGTAACAATTCCTATGTATTTCATAAAGGTGCAATTACTCAAGCTGCTTTCTTCAGGCAGCTGAATGCTTCTCATTCAATCTCCTATATCATTGTGACACTTCAATGTTCAGCATTATGGTCTATTGTGAAACACTATTCCAGCCATGGTTTGTTTTTTCCCCTTGAAGGGTATTTGTTCGGACTAAAATAAAACCAGAACTAACATCCTCTTGTCTCTTCTCTCTCTCGTGTGTGTGTGTGTAAAACAGAACTATCCAAAACAAATCTGTTCAACTGCAGTTTGGGATGGGGAGTCCCAGGAGGGGGCGGTCAGGAGACAAGGAGCAGGGGGGTTGGATGGGTGAGGGGTTCAGAGGGGGGCAGACAGGGAGCGGGGCCAGGCTGTTTGGGGAGGCACAGCCTTCCCTACCTAGCCCTCCATACAGTTTCACACCCCGACGTGGCCCTCAGGCCAAAAAGTTGGACCACCCCTGCACTACGCAATGTAATATGGCTGAGGCCCTACCCAGCTCCTTCTTTACCTATGACCTAGTTACATACAAACACACAATTTCATCATGCCTACAGGGCCCCCAGCCTGACTGCTGCTTGCTACCACCCACCTCTCTTAGGCTCTGTGGCCTTGGCTGATAATCTCCTGGTGACAGTGGGAAGCCCCAGAGAGGTTAGTGGAGCAAGGGAATATAGTTAAGAAATTGCCTGCCAATGAGAGTCTGCGGAATAATTTGCCATGGAATGTGCTGGGAGCCCCACCCATTCCACATTTAACTCCCTACTGGACACTACACTTGAAGATGTGCAATATGGAACAATCCTGCACTGGCTGGGGAATGGGCTAGATTACCTTGTAGTTCCCCCCTCGCCTACCACCCCCCAAAACCTCTGGATTCTATGACCATGGCTGTGGAAGTTGGGAGGTAACGTGAGGGGTTGGAGTAGAGACCCCAAAAGTACAGATTTCCATGTGGCCACATAGGCACAAAGTTCCCAGGCTTAGATGATGGGTCATTTTTACAGTGCAGAAAAGCAGTAGGCATCTTACAGAACAAACAGGTGGTATTGTACCCTCTAATAGCAGATGTGACATTATGAGCAGTAATAGCAAACAATAGGAAGAGGATGGGACGAGGAAGACGGAGAATTATAGCAATGCGATCATGCAGTCATTCGTTTTAGGCATGTGCACAGCTTGCTGGCTCAGTTCTGTGGGATTCTGAATTGCTTCATTTGTGGGCATTGCAGAAGACCCTTGAAGGGATTTGAATGGTAAATGTGTAGAGAGTGGGTACAGTAGGTTTGGGAAAGGAGATTCAAATCTGGTCTGCAAACCCCAAGTTTTCTCTAGAATACAAAACTTGCATTTTTGTAGGAGACTAAAGCACCCACCAGTGTCTGTCCTTGTAAACTGAAACAATATATGCGATACGCCCTGTTTCTCTGATGTCTTCAGCAGTTAAATGTAAGCAAGAATAGTAAAACAGACTTTGTACCCAACAACGCAACATAATGGCAACTATAAAAACAGAAGGGACTAGATTATGACTTTAGTTACATCAGCGTAAATCCTGTTGACCAACCTAACAGGCTCAGAAGCCAGCCAAACAGACACTCAAAGCCTGCAGCAAAACCTATGCTCAAAGAACTGGTTAAGAAAGTGAATTAATTTAATACAGGCAGTGGGGATGCTCAATCCTAAATTTGACCAGCTAGTAGCATAGTCCAGGTTAATCTAGAGAGCAGCATTGACATTATGAAGTGCCACCAATTTGAAATGTGGCTCTCGAACCTGCTAGTTAAGCATATCTAGGGCCAGTTATAGGAGTGCACGGCCTATTCCAAAGTCCGTTACAGAGCTGGGTTCATTTCAGCTCACGTAACCGCTATTTAGGGGCTGCTCACTACATACGTGCTAAGCCATTGCAAGAGAAACACAGGAAAATGTTTAAATCAGAACTCGTCGTGCCACCTGTTTCCAGCCTGGTTCATGAAATTAGCAGCCCCCTGCTGCAGGTGGGAGGGCCACACAAAGATCAAGTTCAACAGCCTGCCTAGACAAACACCAATAGTAGGAACACTCCTAGCAGCGCCACCGTGCAGCCAAGCAACTCACAGTAAAAGGACAAGAAATCAAATACACTTTACAGGCCAGGTAGCGTTAATGTTGAGACACTACAATGCCCATGCCTAGGGCCCCAGCTCCTGGAGTCATGTGATGAGCACAGAATCTTAGCTTTCATTTAAAAACATTATCCCACTTGGTTATGATTAAAACCTCGAAAACGTGGCCCAAACATGACTGATGCAGTAATATCTGCCTGAGTCTGCAGACAGCCTGAGACAACCGCTGAGGGGTGAACTGCCCAGGGTGTTAATATCACCACCACCCCTCACCACCACCATCCAAGCAAGGTGGGGCTCTGTGTAGCAAGCCCAGCCACTCCCCCACCTATTTCTTGGCCACAGTGGTCAGCATTGGGAGTCCCTGTGGCCACTCATGCAGCTCCCCGCAGAATGCTGGTGATGGGAGAAAGTGGGCCCCCTTCTACTGCCACATAAGGTGAGGGATGGCCCACAGCAGAGTGGGCCAAGCACCCACGGCTCCCCTCCGTCCTCCATTAGATCTGGTGGTGCTCAGCTCTTCTGAAAATCCAGCCCAAGGTACTGAAACCCCTGCTGAGGCTCCAGCAGAAGAGAGGAAGGTCAAACCCAGCAGCACCAGTTCCCCAAAGCCCAGCAGACTAGCCCCTGGGGCATTACCACCGAGGGTACGGATTCACTGCAGAGGTAGCCGGGGTCTAGCAGCCACGTTGCAAAGCCCTACCTGACTTACTGCATGCTCACCAGTGCTGCAATCCTGGGTGTCATTAGGGACATCCCATGGTTCTTAGCGCTGCAGGAAACTGAGCTGCTGAAGGATTCCTGCCCAGTGAATTATGGGAGAACTTGTCTGTCCTTCTGGGCACACAGGGGGAATTATGGGAAGGCACGGGAGCTTTAGTCATATTGGAATGGTTGAACCTGGGGTCTCACTGCAATGTGTGTGGGTTACACACCCAACTGTGGGCAACACTCTGGCTTTAGCCTGTAGCCTCGGGCAGGTCAGCTAGCCCAGGTTGAAAGAACCACCACCACGCTCATGTCAGAGGTTTGTGTGTGTGGACAATACCTGAGTCAGAGCTCAGGTTAACTCTGCAGTGAAGACAAGTCCTGAGAAACCAGGAAACACAAGGGCAATCACACTCTATGTTGTCTACTGGGCAACGTGAAACCCAGGGGTGAGTCTGAATGACTCACTCAAGGCTGTATTGTCCAAAATCTGTGACTGCTTTCCAAGCGTGCATGCTGGAATCACAGCCAGTGACAGGAATCAGAGCAATACATTTGGAAAAACGCTTTAGTAGCACAGAGCACAACGTTACATCCACAGGTTCTGCCCCACAGGGCTGAGCAAAGGAAAATGGGCCACGCTTCAAAACTGGCCGTTGACCCTCCTGTGTATGCTCAGCAAAACAGATGCAATACAGTGCTTTAAAAGAAAATCAGAGCCAAAAATAGTAGAATGACTGCTGTCCCAAGATCAAGGCTCGGATTGCATTTTGGTGATAAAGTAACCCCGAGTTAGTGCAACTTAAGTACAGTGGAGGGTTTAATACATAGAAATCACAGTATTGCTCACATAAGTGAACACAGGGCCCACAATTAGCTTTACTCCCACTCTCGCTCTCCGAGATATATATAATTTATTAGATAGGATCCGTGCTCATGTTTGGGGTTTTTTTTTAAATCTCATGCAAAAACTGGAGTCCGTGGCCCAGAGTCTCAACTGGTGCCAGGTGAAGTACTGTAGCTCCGTTGAAATGAGTGAAGCACGACAATGTAGGCAAGCTGAGAATCTAGCCCTGTGGTCTCAGATAAAGAGAAGGGAGAGTGGAAGTGTGAGCATTGTTCCCAGTAAACCCCCAAGTGAGATACTATGGGGAAGAACATCTCTCCTAGAAGACAGCATTCGCCCAGCACATCCACAGAAACTCAGCCCAAGACACTTGACCCTGACTCAGATCACTCGACTGATTAAAAAAATGACCTGTTTACTTTTGCTTTTTTATGTTTTTCTTACAAAGATTAAACTACTGTACTTCACAGAAGACTATGAGAAGGAAGCAAATGACACTAGAGATGAGTGCCTCTTACAGTGTGTGTCCCAAAGACAGAAGAAAAGTTTATATTTTTTAAAATATAAAGCCATACTATTTAAATTCATTCCCCCACCACAAGGTCACAAGCAGTGATTATACCATATTGACTATTAACAGCCAGGGGTTTGATTTCGGAGAAGCATGTGGTCAATCATTTACTTCAGACAGAATTTTTGTTTTGTTCTCGTCCTCTATTTTGCCCAGATCTGCTCAAAGATTTTAGAGAGTCACATGACCTCAATCTGGGAGGTAGTTTTGCTGGAGAGCTGCAAACTGGCTTTTCTAGAAGCCGACGTCCGACTGAGCCCGTAGCCCTACAGCAGGGACTTTAGTAAGTGTTGCAATGACATTGAGGCACTATTAACAGGGTCCATTTGAACTTATTTTTCCTTATATTTAAGCTATTTCTTCCCTTCTGGAGTGTTGTTTGTGACTATCCGTTAGAGAGCAGACAGTGGAGTCTGGAAACGTAAGACTAACAAGTACAAAGTTCATTGGTCGCAGTTACACAGATGGCATCAGAGAGGCAGGAATTGGGTCCATGTTTGCTTTGGGGTAACTCCACTGACTTCAGCGTGATAAGGAACCATGTAACAAAGTGAAGAATCGGGCCCAGTTTAGTCTGCTGACTTGCTAAAAACAGCTGGTGACCTTTGGTTTGGTTTTTTTGTAAGCAGTTAACCCAGCCCAACCTTGTTTGATGTTCACGATAAACTCCTCTGCTCTGAACACCCCATTCTCAAAGACAGGGAGAGGTTCCCAGCTAGCGTTTGAGTCAAAGCAGCAGAGCATTGACTTACACAAGGAGGACTCAAGGACGACGAAGGGTTTGATGGTTTTGCAGAGTGGAGACATGGGGCACAAAAACCACACAGAAAAACTATACCATTTTGGTGCACCAAACTGGGGTAAACAAGCCCTAGGGCAAAACTGGTGGGAAGACTAAAGCAGCAGGGCTTATATTATTTCTACGGTTTAAAAAATCCATCTCTCTCAGACATACAGCAA